TTTTCCAGTTTTTGCAGTGCGTGATGCCTTAATCATTCTTCTTTCAGATAATTCGACTGCAGTAAATCGAACTTAAGGGCTCTTTCTTCCTTTTCCATTGATATTAAAACAAAAAAACTGAAATTATAAGGATTTACTTTAGAAGATTACTGAAAACAACATACATATGCTCACAAATCTTAGGAAGTTTCGCTTGGCAATTCTCTTTGCAACATTCGAAAAAAGAATCAGAACATTTAACTTCAGATATTTCACTAAAAAGAGTTTGAATATAATTGAATAACTAAAAGAAACGTAAAACCCACGTTTCACTTTTTATAAAATAACCACATTCTATAGAATACAATTCGAGTTTTCTAGCAGCTAGCTCTAATTCGTAAAGATGTTTCGGTGGATTTGCTGTAATCAAACGTAAATAAAATTCATAGAAAAATTATTTTTCTTACATTGCTGAAAATAGGGAGGTATGGCAACAGTTGACCGTTCTTGGAACCCCAATTCCTTAAGCCTGGTCCGTTTTTCACTTTCCGAAAGAAAATTGAATTCGTCTTTTCGAGAATACACAACCAATTGATCTTCGGCCAAAACAGCTTGGTATAGATGATCTACATCATCTGAATTACTTTTTTTTGAGGTTTTGCTAAAATTGCATGTTAGAAACCTCCAAAAACTTTAATAAGCTTTAATGCAAGTTGGTCAGCCCTCATCGAATTAGGGATTTCATGGCGTAATCGGCTGTTTAAATTTTCGATTAGATTTGTGGATACGAACGGCTGCCACCATCCAGATTTCAAGCGCGTTAACAGCCCGTTTTCACGAAAAAGGCTCTGACCTTCAGTTGATAGCCTAAACCAGTTCAAAATTTACGCGATGGTGTAAACTTGACGCAAAATTGCAGTTATTTAAGCAGCTTTTATTACCATTAAAAAACTGGGCACTGGCCAAGTGGGGCTAAAGCCGATGTGAATGAACAAAAAATGTACTTTCCAGTCAAGGGGCGTCAAGTATGACATCTATATGTAGTAGATATTCTTTTTATATGTAGTAGTATATTTGAGTAATTCTAGAAGCCGCGTTATTTTTCGGAAAAAAGACTAAATATATCAAATTATGTTTTGTTGTAAATATCATAATTTTTTATGTAACATAATTTAAAATAGAATATTTTTGCTTCTTTACCATTTAAGAGCACCGGAATCGCTTATCATTGACGTGAGTTTTGCGAGTTTGGAATTGAATTCAATTTCGGTTACTGCGCCTAGCAATCCACATTTAATCCTCGAAGGTGATGTCTGAAATATAATGTTGATTGATTTGCCAGGTATTGTGGAAAAATGACGAATGTGAAAAACTTCAGCGATATCCTAAGCATTTCGTGCGTACACCGAGTCGCTACAGTAATTTTAGAATCTTAGTTACAATAATCTCAAATGAAAATTATTTAATCAATTATTATATATTTTCTTAAATTTCTTTCGCTGTTTTCTTGGCGAGTTTATGGTTTTATGTATATTATTGTGTTGAAAAAATGTAATAGTAATCATTTTTGTATATTATTCAAAGTTAATTGTTTTAAATAAAAATAAACTATCAATAATTAATTAAATCATTTTTAGTTGAGGTTACTGTAGATAAGATCTAAAAAAAATTGCTACCAATTATTTTATCCGAGGTAACATAAATTTGATTATTAAAACCACGTACCTCACCAAAAACCATTCTGGTCAGTCGAGCGCGAGTTGTTTTATCCGTTGTGGACATCGAATTTTCAAAATTAGCCATGCGATGCAAATCACAACGCAGACGTTGTGAATTACGAAAAAGTGGGATTGTCTATAAAAACGATGTTAAACAATCAAAAACAAAATGTTTTTAGTTTTTTGTGGGTGCGAGTTAATTGTTTGCTTATTTTTAAAAATTTCGCTCTAAGATAAAAATGGTAAACGCGTTTGATCATTCAAATTAATGAAAGGTTTCATTCAAACCTTGTAATATTCCTCAAAGGATTTTTCACCGTCCGTGATGAATCCAGGCACAACGCGGTCATTTTTGAAACCTTGCTTCTGCAGGTATTCGTTCACATGGTTTGCGTGAAACTTGTGGCATTCCATAGTCTTTTTCGAGTGCAACAAATAGCTAATGACAATAGTTCTCGGTTTTTTTTGATTTTTTCGACCTGTAATAGTTTAAAATTGTAATAGAACAATAATCTTCAATGAAACTCACTTGAATATCTTTACTGTGGTGCACATTAAAGTGACATACAACTCGCTCAATCCGAATGTTGTATCCAGCTGAGTGACACCACTGAACAAAAATCCATCATCGTTTGAAACTTTCCATTGTTCTGAAAGGACAAATTTATATTTTAAATATTTCAACTAATCGAATACCTAATAGTGATTGGATATGTTCCTTTTTATTATTTTCGTTTATGTCTTCGAACAATCTCAGGTGAGATTCGTACTCGTTAGTAGTCGGTAAACAGTTTAAGACAATCCGAAAGGGTTCATCAAGAATAACCGACAAACAATCTACCATTCCACCGTTACCTGCAAAAGTATTTTCTTTTTGTCATTACGAAACGAAAATCTTACACTCAAATACGCTGTACTTTGCATTCGGAACGTTTCTCGCTATTTTTCCTAATTCGGATGTGGTGGCAATAGCTTTGACGCCTCGATTGCAGCCAATCGATTCAGGTACGTGTTTCCTTTGGTTCCTCACCTTAAACATGCAGGTTTCAACTTATTTAAGATTTAAAATGTGTTTATACCTGCTCAAGCGAGAACTTGAAGCCTTTTTTATGTAGAATTTCATATGCACTCTTTACAGACCTCCCAATCAGTTCGCTTCGATCGATATCAACTTCTGAGGCTAAAAAAATATAATATATCTAACAAAAAGAAAAAAATAATAACCTGTCATCCTATGAATATCAAAATCCAAGCTAATTCGTTCTTCATCGCGGTGATAGTCGACGATAACAAAAGTCGAATCGTCCATATAAACTACCTGCAAATATTTTATTTTTATATTGATAACTAAAGCGAGAGAAATTTGCATACAGTTTTTCTGAAACTCGCAGTGGACGGCGATCTGCACTGGATTGTTCCATAAACACGTCCATTTTCATTCCATTGCCGATACTTCGGAGCGATTTTTTTTTCCTAAACGGCAAGCGATTATGACGAATGAAACAAATTTCAACCTTGAACTTGTCTAAACCATTTTAAGCCGTCGTATGTTAACGGTTTTCCATTATAGCTACTTTTATCTACAACAAAGCATTTTCTGCCTTTCCAATCCCCTCTGATTTCCTTAGCAACGTCGTCAATCGTTAATAGTGTTCTAAAAGTCCAAATAGTGAGAAAAAAACTCTGACGAAATACCTCTCAGAGGATTCAAGCTTCTCTATTCCGTTCCAAATGGAAATTAAGTCTCTTTTGGTTGACTTCGAAGATATATCGCTTGAAATAAACGCCATTCTGAAAAATGTACTTTTTTTAAAATTAAGTATAATGTTTAATGCAGGTAAAATCTGAAACTAAATCCATAAAAAATAAATTTAGGCCAAAAAATATTTTCGAAATGTCAAAAAATAAGCAATCCGCAAACACTGCACGACGAATGTATTCGCAATAATAATTGCACCGGTTACCGTACTCCGCGCAGCGATTTTTTTATATTCGTATTCTATTTTTATCCTACAACCATTGTTTTTAATGTTTTGCTTACTTTTCTTCTTTTCTATATTATTTTTTGATTAAAAGTTATTTTTTAAAATTATATATTAAGCAAAAACTAATATGAAAGTGTTTTTTATCGAGAATTTGGGCAAAAATCAGGAATCGAAATTAAAAAATATATATTTGCTGTTACTGAATTTTTTATCGCTGTTTCACTTTTGATTTGTGTTTCTATTATTTCGTACTTGTGTTATTTATTCAAAAATAATTTTTCAGATATAGTCGACGTCCGGCGGCTGGTAGATTTACGGGAATGCGTCTTTCGAAATGGTCTCGCAATCATTTTCTATCAACTCTTAGCAATTAGATAAAACTGAAAAGAAATAATATTTTAATAACGTTAGAAGTAGGTTCGTGACAAGTAGATTAATAGTTTGAAAGCTTTGCAGCTTCTACAATTTTTGAAAGTTCCCGATAATAACTATGAATGAGTCGCAGAGATAATACGACAAACCGCGCGCGAACTTGGATAAATTATCTACTTCATAGGATTTCATCACAAATTTTAAATAATACCAGCTAATCGAGGTGTATATATAAAGAAAACATAATATAGTTTCTTAAGAATTTTTAAGATCTTTTGAAGACAGAAGCCATCAGGTTAATTTAAAAATTGAATGATTTTTTGCCCTTTTTTGTTCTATATTATATTTCCTCTCCACCCCTTTTTTCGATGAATACCCTTTTATTTGTGTAAATTGTTCTTTTTTTTTGAAATTGAGAAATTTAAAAATCGGCAGTGAAAAAACAGTGGTTAAAAATCGGTAGTGAAGAATCGGCAGTGAAAAATCGGTAGTGAAAAACGGTAGTGAAAAATCGGTAGTGAAAAACGGTAGTGAAAAACGGTAGTGAAAAAACTATTTTTTCGGTAGCGAAAATGTGGTAGTGAAAAACCGGTAGCGGAGCGAAAAATTGGTAGCGAAGAACTATTGGCCAATACCGCTTGATCTGCGATTCACCCGCTTTTCACAATTTATTGAGTATTCATTGAAAAAAGAAGCCGCGAAACGAAGAAATAAAATCAAAAATAGAAACGGGTTTCTTCATATATTTAGAAATCAAAAAAATCGAAACTGATTAATGTCATAGAGAAAAATGTTGAAGAACTCATTAGAATTCAAATTTTTTCGATCAAGCAATTGAAATATTTTCTAGAAGACGGCGTCAAAAAAGTTGGTCAAAATTATCATAAACAGTTTATTTCATTTACACATTCAATAAATTCTTATAGACAAGTTGGGGGGTTCGAGTTCAGCACTTTTCGAGAAGTTTCTTGCATTCGCTCTGAAGCTCTTGATCGCTGTTGCTATCGGCTGGAAGTTGAAGCGCCTTGTTGAGCAGCTCGCGAGCCCTCGCTTTTTCCTTTTTCGTCACAAGACACTTGGCAAGGTAGAGCAGATTCTCGATCCAATCCTCTTGCGATTTGTAAGCCGCTTCGAAGTCGGCGAGTGCGTCGTCGATGCTCGCTTTCGGCACTTCGCTATACAAAACCGATGCCGCCTAAAAGCACACACTCATCAAATTGCCTTTTCTCACATTATGACTCTTTAAATCATCGCTTGCCAAATCGGTTTCAAACCGGTTTTTGAATATGTTTTAGTTTCGGCCTGACAGAGTTATGACTATTCCTTTTTCTAGTTTTTTAGAAGCCATAATTAAAAGGGAATGATAGAGATATTAGAAGACAACTCAATCAAATCGAAACTTGCGCTCAAGCCATGACAAATTGGCTAGTGTGAACGAGAATCTGGCGCGAAGATGAAGGAGTGCGAAGTCGGTTGGGTCCAATTCAAGAGCTTTGTCGAGCAAATCCTTGAGTTTACCGCCCTCGTTGATTTTGTCCTTCATTGACATCATGTCGACTGAGATTCCGTACAAAATCGCTGCCCATTTTGCCGCCATGAAACACGCTGGATCCAAATCGACCGCTCTCAATCCATAATTCCGTCCTGCAATTGCGAACTCTAGCTTGAAAATGAAACGAAACCGGCTCTACCTTCGAACACCATGTGCTTCTTCTGCTCTCCGGTTAGCATGTTCGAAATGTCGTGACAGAATCTGCACATTCGCCACAGGACCTCGCAAGTGTCTTCACCTGAATCGCGCCGATTCGAAATTATCACACGATGTGAAAAACCCACCACTTTTGTAACGAAGCTTCAACTCGTCGAACCCTTTTTGGAATTGTTGATTTTCGTACAACGTGTCGACGTTTTCAAAAGACTAAAACGAATGTGACGAATTTCACAAGATTCGAACGCCTTACCATATTTGGGGGGTTAGTAGAATGGTGAGAAGACGAGAAAAGAAAAATTGGCAGCGGTAAAAAAAACTCCTTAAAGTTATGACTATTTATACGACATTTTAGCGGTCAATTCAAATTGAAACACAACAATCAGATGGTAGATCAAAAACAGAAAACAATATATTTATAAAATGAACGAAAAAAGAAAAAGGTGGAAACGGTGTTCGACAAATATTTGAATTGCTGAATAATATGGAAGAAAGTGAAAGTTGATGATGGATTTTTGATTTTTTTTTTCTTGCGAAAGAAAACACATTGGTAACTTTATAGTTTTCTTCGACAACAAGGATGAGGCTCATAAAACGGATATGAAGACGAGAGGGGAAGAAAAATGAAAAAAAAAATGATAGGGCAACATTGAAATGATATTGGAAAAAACGTTCAAAAACAAAAAAAAATATCTAAAAAAAAATAAAACGCGCGAATAGCTTTCAGATTGCGACGCTTAAATGGCATGGCATTTCAGGGTTTTTATTCGAAGAAGAAATTCCCCTTTTAATTCTCAAAATCATCAAATGGCATACCTTATTTGGCTAAGAATTGATCTCGACGAACACCGAAATAAATCATTGGACGGGCGGTCGCTGGCGGCAACTTAAAAATGTGATATTTCGACTGGAATGCCGTGTCAGTTGGTTTGGCTCGTTCGGTCGCCACTCTCCGCCATGGATTCGGACGTTTTACACCACACGATTTCGTCGACACCTGCGCCTCCAATTACTCGTGAGTTGGGTTGTTCTTCCTTCGGTTCATGCGGCGTCGCTGAGACGAAGTTGAGAGATTATGAGAGAATAGGAAAGAGCAAGGCTCTCGGGAATGAGTCGGACTCTGCGATGCGACCTCACTGACATGTGCTCCTCATCATCATGCGCCATGCCACCGGCCGTTTTTCGACTTTTTGTTCCGATTTAACACATTTTTACTTGCGTTTGTGTTGTGTTGTGTGTGTTTTTTTTGTTTCCCAACTGTTTTCGATTTATAATTGGCAATTGGGGTGGCGGGCGGAGCGACTCAAAATTGAGCTTCTCATAATTGTCACGAATGCGATTGCTTCGCATTATGAAACGATTTTAGGCTTTCAATTCTCAATTTTTCCTCCGAAATGCTTCTTTTTTTGTGTTTTGCTATTAAAATCTTAAAGAAACCCGCAAATTGTTATTCAATGTACCGTTGAACCTGCTTATATCAATTATAGGTCCAATTGTAGTGTGATATCAGATTAAAAAAAAAAGAAGTTTTTAAGAAAATCTCAACTTTGCTGCGAAAAGAAGCGGTTAAAATAATATTCAAACAAGATGGGTGTTTTTTTGGTTTTTTCTGTGATAATTGCGTCACGGTGTTTTCACACATTTTCACACACTACCATTTTTTTAATGTTTTTTTTTAACCTCAAATGTAAATAAACCAATATCACAAACCAAAAAATGAAAGATATTTGCGAGAAAATGCAAAAAATAAAAAAAAAGTCGGCTGTAAAGTAATTTTAGATTCTATCAAAAAAAATTACATGGTGGTTTTGATTAGAAACTTTGATTGAAATAAGAATGTGAGAAAAATCACCTCAAATTGGGTGCAAACGAGATGTGAATTCCCATTGTAAACTTCTCATTCTCTTTTTTTTGCACTTTTTTCTTTTCAATTCCAGTTGAAGAAAAATGAATTGAAATTGACACAAATTTGCTATCCGATTTCAGATCTCATTAATTTTCGAATCCAATTTATTCCGATTTTTCTTCGTTATTTTTTCTAGGCTTTCTTCGAGCACCTCGAGCAACCATTTGACACATCTTCGTGTTTTTTCTTTCTTTTTTATTTCAATGTCATATTGCAAAAACGAGCATGATAGTCCGTTGGGATTTCTTTGATACACGCCAACAAAAAAACTCTAATATTTTGTTCCCACTTCTCTTTTTTTTGCAAATCCCCGCGGGACCTATTGATACACTGATATCGCCTGTTTTTCTTTTCATTTTTTTCTCGTTGGACATCTCCGATTTTGTTCAAAATTTCGGTGGAAATCTGTTAAAAATCGGAAAATGTGTGCAAATATCTGTAATATGAGTATTAGGTATACGTGACATTCTGAATATTCTCGATTTGCACTCAAATATCAATTTTTGCAGGATTTCGATGCTGGATTGACATCAGATTCCTAAGTAAAAAACACTTCAAAAAAACTTTCTTATATTCTATAGACTTTTGTTTTTTTTTTTCAATAGAAGTGAAGTGGTTCAATGTGGAAATTTTGCCAAATTTCGATCGACGAAACAATTAATTTTGAAAGCTGGTCTACAATTAAAAAAACTGGATTATGCAATGAATATAATAAAAGAAATAACAAGAAATAACGGTATTTCGATTGGTAAATTTGAGAATGAAATACTAAAATACAAACAGTGTAAATCTTTTAATTTTTTTTGTTAATTTTCATAACTCCAAATCATAAAAAAATATTTTTTTTTGAAATTTTTTAGACGAATACATTCAAAGCTTAAAGTCTTACTGTAGATAAACATATACCATTTATCATATTTGTGAAATGGCGAGATTTGAATGATGCGGGCAATGGGATAATATGCATCATGAGAATTTAATGCGAAACTTCCTCAACGCGCTTCCGGTGTCGATTGAATACCGCCCATTCAACTAAACGCCGAGGTAAATTGAATGGGCGTGGTCCGATTCCGACTCTATTCATTTTTTTTTTGCTTGTGGCGTGCTTGTGCGGCCCATCGGCAGTGTTTGCTGTGGGTCGCGTATAACTACTGCTCTCGAAGGCGTGCTCTGTCCACTTCTCTTCTTCGCCCAAATTTTTCCTCTGATTTCAATGTGTGGTGCTCTCAAAAGAATTGGACGTCGCAACACAGCGGCTAAACGCCTTTTGTGTCCGTTTTTTTCCATGTTAAATCTTTTCGCGCCCCCACGCACTCAACATTTCGATGCGATTCCAGGTTTATTCGTTTTCCGGTGTCCGCTTATCACCACGTGCTGGTCACATGCGCATCGGCACTCGAGCCGCACCCACATGGAACATCTCCGGCCGATTTGCACACTATTTTGCTTCTTATGCCTTGTTATAGGCATGATACGATTTGATGCAAACGAGAATCGTCGATTTGATCGTTTCAGACTCAATTGACGCCTACGATAGCTGCCTTCACTACCGATCACTATGCCTTCGAAACGAAACGTGTCATTCATACTTATCCAAATTTCAGCTTGTTTGTAATTACGATCTCAATGGTTCGTTTCATTTTTTTTTCAACAATTTAAATTGTGACGTCCGACACAGAATTCATTAAAAATGGTCCTTAATTGAATCTATCAAGGTCTAGGAAATCCTCCAATTTCCCCCTGTTCTCTTCTATATGATAAGGAGGAATTACGTATAGTTTTAGAAAAAAAACCGTTGGACATAAGCAAGTTTTATAGAAAAAAAAAGTTGAGGTCCCACAATTTATTATTCGTTATTGCAGTGTGTTCCGGCAGCAGTCCATCCGATTGTGTGTACTACCTTCGAAAAATTCGAGAACATTTCCCGACTGCCACCTGCACATGCTACGAAGCAATAGGTTTGATCTATTCGAACGCATCGATTGTGCCGAACACGTCAACGCGGCTTCTCGCAATTTTTCACCCCAAAAGAAACATTTGCATAAATCAATTTTGTTCCAATGCAGAACAGTTGATTTGCAGGATTTTCTCAAGAATGCGATTATTTTCGACAACTCTTTTGGAATCATCCGTGCGAGCGAAAAATGCACGACATTGGTGAAGAGATGAAGCTGAAGAATCGAAGGTTCCAACAAATTGAAATGAGTCGAAACGGTGCCTTCATGATGCCGCATCATCGACGGACAACGAGAACGCCGGTTGCTGATCAGGTTCAGCAATGGAAATCACAGTTGAGTGGAGGTAACATTCTAATGCTCCTTATGAATCGAGAGTTTGAAATAAATTATTGTAAACTATTTAGGAATGCGCCTTTAATTGCCAAACATTTCAGAATTGACCAGATCGAGTCTGCAACAGAAGACATGCGACGCCGCTTTATACCAAGTGTGTCTTCGGCATGTCTCGTGTTCTCAATTATGGTCATTGTTCCGCAAAAATTGTGATGTTGATCAAGACAATCAGTGTCGGATGCAAGATCGGTTAGAATTCCTTGAATGTCATTATTATCATTTCCCTTCTTGATTGAAATTTGAAATCTTTAAAAAATAGATTAGTTATCTGGAATCTCGATATCTGTACACATCAAAATTTCAACTAGATGTGATTTTGTTTTTAATTCCAGTGTTTTTCAGCGACATCTGTTGGCAATCGTTCGAAGGTCTCACTTGGACCGGACTGGGCGATTGTAGGTGCGAGTCATCCAACTCTTCCGATTGCCATTGGATTCGTCTGCACACAAATTACAATAAATGCATTTGTACGAATGTTCAATCATCGTTGAATCAACCAAAATTAGAAAATTTCAGATGAAATTTCGAAATCTGGACGATTTCCAGCATTGATAACACTCTCGCAACAAATCCAATCATCAAATCGAGCAGATGACTATCGAAGAAGATACGAATCGCGAAATAATGTGCCAATAATCAGACCTGTTGAAACGGCACCACCTACGACGACAACGACAACTCGACGACCGACAACGACGACAACCAGTGTCACAACAACTCCGAGAACTACGACGACAACTACGACGACGACAACTACAGCAGCACCAACAACTACAGTACCCAAATGGTGGCATGCGGAAAACAATCGAAATATGCAAAACGACTACGCTCGACGACAGCAATATTCAATGGTGCCAACGAATACGGTATTCAATTGCACACATTCAATATAAGAAGTTGCTATTTAATTAATTCAGAGAAACGAGGGAACGAGCAAAAAAGAATCGAATTCTTTCAAATTGTACGCTCATTTAGATGGTCCCAAAAAGGAATTTCCGCAAAAGTTCACTCCTCGTGTATACAGCAGACGTATGTTTTGAAATTTTCTTCTTTTGCAATTCGATTTTTGTTCTCAAAATCATTTTCTGTGCTCGAGAAAATGAAAATTGCGTCCATGGTATTTTTGGGATTCATAAAATGAGAAATAGATAATTGTTTAAAATGAATTTTCACATTTCTTTTTTTTCGAAAATGCACGACACGTTTGAGAAGCAATGAAAAATAAAAATAGCCTTGGGGGGCGAAAATTGTGAACCCGTCGGCGAGTAATTTGTTTAATTGAGGTGTGTGTGTGTCGAGGGCTCATCTATTTGATTTCCTCAATTTTCCTTATTCTATTTATTTATCTTCTCTTCTTGAAAAAAAGGGCATCGCGCGACGGACGAAAAAAAAAACACAGAGAAGCGGCCACACACACATGCTCTTCGCCGACTCCGCCCACTTTTTCACCTTCAGATGCCGCGCACTCCGGCTCATTGAGCACAACAACTGCGACGACGACGGCAGCGGCAGAGCAAAAAGAAGAAGCCCACACTCTTCCTTCTCATTCATTTGCTTATCGTTCACGCGCGTTTCCGTATTTCTAACAATTCGCCGCGAGACCAGTACCAACCTCAACTACCGTATTATGATTAGCTAATGATCTCTCTACATGCCATCTTAATATTTCGGATTCTTGCCGTCCCATTAGCCTACAATTACAAAATTGGTAGAACAAAATGAGCAAATGATAGGTTTGGAGACGAATGCGAAATTTGTGATTATTGCAGGCTCGTCGTGTCAGGATGCAATCCGACGATGTGAATCGGTTGACGAATGCCGATGGCATCTCGGAGAACTACGAGTTCGCTGTACAACCTCAAGCTCGTGTAGAAGAGACGAATGCGCGGCGGTGAGTTGGAATTCGATTTTTCTGAAATTACTTTTGATTACGAAATACTTTATTTCTACTAAAGGTTGATTCGTTCAAATGTGAATTCGTCGAAAATTAAATCAGTTGTATAAATTGGAGTATCCATGCATGAAAGATGTATGTGTCACACGCCATTTTCAGCTTAGATCATCACCAAAATTTGATCTTCAATTTGATTTTTGCAAGAAAACTGCAATTGAATTGAAAATAAATCCAACCCTACAATGATTTGAAAATTTCAAAGGAAAATACCTGGCATAGCTGTTTCAGAGCGTATATAAACATTGTTTGGTGAAGCTTAAAAATTCACAACCTCTTCCTTTTTTGTTCAGTTTTGTTTGGTTTGGCACCGCTTTTTCAATTCCTTTCTTGTCTCTCAAAACAAAAAAATTCATCGTCATTTTTTTTGAAACTGTTTGTGTCATTTTTTTTGAACTAGGAAAATATGCCGATATCTTCGAGAAGATGCTTCGAATTTTCAAATGTATATTCAAATTTCCTCGTTCGCCCAGTAAATTCAATTGTTGTGTGTTTTTGAGTGGGAAGCTTGAATAGAAATACGAATGGGGACGGGGGTTATCAAAAATAAAATAGTAGAAGAGCTGAAGAAGTTTTTTTTTTGTGTGATCAATTAATTGGCTTTCAAAAGGATTTTAAACGCACTTTTCTGAAGAACAATCAATTATTGAGTGGCTAGTATAAAATTCAGAGCTCGTCTCAACGCCCGATTTGCCTCATCAATATTAATGGTCACGTGTGTCAATCGGTTCTTGTTTGCAGTCGCTTCAACGCTTCGCCACCTACGTGCCATTTGCTCTCGTCGAATCGATAATGTTTTGTCATTGTGCTCCAGAAGACGTCGAATGTCTCACACAGCAGGTACATACATAGAAAGCAATGAAATAACTCATTCGGAGCATCTTTACCACTAATAACTAATGAACTTATAATTAAATAAGTTGGGCGGCGACCGCTTGAAATTGGAGTTGGTCTGGTGGGAGAAAGGCGGAGATGGAAGAAAGAAAAGAATTGGGGAGATCGCCGAAAAAAAAACAACAAATTAATTTAAGCCTGAACAACAAGAATGGCATTTATTTGGGCTTGAATTATATTTTATTTGCATAAATGCCAATCACAGCCAGAAACGAACTGTTAATTGGGAGAATATCAAAAAATTACAATTTTTCAGATAATAAAATATTATGCAATTAAAAAAAAAGAATCATGGGCTTATTTTTTGTGTCTTCTTTTTCCTCTTTTAAAATAATCAGAATTTTCTTCTGCTTCCATTTCCTTGCCGAGTTTCATGTGACATGTATCGGTAAGCTTGACATATTGGCCAACTCCTCGCATTGTTCACCTCTCCGAATTCGAGTAGTTTTTTTCGTGTCGCGTTTGCTCGCTTGAGCTCGCCAAGAGTATTCGGATGAGCACACGATTATTCGTTTCTTTTTTTTTTTTTGAAAATTGCTTTTCTCGCGCAGCGCGCAAAAATTCAAATGCTCTTCTTTTCGCTACTTCTTGTTCGCCGAAAGTGAGGGGGAAGCGAAATGTTTTTTTATTCGGGGTTTTTTGTTGTTGAAAAGAAAAAAAGATGGCACTGAAGAAAAATTTAAACCAGCACCCACGCAAATCATTGAGGCAATTAGGCGATTCGTATAATTTTTCAGGAGGTGATTTACCCGAAATGTCTGTACAAGAATCATGGATTTCCTCCAACATGCACTCAAGCTGCCAATAAATGCGATGCAGATACGAGATGTCGGTGAGTGACAAGGAAATCCTTATATGTCTACGAAATTCGAAATGAAAATTCGCAAGCAAAATTTTCGAATCGACAATAATGGTGTCAGAAAACAATATTTTATGTTTTCATTTTTTCCCGTAATATGGAAACATCTTCTCAATCAACGATTTGCTTTTTTAGCAGAGTATTTTAAATTCATGGTTCGAAACGTAGGCATATTGCAAGAGCCGAATTCCTCTAGTCGAACTACCAGAATAGACACAAATTCTAATTATTGCCATCGCAAAAAAATAGACGTTGACAAATTGTGGACCATCGCACTTTCATGAGGCGGTAATTCAAACGCGAAATAAAACAGTGGGAATTCGGCTACCGTACTCTGGATAACCTGCGAATCAAACTCACCGTAAAACTGCACAGGGTGCTCGTCTTTTTTTCACGAATTTATTGAATATAATATCTTATTGTCGGCATTAAACGACTGAAGAGAGGCGGGACCTTCAAATTCGCGAAATCGGTGTAGATTTAAGTTTATCGTTGACTGAATATTGAATGCGCGTACGCTATAATGCAATGTACGCAGTCTCGCGGTCATTGCAGACTTGAGACGCATTGGCACATAGCCAATAATTTTTTTTTTAATTTCGCCAAGTTATTTGACTCCGACAATAGGAATTTTTATAAAACGGTAATAAAAATTTTAAATAATTTTATAAAAATACGAGATCCGTGAATATGAAGGGTAAAATAGTCATCGTTTTCAGACATCTTCGTCATGCTCTTATCGCTCATTGCCCAGTTAGGAATGGAGAATGCTCGAGAACATCGCTGGATGACTGCCGACGCACAATTCTATCGGCAAGAGCTTCGATATTGGAGCAACCTTGCATTTGCAAACTCTCTGATGTGACTTGTCTTGCTCATCAGAATTCGATGATTCCGACGAATCCGTGCATTGGTATCATTCGAATCATTTGGTTAATTGATAATATTGGCCCACAGAAAATGCGATGGTCGAATATTCACGGATAATGGGATACGATAAGCCGTCTCCTGAATTGGAAACCAACCGAATTTTATCCAATCATCGTTCTGGATACCAAACTATGGTAAATTTTACATCTGCAATATTTTTAGTTTATTAGCTATAAATTATATGAACTAAAACCAATATACAGATCAAACGTGCCATTGCTTTAGAGGTTTGTTTAATTAAAATTTGAATTGTGAGTATCGCCTCGTTGGGTTGGTGAGCTCGCTAGATCAACTATGGTGAGATGATGCTACTCTGTATCTGTTGCCTGTTCGTCCGGTTCCGTTTCGTCTTTTCTCCTATTCAAACAAAACTGATTGAATAATCAATCGCTTATTTTACAGGCTGATTCGAATAGCATTCGAACACAACTTCATCTTCCACCGACGGAAAAACCAACGATGAGATCGATTGCTGAACGGCAAATGATTCAGACGACAAAGAATGGAAGACATAGAACAGCGAAAACAACGACGAGCACAACGACGACGACCACATCGACGACGACGACCACTACGCCGATGCCAATGGAATCGGGAACCACAAAGAAATCGAGTATTCTCGACTATTTCAATATATTCTCGAAGAAGAAAGAAGAGACTACGACGTTGGCGGCGGAAAAGAAGCCAAAGTTCCGAACAACGAAGACACCACCAACCACATCGGAAGCACCACCACCATGGGTGTCGACGACAACTGCGGCACCAACAACGACGACCGAGTATGTAACACATACACCACCACCGAGAGAAGGGTGCACAGTTAAAGATTCAAATGGAAGAGAAATTTTCACACATATTGGATCCATAATGAGGGTTTTGTATAACAAAATATATACTGTTCATCGTTGAGCTGTTTTCAGAAATACGTTGATTGGTCTGGACGATGCTCAAATTGGTGTGAATGCAAAATGGAGAATCATCTCGAATGCGAAGTACTTCCGTGCCTCGAAACCGGCCAATGCGATGCTCCTCTAACGACACTTGGTAACCAATTCAAAATATCTCAATATAATAGCAAATCAGTCTCTTTTTCAGAATTTGGAGAACGCGTTTATCTGAAAGATCGTGGGGCCTGCTATTGTGAAGCCGGCCATTTCGTTTGCGAGCATGCTGAGGAGGTTCCTGAGATGTATGCTGGATTGTATATATCAATCGGCTACTCGATGCTCGACGTCGAGCTTCTTCTCAAGAATGTGCCCCGGGATGTTCTCGATAAAGCGGGTTTCTCATCGTCAGACCCTTCAAAGGACATTGCGAGTCGAATGCAAATCGCTTTCGAACAGCTTCTTCCAGATGTAATCATGGCTAACCTTTTTAAAAATCTCGTTAATTGCAGAATATCAAATGTCGCATTGTGACAATGTCAGAGCTTAGCGAACCTGGAAATGCGATATACCGTATCGAATGGTACGGTATGAACGAAATGCTTAATCATACCAAAGTACAATGGCATTCAGATGGAGCCGAAAAGGTTATTTGTTCGAAATGACTTAAAATTATCAACATTTTCAGATTTGCTCTCCTTACGTTCACAAACTCGCCGATCATTTTTCGCTCAATGAAAGTCCTCGATTCCAATTGGTTCTTTCCACTGTCAAGCAAGTCAAAGTACGTCACTTCCGTAATCTACCGTAATTCATGCGCCTTTAAGGTCCTCGATTATCTCGACGGTTTGCCGATATCATTCTCAACGGGCTTCTCAATTTTCCTCTCTCTTCTCACTTTAATCATTCGACTAGGCTAGTTCTAGGCTGCCAAGCAGTCCTTTCATATTTGTTAAATATGCCTTTCCGTTCTAACCATGTGCCTTAACCATGCATAAATTTTTATTGGATTTTATATTTCTGTACAATATCTACTACCAAAGCAGTTCAACACAGAGATCGCAAGCAAATTAAAGCAATAAAGACTATTATACTTACATTTCACGGATATGATGGCTTACAGCGCAAAATTAGGAAAATATAAATAATGATTATACGATATAATAACATAATTATACATTTATGTTCAATCCGAGTCGCTATCGTCTTTCACATCGGGCATATTTTTGGTGAGTTCAAGAACGTGACTGACTTCCCGAACTCTTCCATCTTCTCCGATTGTTCCGGGTTTCACAATTCCTGAAATCAACCTCAAATCATCGATAATTTTCGGAAATTGTTCAAATTTCAAAAATGTGCTAACATTGAAAGAAATACAACTAGGAGTTTCCTTCAACAACACCGATAAAAATAAACGAAAAACCAAGACTACTCTAGTCAGATTCTTTTTGAATGTTTAAAGAAAATGAATTTTACCGGCATCCATCATTTTGTTCATTGCATCAACCAATTTCATCGCCTCGTACTCCTTTTGTTCCTCACTCATTCCTTCAAGGAACGATCCTCTGTCAGGTGGGAAAAGAGATCCAGTCACTGGATTCACACTGCAATATAAATGATAATTCTCAGCATCGAATCTAGAAACTATCTTACTTATCCTTAACCGAGTTGTACTCCTCCGTCTCACTGTCTTCACTATCCGAGTCGTGTTTCGGCTCATTGATTTGTCCAAGAAGCCCCATATTGGCCAAAAGTCCAGCAGAATGTCCGAATCCGGTATATTTGATCATTCTTGCCACCGATTTCTTGCACAAAACGAACAAAAATTGCGCGGCGATGTCTTTGGCACAAGTCGGCATCATCATGAATCGCACAATTTTCCCACGAAGCGAGTCTTCCTCTTCAGGCCTCTTTTCGACTTCCTTGTCTTTCAATGGCGGCAGAATCTATAATTGCGCACCGAATTATTCAAACAAAATCGAAAACAAAAATACCTTCATTCGGCAGTATCTTCGCGCATATTTGCTATCTCTACAAAGGCGACTGAGAGTTGTGAAATAGGGACCGATGAGGTCCGCAGCAGTGCAAGATGTTGTTTGACTAGCAACAGGTGGAAGCTAAAATCGAAAATACTCAAAATCGGGATCCTTAATCTACCTCATTCAGACGCGATTCCAAATATTTGAGAAGCTTGTCAGTGAAGGTCATGTCATCGAAATTCTCGCCGGATGTCGACGAATTTGGCTGAAATTTAGCATATTTAAAATAAAGGAAGAGAAAGACAGAGATTCGTTGAAGAAAAAGCTCACGCTTGTGCACAAAATTTCAATATCCGGAAACACTGGCGGCAGGGAAAAGCTATTGATAGCCGCTTGTTTAGTCTCATCATTATATGAGTTATCCTCAGCAACGACCACATTGTAAAGAGCTTTGTTGATTTTTCGTACTTTGTCCTGAAAAATAAGGGTTCATAAATTAATTTAAAAGCTAAAAAATAAATTTTCGTATTGCATTTTATGAAATCGCAAACAGTTTTTTTTAGCTTCAATTATTAAGCAATTTATGTTACCTTTGAAAGAGAATCGTCACTGGCATGACAATATACATTAAAAAGTGTTTTCATCGCTTCATTCGCTCTTAAATAATCAATCTGTTTGGCATTTTTGTTCGCGTTAAGAGATTCCACAGCCAATAAGAGACAATCAACTGTATTATCTTTATGAGCCCAAAGATTCTGGAATTTTCATATAATTGTTTTCTAATCGAATCACGGTTAATTACTTGAAGTTTTCTGCTCAACGCGGTCACAATAAAAGCAATTCGGTGGTAGAGGAACCAAATTTCCTCGGCAGCGTCATTAGGAAATGGAATTATCCATTTATGCGCTGATTCATTTCTTTTTGACGTGTCCAACTCAAACAAATAGCTGATAAGCAGATCGCTATTTTCTGCGTGATGTCTGAAATATTAATTTCGATTGAAGAATATCACTGAATATGAGATACTCGAATCGTTCCCTCATTTTTGACGAATTGAATAATGTATTTATGAGGCATTTCTGAGCTTCGTGAAGATTGGTTTGCGTGATTTCGAATCCATCTTTTACTGGGAGACCTGCATTGAAAAGCACGAAATCGCAAACATCGGGGGTCATCAGAGTCTGAAATTATGTTTTTTTTGTTGCTTCTTTTCATTTTTCTTTTTTTTGGTTAAAAAAATCTGACTTTAAAATTCAGAAATTTCATTATTGTTATGAAAGAATTTTTTAGGAACATTTCGAACGATTTGAGTGTTTCTATAAAAACATATTCAGTGGTTGCGTATAATTTGAATTTGTAGATCACTCCAAAAAATTTGTATCAATGATTCAAAACCCAACCTCAATTCCCGTTTTTTCTCGCGCAAGTAATCTGATTGTTTCGATAAAAGTCGCAGCGAGTTCGGTCTCATTTCTCTTTGCAGTTATAAGTTTCGCAAACTCCTAAATTTCGACATTTCTTTTTGAAATTTCAATGGCGAACCTCGCGTGCGAAATAATCGATATGTCCAAACGATTGCAAATTTTTGTTTTTTGAATTCCAATCGGCGAAAAATTTTAAAACGTCGTGATTCGATTTTCCATGAAGAGCTTTTATCTCGTGATGCTCAAAAGACGTCATCTAAACGAATCAATTAAGTTTTGAAGGAAACCAAAATAAAATGGCGATATGGGAGGTTGATGAAAACAACAAACAACAATAGCAAAAGTGAACATTGGGAACGAAAAAAGCTTTTATTGAAAACTAGGGATGAAAAGAAGAAGAAGAAGAACAAAATCTGACTGAACGAGCGCTAATGACAATCTACTTATACGCAATTACGCGTTTTTCACTTTTGGCATTTCGTCGGCACGCTTATAAGATGGCTGAGGAACTCGGTCTTTTTCCATGGTAACCTGCGAATGATTATTTAGTATAGGAGTGGCTGGCCGAGCGGGCGGCGCTTACCTCAGCCTGAGCGAACGAGTATTTGTCGAATTTCAAGTAATCGTCGCATTTGTACAACGACCAGTCCGGCTTTCCACCTGCAAAATTGATTGATTCGAAAAACAATGCAAAAATTGAGGAACCTTCCGTGGATTTTCAAATGAAGATTATAGTTTTCCAGAAAATATTACGCGCATTTAGATAGGATCAAATGTTTTTCAACTTATTTTCAAAAGCATTAATATTTACACTTGCTGTTAATGAACAGATTCATTGGTTTCTTTTGGTGTCATTTTCGCGTTTTTCTAAATGTTTGAATCTTTCGAATTTAAAACTCACGAAATGACACAAAAACCTGAATAATTATCGGATTTTCTTTCTCGCAATCAATATTTTTTCATTTTTTTTAAATTTTATAGCTCTTCTTAGGCAATAAAACAGCAAAATAAACAAAGGGATGCTTGAAAACATCTTTAAAACCCACGCTTAAAGAGCTTGTGTGCGAAACAACGTTGATTAATAGGGTTTATGTCATGTGGCGGATCATGTAAGCAAGCAAAATGGACATGGAATAGCAAAATATGTGGTGAATGAAAATATTAGTTTCTAGAAGCGTAGTTCAATAGAATACGAAATGGGATAATCCCTCATTTACAAGAAAGCATACTCAAAAATTCGTACGAAGAGAGTAGAAACAACCGAAAACACCAGGAATGAGAGTTTTATGGTAGAAACCGAAAAATAAGAGTGAGACTAGCGGAAAATTAGGCGCTCTTTTAATGAGACATTTAATTAAACTCGAAAAGCAATGACAATTCTTCCACTTTCATTTATTTGTGGGTTTTAAGAAATAATTTTCTCAGAAAATACCTTGACGTTGCTTCGCTTTTTCAGCGTGTTCGATTCCAGTGCTGATTTTTGGAGCGGCAGTAGTGTAGCTGCGGACAATTCTAGAAGCCGTAACCAAGCGATTCATAACTGAAAACAGAGTTTTAAGGATTTAAATAATAATTAACTTTGATTAATTTGAAAGAGCTAAAATATTGTCTTGCAAGATCAGAGATATTCTCGAAAATGACAAAAAAACGTGGACAAAAATTATTTTTTTAATTTTCAGTGGCGCTCTGAGAATTTCAAAAAAAATCGAAACTTAAAATAAATTAAAATGCCAAAAGACGATAATGTCCAAAGGTTCAGAAAATGTGTGTAAATATCGAGAAATCAAGAAGAAGGGGCCCAGGCGCTTCAAAAAAAAAAATAAAATTAAATAATTCACGTCAAGCAAAGCGCACTGACGCATTTAAAGTGCACTTGTTTTGTGTCAACAAAATTCGGCGGAAAATTTGATTTTCAAAAACTCTGTACTGTTTTTTTTTAATTTTACGTTCATCTGTTACGGCCTTCTTAAAATAAGAATTACTGAAAATTTTTTTCTGTTTACATTTCATAATTCGAATCTAAAAATTTATGTTTTAAACAGGGAGAATGACCGATACTAAAACCCAAAATGCAATTTCGTTGAAGGGATCGGCACAACTAGTCAAAGAGTTCTTTCGTATGTGAAATATTTTAAAATGGTTCGAATTTCCCAAATTACAGACTATGGCTTGAATAGCATTATGTACCAACGGGCATTATACCCATCGGATACATTCAAAAGGGAAAAACGTTATGGATTAACACTTCTTGTAACCAATGACAAAAAGCTTCAAGCGTTTCTTGAACCTCTACTTCAACAAGTTGAATGTAATTTGTCTATTATAAATTATTTCACGAGATCGACATTTCCTAATCTTTCAGACTGGCTTTCCAAGAAAAAACTTAAAAGGCTTGTAATGGTCATCTCAGAAGTCAAAACGAAGGAAGTCGTAGAGCGGTGGCAATTCGACATTCACACAGAAGACGTCGATGAAGAAGGGTTCGTTTTGATCTGTTTTGATTGGCCTTTCGAGTGTTTTTTACGCGGAATAGATCCCGATAAATTTGGCAGCTAATGGGTGCTTGTCGAGGTGTGAAGTAGGTTTCTCGGTGACCAGGTATCCGTGTACAAATGTGCATTGCGCAATCGAATAGGCAGCCGAAAAGCTATCGAGTTAATCCGTACGCGAGGCCACTCGAGCAGATACGCAACAATTCGATACCGTCCGTTGTTTTTACAACGGATTTATTATTGTTGACTGAAATTTGGCGAGACACTGAAATCCGATATTCTCCGCCACCATGTGTCATGTCGGACATAATTAGATTATCCAGGTTATGTAACGAGGTCGATAAATTCATTAAAAATAATATTAAGTAACAAATCGAAAAAAAATTCTAATGAAGATGCAAATTCAGTAGTGGCAAACAATGGAGAAAAAATGGGGCGAAGGAAAATAGAATTAGCATCATTTTCTGGAATATTTAATTACCTTAATTATCTGAAACGTTTGAAACTTCTAGAAAAATTCCAAAATTTTTTTCAAATTGCACTTTATTAATAATGTTTTAGAGAGAACGCGACTCGTCAGAAGGACGAGAAGAAGATCCGTCAAGAGATCAGCGATGTTCTCAGGTTAGTTGCCACATTTATTCTCAGCATGTAATTTAATAGCTATACACACGCCGTTTTCTGGTGACCTAACGTGTTCTTCCGAAAAAGCATAAAATGAAATTAGTGCGTATTGGAAAGGATGCGACATAATGTGATTTTCTCGAACCCTTTTGGACACAAAAAATGAATAATTGTTAGAGTCACATGGCGCGTGCTCACCATAATAAGAAGTGGATGGGATGAATTGCAAATCAATTAGCCTGATCCACTTTTTTGTGTGAATAGCAGTTATAAAGAAACATTTAGACAAATAACCGCATCGGTCTCATTTTTGCCTTTGCTCGAAGAGCCGGTGTCATTCGATGTGTTGATCTACACCGGAAAAGACACTGAAGCGCCGGAAGATTGGACAGAAAGCGGTGCGTGTCTCATCGAAAACTCGGAATCTGTAAGAATTAAACTCATGATTATCTTACAAGTTTTGACATTTAGGTTCAACTTCGCTCTTTTTCGACTTCGGTTCATGCTGTCAATACTAATGTGCAGTACAAAGCGGATTTGTAAATGCAAGTAGAACTTACTGACGGAATCATTGTTACCTCAATATTAACAAGTATGTATTTGATCTTGAATTTGTTACTTTTGCTGCTGCCGCGACAGTCGCTTCCTAATTACGACTCATAATATATCTTTTGTTATTACTATTCTTGCTATTATCCTTATTACCGTTTCGCGTGTTGTTGTATAAAAGTTGCTGTGTGTTAGTGATGTAATACGACTCCCATTTAAGGGCCATCCGACAGTGGGGTGTCTTTGAGACACACCGACTGTTTTGAATGGTCCACTCACTAGTGAAAGCTGTACACGCTGAATTAATTGTTGCGAAATTGAATAAATGTATTTTCGAGGTTCGTTTTGAACGATATCGTGAAGAAATAAAATCATCTGGGGGAAGAACTGTAAATCCCATAATAATTTAAACGGTTCCATCTGTCATCATGAGCAACAGATTGTGCACGATTCTCCCACACCACAATAGTTTAATGGTCCCATTGGGGAGTCCAAAAAGATATTCGATCATTGGCAGGTGCCAAGTTCCAACGGGTTTGTTTAAGCCGCTCATTTAATAGGATTATCCATATTTGTGTATATACAACACATCATCAATCGAGTCGACGAATGACATAACAGACTACGGTCGCAGGTGAGAATTATCGATATTTTTCAAAATCTTTGAATTTTGGGTAAATGGAACATGAAATGATTACTGGTGGAAAAGTACTAAATCAAAAGTTAAGGTTTCCAAACAAAAAGTTTTTTTTTTTAATTTTAATGCAATTTTTGGTTGAAAAATTGAGAGAAAACGCAATAGTTAACTTATATTCAAAATTGATGCCGATAATTAGCGGAAACAGAGCAATTAGATATTTACAAAGGGGCCGATCGTATACCATAATCCGCAGAGTTGCGTAACTTTGCCGTACAGCTGCTGCTGTCAACAGTCATTCAATCCATTTGCCAAGGTTTACCTTTGCTCCCTTCTCAAATATTTTTTGGAAATTCATTTAAATATATATATATATAAGATAGTAAATCTTTGATCGAATGTCTGTCATAACAATGATTATCTTCTGAATTATGCTGCCTAATTATTTCTCTCAAATTACCCTCAATTTATTCGCACAAAAGCCAAAGACGGTAATTAGACGAACACACGTATATTACATAAGAGCTGATTGACCGGACAGGTGACTACAAACTGTAACTAATAATCTGATTAAGTCCCATTTGTAACCAGCACATTTTTAATTATGGGGCACCACAACGATGCGATTCTCGAAGCGTGTGATGATGATTTGATAGAACGAAGCAATAAATTGGTATGCAAATGGTTATGAGGCGTTGAAATCGAAATCGTCTCAGCGTCTCTTCATCGCGAGTTATCTCTCGTCGATGTCCAGAAGCCCATACTCATTTTAATGGGGATCATTTAGCGCCATTTTGATTTGAGATAGCTTTAAACATGTTACTTAGAACGGTTCGAATTTATTGAATCAAACCTTCTTTTTCAAAAATTGTCCTAATTGAGTATTAAATTCTAAATTAAAATAAAACTTATGCAAAATATTTCTATATCAAATTAGTTGTTGCAAAATTGTCGAATTTGTCATTTTTACGTAATGCAAATACGTAAAATATGTCAAATGTGAAGCTAAAAATGACAATTTCAAATATTTGGAATGCCTAATTATGTTAAATTTTTAAATATTCTGTTTTTTTCCAAAAAAGAAAATAATATGTATTTTTTAAAGTTTATTAAAATTGATTTCTTTAACAATTTTATTTTTTGGTCAACAAGAATATGTTTATTTTTTAGAATTCAAAATGAGAAAATTTAATTGTTTGAAATACAAAAATGATTTGAATAATAATAAGATTTAATTTTTCGATATCTCATTTATTTATGTGCCAAAGGTGAATGTTGATTTTCCCGTCGTCACCTTGTTCGCACTCTCAATATTCCCAGCCTTGTGCATTTCCGCCGATCCACCGTATCTCACCTAGGCGCCGCCCATGTTCGACTCCACCTCCTTGCAATAGCTCGCCATTCATATCCTACTCGTCGTCCTCCTCATTTTCCTCCCACCCAAATCTCACCGTCATCTGTAAGTGGTGACCAGTTGACATGATGGCGACCACGACGACTGGCGGCAGCGAGCAATTCCCATCGACATCTGCTGCCTTTTTTCAGGCACACTCAAATTTGGGACATCAGGTATTCGAATTTCTGTTGACTTAATATCTTTTGTTTTGAAAATACCTTATGAAAATTAATTACTTGTATTGTTTTTAGGAAGTGAAACCAAAACGAGAAAAAAGAAAATATCGATGTCGAAAGAGAAGTCCTGCGACGATTGAGCGGGCCAAAATGATTCGTCGAGATAAGGTTTGCAAATAGGTTTCTCTTCACATCTGAATTTCTTGTTCTTGAAGGCAAATGCAAGAGAACGAAGACGCATGAATAGTTTGAATGACGCCCTGGAACACCTTCGCACAATTCTTCCTGCTTTGCCCGATGAGCCCAAAATGACAAAAATCGAGACATTGCGAAAAGCTCAACAGTATGCTCCGCTTCAAGACGTTAATTTCATAAAAATGAGCTATTCAGATATATTGCTACATTGTCTTATCAACTCTCCTGTGGCGACCCATCATCATCTCCAGAATCCATGCAACAATATCCTTGCGATGGAATCAATTGTGGCTGCTGTTCAACAAGCGTTTCGCTGTCTTCAACTCCCTTCCAAAGCCCCTGTTTCCCTCCTCCAACTAATCAGTATTCATCACAAAGCAACTACAATTATTCCAATTATTATTCCCCACAATTTCCCAAACCTTAAACCCTCAAATTTACTTGCATGTCTAGTCAAATGTATTATATTTATATGAAGCCTATGAAAAAGAAAGAAAAATAATATAAAGTCAACCTATGTTTAAAAGTGTATAATTATGCTGTTTATTCGAGTTTCTTTTTCGACTTCTTCTCGAGCTCAAGCTCCATTCGCTTTTCGCGTTGCTCCGGTGATTCAAGAACTGTTTGTCGTGCTTTTTCCCATTTCGATTCGTCTCCACTCCAAAGTCGTCGGACGAGGTCTTCAGCTTCATTCATCGTATCCATGAGTCCAACAAACAACGGATTTTCATCCAGCTAAAAAACTTAAATTCATATTAATTTTTCAAAGTAATAGGAATTACCGTATCCCATCCTTTGAGAAGTGCAAGTGCTCTACCGTATTCTGCGTCTGTCACCACCTGAATATAAGAATTCAAAGACAAATGTAAGCGCTTTGATCAAACCATATCATCTGGAGGATACAATGCTGCAGCAACATATCGTCCTTCAGCATTCAAAAAGTTAAACGTCGCAATTGCATCTTCCTTTAAATTCAATTAAAGAAATCAATAACTTTCAACAAATAATATACCGAATCCATAATTTCCAGCCCAATTTTATGCTCTCTTAAGAATGGAGCAACTCTTTGTCGAACTCTGGAAATTAAAAATAAAACTTGATAATTTCAAGATTTTTACGATTTTACTTGTCAATATTTTTCTTATCGCCAGCTCCTAATACTAAAATATCGATTTTCGGTTCGAGAGCAGCGAACAATGAGAGCGATTTTGGGGTGATATCGTCTACTGTAGGAACCCGCCACGATAGGGCAGTTTTTGGGAAAAGGGCAACAGGACCATATCTGTTAAAACTCAGTGAATCGATTTTTGAAATACGTAGTGTTCATTTAACTTACAAAAATGTTCCATCAAGAAGACGAAATCCATAACAAGAGAGTCCGCGAACTCCCATTTGCTTTGATTCCAACATATCCGTAGAAAGCATTGAAACCCGGCTTCTAGTCGTCATATCAGATTCTCCAAGGGGATTCATGTGGAAACCATCAAGTACACCTACATTTACATAATTAAAAATAATTAATTGATTGTGATTTATAAATTTAAAAAAGCAGGGAAAAAATATACATAGACAAGTCTTTATGCAGGCTCTTATTAGCAGTCTGCTACGATCATAAATTTGTAATAAGTTTGCCATAATTTTCCAGAGTAGCTCTGATTCCAATCTACATATTTACATTCACATTCTCAGGAAAATTATATACGAATATTTTTTTTTCTAAATTGGTAGCACATGATACCTTTTTAATGTATACGCACGTTTGAGATTTTTATTCAAAATATTACCGGTATCTGCCCTATTATCAGGAGGTTCATTTCGCTTTCCGCCGAAAAATCGACGAGTGTTCCGAAGATTTGAAGAATTTACAATCAACGATGAAATCCGTCGCATTATTCTGACTAAAACTTTGGAAAACTGGCATGTTCAATAGCAGATAATTCAAACATCTCAACAAGATAATTCTTCGTCGAAAACGATCGAATAATAAAGTTTCATTAAAATCAATAAATTTATTAGGATCAATCTATGGCAAGGCGTAAATAAGAAATGTTTTGGAATGGCACAAACAATCACAATAACGGTAATTATTATTTACATGGAAAAATAAACATTTAATTTCTAAATTAAACTGGCGTTTTTCTTTCATGGTCATTTTCATCGATCGAAACATTCGCAAGTTCGTCCATTAAAGATATTCCACTCGGCTCATTATCACGGAAATTTGCTGGTGGAGTTGCATATCCAGAAGCACTTTCACTTGTTGTATTAGTGGTAATGGAAGCTGATGTTGTTGGAATTGCGCTCTAAAATGTTCGAAACAATAATTTAATGAGTAAAAAAATTTTAAACCTGTTGCCAAGCTGGAATGCTGGATACTGCTGGAGCTGCGATGGGGGCAAAATTGTGCTGACTGAGTAGAAGGCTTTTAATAGTACTAATGCCACTCTGAAACAATAGAAAAATCGGATTCACATTGTAATTACTTAAAAATACTTCAACTCTACTCAAATCGGCATCTCGACTGCTAACCGAATACAAAGCGCGAGTAATTTCTGCTTGCTGAGTTGCAAGCTGTTGAGTTGTTTGCGAAACCGTATCCATAATAAACTTGATCGAATTTTGAAGATCATTGACTTGCGACTGAAGCTGACGAATCTCTTCAGTGGCTGGATCGGGAATATCAAAGAATTTGGGAAGAATAAATGAACGCATGAATCGATATCCTGCATATGAGATCGATCCGAGAATAACAGCGGATTGAGCAATGGAGACTATGCGATTCTGTTGTGACGGCGGGGCTGGCAAATATTGAACACCGTTTCCGTGCTGAATTTGCGACTGAAGCTGCTCTGGTGGAATTGAAGCTCGGGCCTCAGCTATTTCGGCTTCAGTAACACCTTTTCCTAATAAAAATGTCCGTTGTTCCTCGAACGGAGTTTCTCGAACCTAAAAAAACCAAGATACAAATAATACATTTTAAAATTTTCAACAATTGAATAGAAATTATATATAAATGCGTGGAACACGCGATTTCAAAAAATTCATTTCGGATTTACCTTTGGAGTTAGCATAAACTTCCTTGCCGCCTCCACCATTTCTGCACGCGTTGACGGACATCCATTGTCCGTCATTTTTTCGACTGAATAGAGGAGTAGTAAGAAAAACGTTCGATGAAAAACGACAGTAAAAAAAGAGGCTCGATAACCTAATTGCGATGAATGCGAGAGTTTTATCACTAATATTCATTATCACATGTCCAAGTACACTTATAAATAAAAATATACACGAGGTAAGTTACCAGTTAGAAAAAAAAAGTACTGGCAAGATTTTCTGACATAACAATAACTGTACAAAGGGTAACTTAATGTTAGATAATGTTAGGTTTTATAAATTAAATACATATAAACATGAAATATTGGAAGAAAATTTGGCAATATTTATTTATTTTCAATGAGATGGGTCTTCAGTATATCCAAACTCTTATGCAATGCGTTCGCAAATGCAGCAGCATCGCGTTGAGACTGAAAAAAAATGAGAGTAGTTAACGCCTCTTCTCTCTAATCAATGTCACCTTGTTACTCGAGATAACAGCGCCTAGTTTTGACGCCACTACATTGTAGCCTATACCGAAACCATCTTTAACAACAGGTCCGAATCCACCGAAAACAATAGTCTCGGTTGACAAAGTGCTAGTTGAAAGGACAAAATGTCCCATTCGATTGTATCCAGCATCCTTAACATTTAAATCGCATTAAAGCCAATGTTTTCCGAATTACATTAAAGAATTCAGGAAGCCCTTTTCCTTGACGCTGAGCAGTGATTTTTAGACCCAATAGATGCCGATCGAATCCTTGACCCATTGAGGCTTCTTTCACAAGCTGTCCATGAATGTTGGAACATTCAGTGAGAAGTGATCGAACATCGGTTTTGCCTTCTTCAAGAATAGCCAATGTTGCAGCACGTGTTGCAGATGTTGCTGATCTTAACTTAAGTTGTTTATGCTTATTACCAACAGTTTACATACCTCATGCACTCGGTTCTCCCCTTAAGGAAAGCAGCAGTAGAACATGATTCATAAGTTGGCACGAACTCCTTATACATTGAATAGAAAGCCATCTATATAATAATTGAATTTAAAAAAAAACATTTTCACTCAGACCTGAATAGCCAATTGCATAACAGAATCTGGAGACAACATAGTCTTTTTGATAAGGTCACGATTCAATCCAGAGTATTCCATAGTTGCAAAATCAAGGTCAGAGTTACTCAAAACATGTTTTTTCTGAGCTTCCTCGATTTTCGATTTGATCGAATCAGTCAGATTGAATTCTGAAAATAAGATTCTTTGGAAATAATTGTAGCCCTTATACATACTAATTTCTTTAACGTTTTCTGGATTGGCGGCTATAGGGGTATCATCAGGACTCACAAAATGATTTGCGTTTGTGTCTCTATATGATTCTTCCATAAGGCGAAGAACAGCAACACCATCACCCCAAGAATGCTCAAAGTTGATTGTGGCCTGTCCATTCGCTAAAATTACTTAATTAAAAAAATAATTTACATCCAAAGTAATACCGTCGATAATAGTTTGAAAACATTTATCAAACCAACGATTTTTGGCCTCGTCGCCAATAAGCAGCGATTGAACGAGTCTAAATAAGACCTAATATATAATTTTGCAAAACTTCTCAAACCTCTTATGGTCTTCTGTTTTCAATTCGTCTAGACACAATGCAAACATCGCTCCGTCAATCTAAAATTATTGTATTTCACTTTTTTTTTTAAATTTTATGTTTACCAATTTGAGACTTTCAATATTGCCGGCATCTTCTAGTTCTCTTCGTGCATCAGCCCATTCATCTCTTTCCAAAGATGTAAGCGAACCTAAATTTCTCAAATTTCCAAAACTATGTATAATTTCGAATCGCCTACCAACACAAGAATTTGCCGGTGCTTCAGTACCATTATTGAGAATATGAGCAAGTGACGCTTGAATTTCCTCTGCGGGCAGAATTTCACCTTTCTCATTTTGAATGCGGACAGCGTATGGAACACCGCGATAGATAGCCAAGAAATGCTTTTGAGTGTTATCCTTAATATTTAACTTTTATTTTTTTATCTCTTTTTTTTACTAAACCAAATAAAGGACATCTTTTTCCTTTTTAGGAATACGAGAACCGCAGAAAAGAGACTTATATTGACTCATATCCAGTGGGAATGCTTTGAAAGCAACTGCTCCGAACCACGAGAGACTTGGGGGGAGAGTCCTAATAAAAAGCAATTTTATTAAAAATAAAAACTGAGACAAGAATGAAATACTTGCAAACAGTTCGAAATAATTTCGTGTCACTTTTCTTGGGATTCAAGTGAAATACTTCTGGAGCCAACACGTTTTCATCCAATGATCTCTTTATACGAGCATAGGAAATGGCAAGATTTGTGGCTCGTGTAAGCTAAAACAATAGGAAACAATTAACAATAATAATAAAATATGTAAATAAAAACCTGATGATTGAACTTTGGATCCGGATCTGGAGCGTACATCATAAATGGATTGTAGTTCACTGCTACAGGAACTCGAGCCCTCAAGTACATATCGAACCATGGTTCGGATATGTAGCTTGTATCTTTGTGGTTTTTGTCATACTCCAGTAATCCCGATTGGAGTGCTGGACCCTCATTTTTCTCAAACTCTCTAATTGATTTCTCGGTTTTTTCGTAAACATCGCTTCGCAACACAACTTTAGCAGATGCCAAAAATCTGAATGAAAAATAGCAAAATTTTACTGAGAAATGATTAAAATCTCACCTATTCACAGAATCTTGAAGCTTCGGGATTGGTAAGCGTCTCAAACTTTTTTGGAAATGATACGACGGAATTTCACTTTTATGGAGATACTGATAGTCATCACCGGTTAGGCTATGTTTACCCCGAGTTTGAATGTTTTTCGACACTTGTCGAGTTGTAAGGCCAAAACTACGAGATCGAAGCATCTAAAACGAGTTAGTATAGTTTAAATTGAACGAAAAATCGGACTGATAACAACAACGTAGCCTGGTTGATCGTATCAAGGTAGACTTTGACCCCATTGCACACTGTCTGTGTCAGGCCAACGAACACTGACCCACATTTTTCAACTTGAGCGAAAACTGCGTCAGTACAATACAATTATTTTATGCAATTTTTTGAATTGCCCGGGTTTTCATTTTTTTGCATTAAAATCACGATTTCTTATTTTTATTTCTGATCACTTTCGAATTCACTGCAGTCCTAAATTCTAAAAATTGTTGCATATATCCAGTTAATATTTCTAATTGGCAAATTTAGTTTTAAGTATTATTGATAAATATGACTTCAAAACTGCTTCAATGTTTTTAGCTTTCACAAGTTCATAAATATAAATTTCTACAAACTTTTACAGTAGCAACATGTTTCGTATGCAAGGAGCTCCACCACCGCCACCGCCACTCAAGACTCGATTTGAAATTGTGAACACTGTCTACAATGACCCATTCTTCTGGTTTGTTGCAAATTTCTACAATTCAAATAACATTATTGTTGTTATTATAGGGGAGTTTTTAAAGGAATTATTGGTTTCGGCGTCGGAGTTGTAATTGCGAGATCTGTCAGTGAAGAATGGGGAAATACTGTATAGATATGCAAGTATAATACTATCAAAAATTGTTGTTTATTTTTCGTTCTCATTAGAGTCGTTATAGAATAAAAATTGTTTATTAACACATAAAACAGCAAAATGGTTTTAGAAATGAACGAAAATTCGAATCTTCTGAAAAGTTTCCTTTTCGTCTTTTATTGTATCTCTCCTTTTCGATAGAGAGTTTCAATATTAGAACTGCACATTCATCAAAAATCTGAAAGCGTCAGTATTCAGAATTTTTGAGTTCGATAGGATTAATTAACTATTCAATTACCTGAGAAACGTTCTGGTTTAATTTCGCACTTGTTTCGAAATATGGAATGTTCATCTTCCTGAAATTTTTTTAAAATTAAAAATGAAGACATTTGAAGTCTTTAAACTTGGCGAAACTTGTTGCTTCCTGCTCATCAATTTCTCTCTGCCCAATCAGGTCCGATTTATTTCCAACTAAAATAATTGGAGCCTGTGCGAAATTTTAAAGATTTATTTCATTTGTATTCGAAGTAACCTCTTGTGAACGATATTGAATAATCGAAAAGTACAATTTCTTAACATCTTCATATGTCGATCTCTCAGCCAGTGAGAAAACAAGAATGAAGCCTTGTGCAGATTTATAATACGTTTCACGCATTCCAGAAAATTGTTCCTAGAATTTTAAATTGAACAGCACAGCTCGAATGTCTAGACTTACTGTCCCTGCTGTGTCCAAAATCTCTAATCGCGTATTTTCAGAATCAATTTGGGCTAATTTTCGATAGCTATCTTCAATTGTTGCATCATAATTGGTCACAAATACACCCTGCACAAATTGAAGTGTCTGAAATTCGAATTAAATGATTTGTAAATATCAAGTCAACAGGAATTACCAGTGCACTTTTGCCGACACCACCGTTTCCCAAAACCACAATTTTGTATTCCTTCATAAGAAAACTGAAAAGTGGTATTGATAACAAGCAAGGAAGGCTTCTTCTTCTTCTCGTTCTTCTACATTGCCGCGAATTTTTTTTGGGGTTCAAGGCGTCTAATTAGAAAACTTTCTCTCTCAATAAAAAATGCGGAAGTAAATTGGAGTATTTTGCAAGTTTCAATGAAAATCAATAAACAGTAATCGAAAGAAACTGGTAGGAAAACCGACACGCGAACATATGATAATGAAAAGTAAATGTTTGGAACGAATTGAAAATGCGGACGAATCGACAACAATGATATGTCATGCGCGAGGCATGCATGTTCCTTCATTTATCCATTCCGATTGGCGGCCAATTACCCGACGCGAGATCATTTACACACTAATTTATTATTAGCAAACACAATCAGCTTTTTTGGATGATTGCATTTAAGAAGAATTAAACGTCGAAACTGGCTGAAGAAATACTTCGATCGTCACGATTTGAAATTGCTTCAACATTATGGGATGAAAATGAAATAATTTATTTCGCTGAACGTAAAAAATTATTATTTATAAAAAGTCTATTAACTCGGTTTTATTATTATTTTCTTTTTTTTCAAAATTCTTGTTTTGAAGATAAATCTGGAAAAGAGTTAAAGCAACGGGGGTGATTTCATCAATTTTCATCCAAAAATGTTCAATGTTTTTCTTTAATTATTTAGAACAATACCATATAGCTTAAAGTAAATATGATATAATTAAACGAGGCAAATAAATTTGCTTTTTTCACAGTATAGATCCAATTTATTTTTTTTTCGTCTCACTTAATTTACTGATTTTTCATATATCCGACGCCCACGATTCCCCATAATAATTAGGAAATCATGCTGATCCCAAAACAAACGCGTGCATTCGCCAAAGCATTGCTTCTAATTCCATATTCAACCCTTTTCACACACACCTCATCATTTATTTCTGACCGATTACGGTAGCGAATGGAGACAAATTGGCAATTATTGATTTCTGGAAGGGCAAGTTCGAGCTAATCATTTTTGAGATTCTAGTTATTCGTTTGGTGAAATCAAATATGCGTTGAATAATTAAAAATAAATAGAGAGTATTCACCACTAGGAAAAATCACAAAGATAATTGAAAATGAAGACAAAACGAAAATGATAGAAAGAAATATAAAAAATTCACGATGACGATGAATCTTCTTTGAGCGAGAGCAATTCGGCGATCGACTTAATCGAGTGCCGCACTTTTTCAGTGTTCATGCTCATATTGAATGGCTCCGGCAGTTTGAACATGTTCAACGAATTGTCCTCATTCGATGATGTCTCGTTTCCATTTTCTTCCTCCTCGTCATCTTCTTCCTCGCGCTTCAAATTCAGTGGAAGAATTGGAAACAACGATGGAGCTCGCTGGAAAATAATCAAATAAAATAGGGCAATGAAGAAAGAAAATATGAAAAAAAAAACTACTTTCTTTATTGCTACATTGAAATTTTCTGTTTTTTCTTTTTTTTTTTATTTTATCGACACCGAAGCATATTGCATTTAAAGTAAATTTTTTTTAAAAATAATTATAGTCTAATTAATTTTGCAGTAAAATCATACCCTGGTTTGTGAGCAAAACATGTCGGAGATGAGAATTTCCATAGAAGCATTGCCGATTGACGAACGAAACAATACCTCAATGATGCTGCTTTGCGGGATTTTTGTCGCTGCTTCGAAGCACCTTCAATTTTCTTTTTTGAAAAAATTTATACAATTTACTTACTTGACAAATCTCGTTGAATCGTTTCCGTGCAATAAATGTTGAAGTGTAGCAAGATGCAAGCCGAACTGAGCGGCCAATTGAGTTCCTTTGAAGAAAATGTACATTTTAAGGTAAAAAGCCTCGCTTGGGTCGAGTCTGAGATTTTCTAATGCTTCGAATGCATCAGCCACCTCAATTAAAACCATTTATTTCAGCTAAAAAAAAACAAATTACTTCATTTTTGAGTTTCGATGGAACACCAGCGATATTTTCGCTGCGAATCTGACGAGCCGTGATCGATTTCATCTCGTTGCATTTTATAAGGAAGAGTGAATGCCAGTTCTGTTGGAACTGAGTCAAACAACGATCTTTTGGAAGTGGTCCATGACTGAGCGAGTTCTGGCAGAATGAGAATAGCTCGAAGAAGATTCGCGCTGCTGTTTCAGTGACGCTGTCAGAATTTGCTGGTCCTGGATCACTCTCCGATCCCACGTCGGGCTGAAAAGAATTAACCATGGTTTTTTTTTCGAAAATTTCAAGCAATGTTCTCCAAGAACAATCGGCCAACTAATATAGTAGTATCATTCTTGACCCCTTTGAACACATGTATCCACTACAAAACATGTTTCATCCCATAATCGATCAACACATTCAACAATATTTAATCTACCGTAATCGGATGCGGCGCGGTAAAAAGGTAAAAGTTGCGCTAAGCCATGGTGTCCCTCCTACATGTGCCGGTCTCATTTGCCGTCACCCTCAAAACAATACCAAATTGAGGCAAAGGCACATCGTGTGGCAAATCGATATGAGAAAGACAAAAAAACACCGAAAATTTGAGAACAAAAATTTGCGAGCGCACACATGCCATTTAATGGGTCTGCTGATGTCGAAGCAGGTGATCCAAGGGTTAGCAAACAGTTTTTTCCCAGATGAAAAATTTGAAGTGAGATTGTCTTGCGTAATCGACACTATCCCGACCAGAAGACACAGATGCAGTAAACAATACCGAGTTCGGAGACGACACAGCCTCGTATAAGAAATTTGAATGTTGGTGGCGGCGAAGAGACGAATTGCGAGGTCCGCGTTCGTGCTGAACCGCATCTTTGTTCATTCCGATTTCGAGACATTTACGAAGGCGGCAAGCTCTGAAACCGATTATGACACTTTTGACCAGCGGATTATGAAACGAACCTGCACTGGTTTCGGTGCGTTTTGTCGACAATGCAACGACCTTCGTCGAATCCTCCTTTATTCTTGCAAACATACTGACGATGGCGGCGAATCGAACGCTGATAAATTATGATTTAAGCTAAGATAATCACACACACGAAAACACAACTAGCTTATTTTGAATGTAAATAAAAGGCCATCACTTTTAAATATTTTGCAATCTACCATAGATTACTACTATAAATGTGGTATTAAATTTCTACTGGCATATCATTGAACCAACCTTAAAGAATCCTGCGCACCCGTCACACGAAAATATTCCGTAGTGTTTTCCCGACGAATGGTCCTGACATACGCGACATGGCACATCGAGAAGGATTCGACCTGAACATATCATCGCTAAGTTTTTAGTTGAATTCGTTCGTTATAAACATCTCATAATGATCTACAGGGTGTCATTTAAGTTCCCGCACAAAAGTTTGACGCCATGAAGAGCTTGGCTGTCGCACTTTTCGTGCACCAATACAATTTATTTTTGTTAAATAAGGTATATTTTACTTACTTTCCAAGTTTTACCTCATTCGGATGTGTTTCCGAGAAATGGCGAAGGCTAACATCCATCGCGCTTCCATTATCGAACTTCATAAGCAAAATGTGAGCCTGAGAGACATCATTCAACGCCTCGGTGTGCCTCTTAGAACGGTTTACGACATCATCTAACGTTTCAAGGAACTAAATACGACCAGTGACCGTCCCAGATAAGGAAGACTCGTCTCGGTAACCACTCCTCAGAAGTTCAACGCCGTTAAATCGAAGATCAGGCGAAACCCACACAGGAGCATGAGAAAGATGGCGTCAGACGTGGGAATGAGCATTTTCGCTTTGGAACAAATCGTCAAAACGAAGCTTGGACTGACCCCATATCGTGTCCAAAAAGCGGCAATTCTATCGGCCGCCAACAAGTAGAGACGCTTCGAAAAAGCAAAACGACTTCTTGCTCGCACGCGGTCTGGAGAACACCTCGTCACTATCTTCTCCAATGAGAAGCTGTTCACTGTGGAGGCGGCATTCAACTCACAAAACCATCGAGTACTTGCCCAGACATCCCAGCAAGCTTCTGAGAAAGGAAGAACATATCATCCAGCCTCACATCCTGCCAGTGTGATGGTTTTCGGTGCCATCTGCTCAACCGGGAAGTGCTCCCTGGTTTTCGCGGATCAGGGGGTGAAAGTGAACAAAGAAGTCTACGTTCGGGACATTTTGGAGAAGCATGTGATACCCTGGGCCAAAACGCATTTCGGTGGGCAGAAATGGGTCTTTCAACAGGACAGAGCACCCGCCCACTGTCTTTCAACAGGACAGAGCACCCGACCACTGCCAAAACTACTCAGGAGTGGTGCCAGACCCATTTTCCCGACTTCATCAAGTCATCCGAATGGCCTGATTTCTCCCCAGACCTGAACCCGCTTGACTTTTCCGTGATGGGCTCTTGCAGGAGAAGGTCAACGCAAAACCCCACTCAAGTATAGAGGCTCTGAAGAAGACATTACTGGTGGAATGGGACAATCTTTCCATCGAATACCTGCGTACCACAGTCACATCCTACCCGAAGCGTCTCCGTGAAGTCATAGCTGCGAAAGGAGACCGAATCAAAAAGAGTTAATAGATAATTATTTGTTATACTATAGATAAAAAATATTTCGAGTCTCGTTTGATTTGGACTTTTAGTTTCAGAAATATATGCCTTCAAAGTTGTGCGGGAACTTAAATGACACCCTGTAGAACAACAATTTTACGATTGTGAATACAATAATGACGTTTCGCAGCTGACTTTGTGCACATCAACAACAAATTATGTGAGTTTGCTCTACAAATGGATAATGTTTTGCCAATTGTGGTGTGGCACCTGGGCGTCGTCACCTGGGCGAGGACACGCGCCAATTATCACCTCATCATCGAGCGTGTCATCGAACGAATGACTTCCCCGGATTGAGGCTTCTCCAATTAACAAGATTGAGGAAGTCGCCTCATTAGTCATAGTTGCTTATTAAAACTCAAAACCAATACCACGACTGCAACGAATAATGAGAGCAAATTCTGATTGCGGTCTTAGTCAGCAAATCCGAAAACAAAAGACAATGCATGCTTGCACAAAAGTTGTTTGAATTGCAAATTTTAGAAAAACAAGTGCTAAATCTTCTTTTGGTGTTAGGCATTCAACTGAAACTATTAAATATAAAATATGTTTATACTACAAGTCAATCGAAATGTTCAGATTGGAATTCACCAACAAAAAGTGTTTCATGTCCATCAACGCGATATTTCGACCCAATCAAATACTGCCAAATTCCAGTATATCAACTCGCAAAACCCGTTGCTCACATTTCTTAATATCCATGCCCCGAAGTGTTAATAACAATCTGCCTCAAGGCATATTGAAAAAATTAATTGAAAATAGGCACATAAATACGTTTTCAAATCCTTCTTAGACATTCATAATTAGGCTGGAGATGTCGAATGTGGAGATTAGGAATAATTGCGATATGAGCGAATTGTGAGCAGGCTGCTAAACACTACGAAAGGTAATCATGAAGCAAATTATATTCTCGCACATTGTTTTCGATCGCATTTACAAAATGTAATGAGGTCCAACCAAGCGCAATTGCAAACTGAGCAAAACTGCAAACTGAGGAAATCATTTGCAAGCTTCTCAGGTGACTATCATTCAATCCAACTCTACAATTCAATTCGAATTTGCCCAAACGAGAATAAACTAAAGAGTATTACAGTACGAATATGACCGATAAGCCCTAGATAAATGCGGTCAAAACATCGCGATACATGCGTCAAAAAATTGAACAAAAAAAAATGCATTTATTTTATTCTTTTTCCAAAATCATTTCTTTTTAAAAAAATGTATTTCTCAATTGTTTTTAACTTTTATATTAGCACTCTGAATGAGATAGTTTTGTCTAATACAGAGCGTCGCTCGGATTTCAATCAGGCAAATTTTCAACGGATTCAGTTTCTTTACACAAAAAACTTGTACAGTACTTGGATAACTTCCATATGAATTTACATATTTTTGAAGCAAGAGTTCAGTTTTTCCAAGCACAAAATAGCCAAAGGCCGTCAAACAGACATTTCCAGCATATTTTTCGTTTAATTGGTGCCTTTCTAAAGAACTTTTAAAGGTTTTCTATTCCCAGACATTCGAGTTTTTGCCACCTTTTATTCGAAACCTAATTCAATAAACCCGTCATCAATAAAAAAAAGACAGACTACAATAATATTGTTTGAAAAGTGAAAACAACTTACTGCTCGGGGTGCTGAGCTGGGAGATCATGACGTAGTAGCTGGTTGATTATGACGAAGAATATGGAGAAGACGATGATGATGATGATGATGAAGACGAAGAAGCAAAAAGCGAGTCAACTCGTCGATTCGTCTTGCAGTCATCCCCGAAAAATGGGCGGGGCCTCTGCTGCGCAATGGCTGGCGCTCACCAAATACGGTAGTTGGTCGGCTGCCAGATGAGAGCGCTCCACAACACGCCACGCCCATCGAGTTGATGCGAATATTTTGAACGCTTCCTATACAAAAAATGACGTTTTTAAATCACGCGCATAAATTTAAAACAAATGGAAATTTGAATTCGAATCCAATATTTGAATGGAGGGGGGGGGGTATTCTGACTCAATTGATTAATGATTAGCTGATAAGTATTCACAATAACCACTGAAATATAATTCCTCAATAAATTTTAGTAGAAATCTCTACCTGCATTTATTTAATCCGAAAAAAAACGAACATAATAAAACATTCACATGAGAAATTGAGTGAATTTACAAACATTTTGCGCTTTTATATATTGATACCCATCAAATTTCTATATCGCTAGAAAAAATGTATAAATGATTCAAATATATTCTTTATTTTATTTTAGTACGATTCCCAAATGTTTCTTATTGTCTTTCTGTGTATACTGTCACTAATAATGTGACAAAAAGTTTAGACGAGCCACCTCAACCAACCTCAATTCATACGCATTCATTAGGACAATGGAGCAACGAGTTGCCATTGTGTTCCAAGAGAGACATTCTCTTCTCTGTCAAGAGCTTCTTCCACAATCAAAAGACGAAGAGCAATAAGTGATTGTCGTCGTCGTCGTTGTCTTTTATGCAATTTTTTGTGCTCATCAAAACTTCATCAAAATGCTCGCCGAGTGCACGCCATAGGGATTCAGCGGCTACGTCTCAAAACGCTTCGGCTCAAAACAAAACAAACGGAAGCGGGCTGGTGTGGTGTCGATTGCTTGCCGGCACATAATTGACGTATTCGCACACGCACCAATGATTCCCGATTGCCGCCTTTCGTTTACCGTAGCCGGAGACTTTAGGCTATCAAATTGGGCACCAAATTGCGCGATTTAGTCATATGAGTTTCAAGTGAGCAAAACAATTCGACGTTGCGGATCTATCGGAAAACTCAGAATTCTGTTTTAAAGGGAAAATCTCACATCATTTTAATTTCTTTTTGTATCAAACTTCCTACGCTAATTAGGTTCTTCAGATTCTTATTTTTCGGATTGGCCATTTTAATTGAGTCTACTTTTTTGCACAATTCAAAAAAATAAAATCATCAATTAAAGTTGGTATTTTTCTCTCAAAAAATGCATAAAAGATATGCCGACTTTTTGACAAAATAATGGATTTTCATGAGTAATCGATCAATTTGTGACTTTGTTCTCAAAAAATCTGTGCACTTCTCAAGTTTTAGTTGTCGTAATCCGTAACCTCATACCTTTTGTCGGCACCTCCTCGAGAACAAGTGTTTTCAATCAAGCGCATGTCGTCCCCCTCCAACATGGCCACTAATCCGGTACCAGGCGACGTAACTTTTTTGTCACAAGTCTTGCTCATCCTTTTGTCGGCCGGTACCTCTTGCGCCATTCGCGGCATACTGTAACACGTTTATATGGTGTGCTACAATAATAGGCAAACATTGAGGCGAGGCCGAATTAGGACACTGTCTGGATTTGAAATCAATCGCAAGTCTACTTGATCCAAATATAGAAAATCCGAACGAAGCTAGAAAATGCTATTAGCGGATTCTTGTTAGTTCAGAGAACCGTGTTAGTCGTTGGATTGATACAAATAACAAAAAAAATTTGCAGTCTCGAGAAAATCGTGCAGACTGTTTTGTTCAAGCACACTACGTAATTTCTAATAAGGATCGGCTGGAAGTCTGCGCAAACTCTGCGAGTGGGTCTAGAAATGTCTCGGGGATTGTTTGAGAAGAAGTCACGCCAAAAATACTTGAAAGCGTGAATCAAATTACTGTAGGGTTACTGTATTCGGTGGGTGTTTTTTGAAGAGGTCTGGCTCTTCGTCATTCAAGGTCGATATCAAGACAAACACGATTTTCAGTCGTGTGTCAAGAAGCAATCCGAAGAAGGTCGAGTGTCGACACGAATCGGAAACGATCGAGGAAGGTGGACCAAAAAATTGCGTAACTCGGGGTGTGCTGCAAGCAATTTGCCGTTTACGCAACACCAACTATGGTGCAGGTGTTCGCCAAGAACTTGACCATTGTTTTCGACGCATTGAAACTGTTGTCGACGAACAATAGCCGAGAATTTTCCGCCGATGAAAAACTTTTTTTCCCCCCAAATCTTTGCAAAAATACGTAACACAGATCGCATTATGATGAAGCCTATGCAATTGAACGCAATTCAATGGAGAAAAAAGGAACCTTTTGTTCCATTTGGAAATTTTATTGCGAGCTGATAAAAGCAACAATGAGAAACCGAGCCCCCTTGAATCTCGTCTGGGATCACGAAATGCAGGGATTGCTATCAAAATAAAATTGGAGGACGAACGGATTTGAATCGAATTGTTAATACTATGAAAATACGAGATTAATCAAATTTTGATGATGGCAATGAATTGAGACCATTTTTATTTTCAGTTTGCTTTTTAGAGACGCTTTGAAATGGGAAAGCTTTTTAGACGAACGTTTTCAAAAATTTTGTTCAATACAATCTGGTTAAAAAAGAACTGAAAATTTCTCTTATTTTTCTCTAATTTATTGTGCCGACAATTTCTGCACAAAGTTTTCCGGGATCGATGTCTCGAAATATGTTCTAGTACCCACTTGAGCAAACAATGGATATGATGATCCTGAATGTTGGCGCACCTGAGAATAGTACTTCATTATTGGTTGAGGTTCAAGGCCGAATGCCGACATCGCGTCCGGAAATCTTCAACTGGTGTGTTGTCTGGTGTGCATGCAACACGATAGGTGCCAGCTGATGTAACCGAATCGGCGCCTACTTGATCAGAGGGATGAGCATCATCACAAAACATCTGCAGCTTCGCGTTTGATCGTTTCTCGAGATAACTTGATATTAATTACAGAGCTGTTCGAAATTGTGCAACAACGATACGCGTGCCGACAAAGGTGCATCACTAATCCGCAAGAATGACCCGTCCGGAAACATATGCCTGTTATGATAGGGTATGAGCAAAAAATTCTTTATGGGACCCGTGGACGAAGAAAAAAATAACAAAAAAAAAAATAACAATAACAACAAAGTCTAAACTATATGTAACTGCCTAAAATTTTCATTTTTTCACTTGATTCAGCTCCTCTCGAAGTTGTTTCAAATCTTCTTCGCTCAAATCAGCGTGTTGCAGTAATGATTGTAAAATTGACCTAAAATTTCAAAATGTAAAGTTATTATTCAGTTTTTTTTCAGCCAATAGCTCCTCACTACCGATTATTCTCTACCACTTCTTTTTGATCCATACTTTTCTGGCAAAAAAAACTAACCTTGGGATTGAATTGGCGAGGTCAAGTTTTTTGGTTGTTTTCGTAGCAAAAACAGATTTGAATTGATATTCTTGTTCAGATATATAGTCGGCGTCTGGCGAATGCTGTACGCGGGTAGATTTATGCGCATGCGCCTTGAAAAGGTCTCCCTACGCGTGAATGCTTATTTCCCAGTTTTCACGTGAATGATTTATTTTTACTTGATGAATTTGGCATTTCTTGGAATTTTTAACGTCGTTCAATTTAAAAATTATCGAACCGACCGATAAAATACAAAATAACCGGTTAGTCCGTGCGAGACCAAGAGAAAGAAGCATCCCCGTAAATCTACCCGCGTACAGAAGTCGCCGGATGCCAACTATATTTGTTTTTAATTTTAAGCGGAATATCAAAATTTGGCTACATTTTACAAAAAAAAACTTGTGTAAGAATTTGGCTCCCGCGAAAATTTGAGGCGGTTTTTAAAAAATACTCTGTCGGACCCGGGAAATTTACGCTCGAGAAATTAGGGTAGGGTTTTTGCGTAAAGTCGCTAATAGGATGGTTTTAATGGTTACAGAAGAAAATGCTTAGACGGTCAATACGATTTTATGCAGTTTCTAAAGGGTCTGCTGAAAGTCTCTGCAAAACAATGCATAACTTTCCCGAGTGTGTATGCGAAAATATAATTACTAGCATAGAATAGTACATAATGAATATCTTATTAGGGCTGATTACTTGGAGCGTTTCCGATATGGAAAAATAAACCGACGAGAAAAAACGACTACCTCGACTCTCTCGAGGAAACTTCTCTCATAATTCATAGTACGCGTCTAAATATTGTAGCTTCAGACGCACCCTAAACATGTGTGTGGGATATTGTCGGCGAATCGTATCAAAACGAACGCTCATTGCTCAATTTTTTATTTTTCCCTTTCTTATGAATCTGTCGTTTTTCACTACTGAATTTTCCCGATATAAAAATATAATATTATCAATATACATACATATGTATTATGTATATTATAGATCTTCCCCATTTCCCTCGCATCCGAATTTCAAAAATTGAGTAAAACATACCTTTTGCCGCTAGTTTGTTCTGATATATTTTTATTTCTTCTGTATTTTTGTTCTGCTTCCCGGTTGCTGCTCAATAAGTTCATGAAACCTTCAACTCCTTCCTTAAATCAGATGTCGCAATTTGTTTAAATTGATGACAATCGACATACTTGAATCATCTTATCCAGTTCTCTGCTAGCTTGCCGTACACTCGGTTCATCGGGCAACATATCAGGGAATCGCATTGACAGCCACATGTATTGATCAAGAATCTCATATGTCTGCTCAAGAATCACGAGCTCCGCAAGTGTTGTTGCCGGTTTCGGCGGCCATTCGAGCATATCCATGAGCCATTCATAAGTGAGTGCTTGTCCTGTCGAAAACCTTCGCGCCATTTTTACGAACGCAGCCGCTGTTCGTTTATCATTAGTGTTGAGCGGAGATGTGCAGAATGTGTAGCGAACTTTCAGCGGAAGCGGAATTTGATCGATGAGAATTGCCAATTCGCGCATATCGTCAACCGTACAAATGAAGAAATGATCCGATACAGAGCAAACTGACGAGATAATATGTATTAATTAAGAGAAATAAGAATTGAAAATTGCATGCATACCTGATACAAATAAATCGAGGAGTCTGACAAACGAAGCTTGAGGAAGATGGAAGGAAAATGTCTCGATTTGATCGTAAGTAGGAGCAATTCCAACAGTAGAAATTGGTTCAATCTTTAAAATCAAATAATTCGAAAATTTTAAAATTCAGAGCAACCTTTTGCGATAAAATAGCTTTCAAAGTGCTCAAATCCTGTGTCTTCATTGTGGTAACAACTCCATTCGCATATGATGTTCCAAATCTAAGCAATGACATTAAAAATATTAACATTTTTGAAAATTCCAATACCTTCCTGCTCTTCCAGCAATCTGAAGTGCTGAATATGTTGGTAAAAGCTCGGAGTTTCTCGTGCAGCTATTAAAAATTACTCTCCGAATGTTTAAATTAAGGCCCATTCCGATCGCATCGGTAGCGACAAGAACATTGCACGGATCATCAGGATCATTGAATTTTGCGGCTTGAGCCAATTTAGTTCCTGGTGGCAAATCGCCGTAAATAACGGCAGGTTTAATGCCATTCTCTTCTAACTTCTTCGAATTGTAAAAAATACTTTTCTTCGAAAAACACACGATACAATCGCCTGGCTCAATCTGAATTTGGACGTTTCCTCATCAAGAAAACCTAATAATTCGTACATTGTCATATGATTCAATACCGCGATCAGCAATTGTCAATGGTGTTTTTCTTTCATAATACCGAACTTCGACAGTTTCTCCAATCGGTTCAAGAAGCTTCTTGACAATTTCGATAGCAGCAACTTCTCCGCACAAATGAACCTATACTCGGTTTTTTTTTAAATTGCATTTTCCTTTTTCGAAAATCACCTCATCAGCAGCAACTCCAAGCAATGCTCTTGTCCAAGCCCATCCCCTTTGCTCATCGCGAAGCATTTGAATTTCATCAATAACAGCAACCTCAATATTTAAAGATTTGCTCAATTTCGAAATGAATCATACTCACATCAACGCGCATTTGTGTTGACAACATTTCGACGGTCGAAGATAAATGTTGGGATGGATGATGATTATCTTTGGCAAACCTAAAAATACAGCAGTGATTTGAAAATAGTCGAATGAGCGTCATTAGAAAATTAAAAAAAAAAACGATTTATTCGTAACAATGTTGAATCCTTTGGTCATACCTTCTTTCCTCACCAGTAACTAAATCACACGGAATTCCAAGCTCGTTTGATTTTGTAAAAACTTCTGAAGCTAAAAGTTTCAACGGTCCGCAGAAGACGGCACTTTTCGCTTCACCAAATCTTTAAAAAAAAGACAAAATTTATTATTATACATAAATATTATAAAATAAAATAAAGGAGAACCTTTTGAGCGCGTGATACGTTTTTCCAGAATTTGTTGGTCCAGCATGAAAGAAGATTTTTCTCGTCAATGCTCTTGCTTCAGGATACCAGTTATGTGGTTGAGTGAGATCAGAAATGATCCTCAGGTCATCCATCGCTTCCAAATGAGGGAATACCTATTTTCGAAATGTTACATTCAGTAGAACTATATATATACCTGTTTGGCATGGTCAAGGAAGAATGGATAAAGCATGTCAACATCTTTTTCTCCTTTATTGATATCACTGAGAAGAATTAAAAGAGCTGGATCCACAGATGACTGAAAATGTGTATTTTTTACAAAATAGAAAATATGTACAGGCTTACTAAATTATTAGGGGTGACGTATTCACGAAAACTTTTGAAAGCTCTCATAAATAATTTTTCGTTGATTCCACTTTCCCGTGCCTGCTGCCTAACCATAGGTCTTCGCATAAATTCGTCAAGTGCCAAATCGATCGAAATCTATAATAGCCTTTCTTGGAATATTACTAGCGGATAATAACCTTGTCTAATCCTTCAATCCATTCTTCCATTCCAGCTGCGTGTTGGCTAACATGAGCAACTTTTCTTGGCTCAACAATGTCATCAATTGAAGCTAATCGACGAACTAAAAATTAATATTTGAAAACAAAAATTCTTAAAATGTTTTCGAAAAGTTTGAGTTGTTGTTGAGCTATGGCTCAAATATATATTTTAAAAAAACATTTTCGTGTATGACACAATACAAGTACAAACAATAATTTCTTCACAGCTGAATCGTTGCATATTTAAAACAAAATCGATGATTACGTTCACAAATTTCTAAAAATGTAAATAGAACACTTCCAACACGATTCGCCAGTTTTATTAAACCCAGAAAAATTATCTCATATGGAATATTTTTTAATGTTCTCGACAATTTTTGATCAAAATTTAATTTCATTCGGTTTTTTCAGTTTAAGAGGAATGCGTACCTGCCCCTCTCCGTTTCCTAGATCCACCATGACTTTGCGGAAATCTTCCAATTGCCTCATTTGTGCTTCCGATATGAATATACCCTACTGAACTTCTTCTAGTTAAACACCGAACTCCGCACAATAATGCGCGAGTGCACGACATATTCTAAAACTAGCAATCTTTTTTCCTTATTTGTTTTTTCGCCAAATATTTTGAGAGTAGATTGAAATACCTCAATAATAATTATTTAGATTTTAATGCACTTTTTAAATTTTATTGTATATTTGCAAGAATAAGCCATAGACAATCAACAAATACCGTCGTATTCGCATGCTGCAGTTAAAGAAGATCATTTGAAAATTGAAAACAATAACAAATTAGAGAAAATATGAAAATGGGTACTTATTACGATCTTCGGCTCTGGATGAGTTCACGAAGATTGGATTCCGCTTCACTGAGTCCCTTTTCAAGGTATTCGCGCTGTTTGTCGATTCCTTCAATTTTTGATCTGAAATTAAAGCAAACAATGAACAATTATGACAAATTTCTTAAATTATTTCTGAAATAGCAACAACAAAAACATTTCCATGTTGTTGTTTCTGGTTTTTTCAGATTAACTTTTTCGCCGTTATTTTCGTTTTTCTGTTGTACAACCAAATATTTTCTCTCTCTCTCTCTCTATTTGAATTTACATTAAAATAAGTAATTATTGTTCAGATACTAAAACTTACTTGAACTCCAATGCTTCTTGCTCATGACGAGATAATTCTGAAGGTTTGTCCGTTAACAAGAACATTCGTCCAATACTGCGATACACTGGAATGTCATCGGCAACAGCCACGAGATTTTTATGGGTTGCTTCCGACACTTTTTGTTTCTTTGAATAATATTTTCACATATGCTTTGAATCAGATATACCTGAATATTAATTCGCTTTATGGTTTCACCTTGAGCTATTCTTGTTCGTGTTTCATTTGTTTTGAATTGAAGATCTTGGAATGCCTGAAGTAATATTAGAATGAAGTAATTTGTAATTGAAAAAATTTTATTTTTAAAAATGTAAAAATTACGTTTAATACGTTTTTTACAACGCTGCATGGGTAAAACACGTAATAAAAATTGCATTGCATGAATATGTGCATTAGATTAAAAATTGTAAAAAGTACCTTTTTTAGTTCTTCGTCTGCCATAGTGAAGAATTACCTAAAACAAAATTATCAAGGTTTTAATTAAACAATGGTGAAAAATTTTTTGCCAGACAAAAATCGAAGGAGAGAGACGGGAACATTCTAAGTTTCCAGTATATTTTTGTGAGAGAATGTTATATAAAAATATTATAAATGTAATATGTATGTGTGCATATTTCATTCGAATTAAAAAATAACTATTTAAAAAATAGAAATTGAATTTTAGTGAAAATCCTTTCATTTGATATTAAAATAAATTCTTTGTTCGAATAAGAAAGATAATAGGAAAAGAGAGACGACAAAGAATTAGACAGTTGGCTATTAGCCAACGCGGAGTTTGATGTGCAGGTTCTTTTCGAGAACCAACTGTTTACTGTAGACCGACCGTGGCTCAAAGAACGAACAACCCTCTCTACTTACCCCGCTGATGTTAAGAAGTTCAACAAGAATAAATTATTAGATTTTCCCATCGATCTAACAAGATCTTTTCTTCAGATCGTTCATTAATTTTTATAGAAAATATTCTTATCAGTTTGATCATATACTATAAATACAGTATTTTGAAATTAATTAGTTCAGGTAACAACATGGGCGCCTTCAGCCAACTCACCGAAACCGCTAAGACCAATCCCTTCAGCCTGCCGGTCAGGACCGCTAGCTGTGCCAGCCCTTCTTCTGGTAAGTTGTTTATTGAAATTTTAATATAGTTAAAAAAAGAAATTTAAAAAATTGAATTCTTCAGTTATAACACTCGGCAAACTCGCCGTACACGTAAAAAATTTGTGCTTCACCCCATGAGCTGAAAATTACCTTTTTCTATTTAAATATATGATTTTTTAAAAGTTTGCTCATCCGGAAGTTCACGTGCTGTAATACCACTGTTGTTTTCGTCGGAATGTTTTTTCATCCCATTTATCTTTAAAACATGAGAAATCACGTAAGAATGTTTCTAAAGGACTAAACACAGAGAGTACTGCAATATACATTGGTAATGTCACGAAGCAACGTATTACCATCGCAAAAAAGAGCACCTTGTATTATTGTGGGTCATCGCACTTTTCGAGGCAGTACTTAAAATATGAATTTAAACAGTGGAAATTCGGGTGCCCTACTATGGATAACCTGCGAATCAAACATCGTATACTGGTACACGACGCTCATTTTTTGCGAATGTAATAAAAAAAGTTTTTGGTTGTAGGGTTTTTGCAGAACTTCTAGTTTTCAAGTAGTATTGATAGTCGGGAGTTATGAGCTAACGTTACCATTTTGTAAATTCCTGAAATTGTTCACCCGTCTCAACTATAGGAAGCATACGCGCTCCGCCAGCAAGAGTGCAGAGGCAAATAGAGGGGGTGAGATAGCATCGGCAATGTCGTGGAGGCGACACACGTGGCAACGTTGTGGCCTGGTTTTAAATGAATGTAAATCCATCTTTAGCTTTTTTGAGTGTTAGCAATATTATTCAGCATTATTTGAAATCGCGGTATATATATCCTTATCAACGGCTCGACGGTATGACGTCGGAGACTCAAGAGAAGGAGCTCCCTTATATTACTAGGGCAAAACAACCCAATTACTATGGACCATACGGGATCATTTTCATAATAATTACGTGGATATTTCTATATTTTTGGGTTGTCGTTCAATTAGTTGACGGGTTGATTGAGTGGCTTTCCTACGATTCCAGTGATTATGTAGTTCGTTTAGCCGTAGGTGTTACCACAACAGCAGTGTCTGTAATGCGAGGTGGCTGTATTTCCAAAATATTATTTTGATGTTTTTTTTTCAGCTGAGCAGGTTGAATTCGGAAGTCTCAAGTACTACATATACTGTGCTTTTGGAGGAGTCGTGTCCTGCGGAATCACCCACACCGCCATTGTTCCACTCGATCTCGTGAAATGCAGAATTCAGGTGTGTTCAAATGACATATATTTAAAAACCCTTGAATGTTTAGGTTAATCCAGAAAAGTACTCCGGTATTCTTACTGGTTTCCGAACCACTGTTTCGGAGGAGGGATTCAGAGCGCTCGCCAAAGGATGGGCTCCAACTTTCGTTGGATATTCCATGCAAGGACTTGGAAAGTTCGGATTCTACGAAGTTTTCAAGAACGTCTACTCCGAGATGCTTGGAGAGGTAATTAACAATACCTGTGCCAGTATTACGACTTCAACCAAATTTTATAGGAGAACGCCTATCTCTACAGAACTTCTTTGTACTTGGCCGCTTCTGCTTCTGCTGAGTTTATTGCTGATATTCTTCTTGCACCAATGGAGGCTACCAAGGTCCGTATTCAAACTGCTCCAGGAGCTCCACCAACTCTTCGCGGCTGCGCCCCACTTATCTACAAGACTGAAGGACTTACTGGATTCTACAAGGGACTTCCACCACTCTGGTTGAGACAAATTCCATACACCATGATGAAGTTTGCATGCTTCGAGAGGACTGTTGAGCTTCTCTACCGTCATGTTGTTCCAAAGCCACGTGCCGAGTGCTCTAAGGGTGAACAACTTATTGTTACATTCATTGCTGGATACATTGCTGGTAAGACTGAGATCAAAAAACTCAATTCCAACTTTTTTTCAGGTGTTTTCTGTGCCGTTGTTTCTCACCCAGCTGATACCATTGTATCGAAATTGAACCAAGATGCTTCGGCTACTGCTGGAGGAATCCTTAAGAAGCTCGGATTCGCTGGAGTCTGGAAGGGACTTGTTCCACGTATTATCATGATTGGTACCCTTACCGCTCTTCAATGGTTCATATATGATTCTGTGAAAGTAAACAATTTTCTTTATATTTTAATTAAATCAATTTTTAAAGGTTGCCCTTAACCTTCCACGCCCACCACCACCAGAGATGCCAGCGTCGTTGAAGGCTAAGCTTGCTGCTCAAGGAAAATAAGCAAATTCAATCCTTGCAAATTTAGTTTTTCCATTTTTCTGTCGTATTGAACTAATTCCACAGTTTAGCAAATGGCTCGGTACTAGTTTGATTGTTACAATTTCAATAGTTTGTGAATCAATTATCCAAAGTTTATAAATTTTCTCGAACTTAATTGCAGAATTTGTTGGGTTGTAACGCTAACAGTTCCCGTTTTATCACTACCGTTGAATAAATGAAGAGTGCGAACATTCATTGTTTTATAGTGTGAAAACTCATAAATGGGCTTTCTGAGATATTCTGTCGTATACACTTCGACTCAAGAAAAAATCAAGAACATTCGGTATTGGAATATAAGAACATCAGATACAACCTGAAATAATTTAGAAAACCATGGGTAAAAGCGATAATTGGGATTGATTTGATGATTGGTTGGATCTTGTTTTACAATATAGGAAATATCGAACGAATACACAATTATTTCTGGTCTCACACCGGCGGCATTGCGCGATACCTAGATGCGGTAAATGCGATTCTAAAATTCCATATTATTTGTTTTAAAGATAATTTCTTGGATCGTCAGTAATCCTGGAGGTTTGAAGTTGAATGGGCCTGTGAATACGACCCTTTCCACGTTTTTCGGTTATCATATTTATCTCTGGACAGGTTTTCCATGAACTTTCATTCAAATGCTTAATTTATTTATAATGTTTCAGCTTTTGTCAATTTACTTCAATCAGAGATGTTCACAAGACTAATCATTTGCTCATTTTCTTTCGGTCTTTCTTATATGTCTGCTGTCGTTTGCGATTTCGCCAAAATCATCACACTCCATTTTTATTGTTTCGATTCATACGCATCTAGGTGAAGATAGAGTTTTGTTTTGAATTGTTTATCAAAATACGATTCTTTCAGACTTTGGAACTTGTCTTATATTGTAATTCAAGATTTGTGGGCATTGACGCGAGGAAAAAAGTGGAATCCGCTGAGAAAAAGGATCGATAATGTACGTCCGTTATGGAACTCAAAAATTCAATTTCATTCTGATTGTGGGTTTTCGTTGAGTATCGATAAATCGTCACAATGCAGCCATCTGACGTCACTCGTCAGTTTTCGCACGTGAATTTCACGGCTGTTGCAACATTAGAAATAAAAAAAATGAATGAGTTGATTTTCAATAAATATTATAATTTAAAATTTTTCAAAATAGTTCAATAACCTACAGTAAACGCATAAGTATATTTTCGCACACTTTTAAAGTCTAGAAAATCTTTAAATAAATTCTCGTGTTTTGAATAACTTCATGTCAAAACGGTTTTCTGTTCTTTTAAAAAATTGCCCCCCCCCCGATGAAACTGGTTTTTTCATTTACCAACACTGTTCTTTAATATTTCGAAATTGAACTTCGATTTGTGACTATTTGGGGGCTGTTTGTTAATTCGCTGCAAACGCGATGTTTGATTTCCATTCAAGGACAAAGTCCTAATATGAAATGACATACTCATATGGTATTGCAAAAATAATGAAATAATGTTTGATATAATTGAGGGGTTAATTTCCTTAGGTTTTTAATGTTGCATTAAGAAATTATAAATGTATAGTTTCAGGTAACACTCGATTCCCGCGAGCAATTTCTTTCAACCTCACTATTCGTCATTCTTTTATTCATTCTTCCAACGGTTCTCGTCTATTTTGTGGTTTTTCGAACGGTTCGTTTATGTTACACCATTGTACCCTTTCAAATTCCTTATTTTAGCTCCGATACTGCGTTTCGGTGATTGACATCTCACTGAGCTTACTTGCTCGTTGGCCTCTTGTGTTCACCAAATTGGTTATCAAGCGTGATTAATAATAACGGGTTCATCTTTTGTATCTAATAACAGTTTTAGTGAGAGAATGTAAATTCACATAATAAATTTAAACGAAACAAAAACATAACTAGATTTTTCACAAATTAACTAAACAGTAGAAACTTAGGCGGGCATGCGAAGCGCGCCGTCGAACCGGATGGTCTCACCATTCATGTACTGATTCTCGATGATATGTTGAACAAGAGCACCATATTCTTGCGGAGATCCAAGACGAGATGGATTTGGGATAAGGGTCGCCAAGAATGTACGAACCTAAATAATAGAAATAAGAAAGTATTATAAACAAATAATGTGATTAACCTTATCGGGAAGAGAAGAAAGCAATGGAGTGTCCATGAGTCCAGGAGCAATAGTATTGAAACGAATTCCATCTCCAGCAAAATCGCGAGCAAGTGGCAAAGTCATCGAAACGATAGCTCCTTTGGATGCAGAATAAGCCGACTAGAAAATCATGAAAAATTAAGATAAAATTGAATCGCAAATTCACTTGTCCGGTTTGTCCATCGAATGCAGCAACCGACGCCGTGTTGATGACAACTCCGCGCTGGCCGTTCTCGTCCTTCTCATGTTCTCCCATAAGAGCAACTCCGTGACGAATAACGTTGAAGGTTCCAATAACATTAACCTGCAAATTATTTCATTTGATAACTTTTGTTTATTTTACTAAACGAACGTCAAGAGTATGTTGGATCTTGGCTAAATCAATATGCTTCTTCTTGTTGATCGAATACAGTTTGAAAGCGTAGGCAATTCCGGCGCAGTTAACCAGAGCGTCCAATCGGCCATATTCAGCTTTAACCTTGTCGAAAGCAGCTTTCACTTCCTCCTCCGATGTGACTGAAGCCGGAGTGAAGATTGCTCCCATCTCTTTCGCAACATCAGCTCCTTTCGATTGCGGCAAATCAAGGATGGCGACACGGGCGCCAGCGCGAGTCAAAACTTCCGCGGTTCCCTTTCCGAGACCCGATGCTCCACCGGTAACGAGCGCGACAAGTCCCTGAAAGAAAAATGATGGTACGAAATGCAGAATTCTTGTATTCTTCTAATAATAGTATTCTTATGACAGACGTGCTGTTTTGCAATCAGCCGCAGCCAGAATAAAAATATTCGTTGAGAACAAAACGTTCATGGCAATCATTTAATATGTGATTCGACTTGATCATTTCGGATTTCTCGACCGAATATGACAAATATATCATGGCTCGGCTTCGGCCCGCCGAAATAACAAGCCTATTAAATATTTTGTTGGAATTATTACCTTGGTGCTTCGGAGAGCAGACATAATTATACCCGGATAGCTGAAAATTATAGCTGAATTCGTGTTTTTCAGAGAATAAAAGTAAAAACGGAATCAAAACGATTGGATCACAAAATGAGTTATAAATGCTATGTATTATGTGATACTTTATTTACACATTATGTTAAAACGAAATAATTTAATATAAATGCGGTATTAAATAAGAAAAAGAAGTCAATAATAGAAAATAATGATTACTGGATTGATTTTTATAGGAAACGCAATCAAGATACGAGAAAAAAACATAGGTCAATGATAAAATAATGAACAATAATGAGTGTTAAGGGGTGAGAGAGAAGGGGGCGATTGATAGAGAAAAGCGATCAGTACACAACAAGAAAAGAGCAGAAGAGGATAGACACAGGGGGCCATACATAAGAAGATCAGAAATGAAATGGTACAAGGAATAAATATAAGACAGAAGCATTGAACAAGAAACTCAATCAAACACGATTCAATCCTCCATATCATCGTCTCCGTCGTCACTGTGCCGCTTCGATGGTTTCGATTTCCGTCTTCCTACAACTGGCTCCTGGGACTGAAAGAGCGAAATATAAAAAATCAAATAAGGTTTATTTTTGTAATTTTGAAAAAATTTACATATTCACCCTTTTAAAATTTTACGTACCTTTTTCTTCTCGGATCTTTCCTCTTCTTTGTCCTCAGATTTTACCTTCTTTCCAGTTTCCTCCTCCTTCTTCACCACCGACGTCGATGTCGACGCGCTTTCTCCATCCACTTGCCGTTTTACGCTTCCCATTGCAGGAATCGTTGCTGCTAATGTCTTTCGTGCAATATTCGCCGCTTCCCCGTCAATTCCGTATTTCGTAAAAATCGTCAATTGCTTTTTTAAAGCGGCATCCATTGTGATCGCACCAGTCAACAATTCCTTTTGAAGGGCCTGCATGGCAAGCTGAGCTGCGCACTAAAAAATGACAGAATAGAGAGCTCGATTAATTCCAAAGTATTCGTACCATTCCGTAAACCTTCTCCCACAGCGCTTGGAGCACTTTTGAGTCATTATAAATATCACTGGCTTCCTCGTTATAAGTTTGCGCATTTTGGCAAAGAAGAAGAACATCATTGTTCATTTCTTCAAGATTTGCGTATCTGAAAATTAAATTATTATAATCGTGTTTGCGGACTATTTTCACATTTTTAACGGGTTAATTCAAGTTTTAATCTCAATTAAACTTATGCACTGCTATAAATTACAGGAATAGAGGGTTTTCCTTTTTTCTTTCATTGTAATGTATTAGTGAACGCGATTTAGAATTACAAACCTTCCACTGTCAATCTTTTTTCTAATACGATTGAAGTCCATTGGCTTTGCAATGATCTGGTAGTAATCCGGAAGCTCCTTTCTCGTCGGAAGCTCAACAAACGGATCCGCAAGAATATTTCCTTCGGATGTTTTGTATTCGAGTAATATTTTCAGCAAATTGTTCATGGTTTGCTCGAGTTCTGGTGTCGATTTCTTCTTCTTTGCTGCCAAAACATCATCCATCGAATCATCATTTTCATCCAATCCGGCAAGTTTTCTCTTACGCTGCTTCTTTCGCTCACTCACAGCTCTTTCATTTTCGTCTTCGACTTCTTCTACTTGTTTCATGAACTGCTCATCTGACATCAAATCTCCAGAATAGTCAACTTCCTTTCTTTTTCGTCTTTTGTCGGAAGAATGCTCAACTATCTCGCGTCCTTCTTCGCGCGCCTTCTCCATTTCTTCAAAATCGAATGAAGCCTTAACGATATCATCCGGAATTTCTTGTTCTTCAAGAAGACGCGGTCGTCTGTGAAGTTGATTTGCCTCTTCTCTTCGTCGGTCAATATCCATCGATTGGAATGTGTTGAATTCTTCCTCAGATCTCGCCACCATTTGGTTAATTGTTTCATCATCTGGAACCTCTTCCTCCTCATCATCTTCAGCCTCAGCCCTAAAATTTTCATAAGTTATCACAATTCAACAGCAAAAATGATGAATATACTTGATTATTTGCTCGAGAATTTGTTTCCGTTCAGCTCCAGTCGAACGTTGATCGAATTTACCCGCTTGGATAACTTTTTCGTCCACGTTTAGCTTGTAACGAGCAGCAGCCAAGATTTTCTCTTCAACAGAGTTAGCAGTAATCAGACGAAGCACACGAACTTCCTTCTTCTGACCGATACGATGGGCGCGATCTTGAGCTTGCATATCCTATAAAAAGAAATCTTTTTCAGATATAGTCAAATGGCAAACCTGATGAGGATTCCAATCGGAATCGAAAATGATGACGGTGTCAGCTGTCTGCAAATTGAGACCAAGACCTCCGGCACGTGTCGATAACATGAACAAGAAGTATTCAGAGTCAGGTTTGTTGAACTGATCAAGCAAAACTCCACGATCATCAGTTTTCGTGCTACCATCAAGTCGCAAATATTTGTAGTCTAAAATTTTGAATTGTTTTTTCTCAACATGATAAAAGAAATATCTCACTTCTAAATGTCAAAAAGTCTTCAAGAATTGTCATCATTGTGGTCATCTGGAAGAACATCAGAACACGATGTCCCGTTGCCCTCAACTTCGGAAGAATTCTATCAAGAAGCTCCAATTTTCCGGCTACGCGCATCAAGTCTTGACCAGAAACTTCGTCAACCTATTACAAGTATTAATAGTTTCACATTTCCGATATAGATAATTATATCATTACTTTCCAATGGGCTCTGCAGGAATCCTCAATGTTGGGGAAAAGGAATGGATGGTTGCAAAGCTTTCTCAAATGTATTACGGTGTTCATCAAACTTCTGGCACCAGATTGCATCTTGGTATCGAGAAGAAGACCTTTCTGCATGTGTCGATAAAGCACTTTCTGAAGTGCTGACATGTCGCATTTGATGACATATTCCGTCTTGTCGGGAAGTTGAGATTCGACCTACAAAATTATTTTAAATAAGAATTGGCATGAATAAAACAAACCTCTTTCTTCAAACGCCGCAATAAGAAGGGTCGAAGAACTTTGTGAAGACGTCGAATAATAAGCATTGTCTCTTCTTGACTCAATTCCACCTTTTCTCCAGTTGTGGCGAATGGTGCATTGAACCATTGCTCGAAAGTACCGCACGATGAGAAAATCGACGGCAGAAGGAAATTGAGAAGTGCCCACAATTCGGGAAGTTTATTTTGAAGTGGAGTACCAGTCAGAAGAAGACGATGTTGCGCATGGAAATATCCGTTGAGCATAAGAGTCAGCTTACAATTGTGATTCTTTAAACGATGTCCTAAATGTTAAAATTACATATATACGAAATGTAAATATTGAAATGAAAAAAGAAACCTTCATCAATAATCATGTACTTCCACCGAATCTTTCCAAGTAATCCCTTTTCCTTGATGACATATTCGTAGGTCGTTAAAAGGACATTGAAAGCTCCCTTTCTGATCAATCCTTCGCTTCGCCTACGCGCATCTTTTGTTCCTTTGTAGACAATCTTTAAAAAAAGTAATAAAATGATTCAAAGCTTAATGAATTGGCTTTACCGTCTGAACCGAAGGAGCCCATTTGCCGAACTCATTAACCCAATTGGAAATGGTCGAAAGCGGCACAATAACCAAATATGGGCCATTATTTTGTTTTACTTCCATCAAATATGTAATCAAAGAAATGGTTTGAATTGTCTTTCCGAGACCCATTTCATCGGCTAAGATTCCATTCAAATTGTTGTTGTACAACGAAACCATCCATTCCAGACCCTTGATTTGGTACGGTTTAAGAAGTAGATTAGGGTTTCCACCACCCATCGTTGAATGCTGTTGTACAATCTTTTCCTTAACTTTGTGAGCGGTCGCATAATAATCAGCCATTTGTTTTTTGGTTTTTTGATCATACTCATCCTCCTCATTTCTTGCTTTCTCAATGATCATTTTCGCCTGGAACCAAAATAAATTATTTGAAAGAAATTTGACAATTTTCGACCTTGGTTTCTTCATCGAGTCCAGCATACTGATCGTCTTTTTCTTCTTTGAGTTGCTCAACCGGAACATCTTCATCATCATCTTCGTCGTCATCAGAAAGTTGGTCACGAGGAACGACCTCAAAACCAGGATGAGTTTCCAACCAAACATCAAGTTCCTCCGGTTTCGGAGCGTCTTCACCAGTAAGAATTTTACCGGTAGAAACGTCTCGTACGTGGCATCGGGCTTCCCCATCTAAAAATAAATATAGTTCGATTTTTAAACATTTTCTCTTACCATCCATATTTCCAGCCTTCTCTGCTTTCTTGTCCATTCTCTTTTTCTTCTTTTCCGTAACTTGATGTTGTCTGACAAGATTACACAAGCTGTCGATATACTCATCAGTTTGTTGCAAAAGGTACACAAGACGTTGATCCTAAATATGATAACTCCGGAACGTTACTATGTGATCTAGTTTACCTTCTTTTCATCAAGGAGTGCACGATATCCTTCTTCGTCTTCCTGCATGAGCTTCTGCATACGAAGCTTCTCATTTCTGATTTCGTCCTTCTTTCGTTCCTTTTCGTTATTTTGATGATACGTCATCACTGCCTTACGAGCTTTAGCAATCTTAAGGAGGTTGTTCCTATGGAATTCTTTAAACTCTTTTCCGTGCTGAATAATGGCATGCATAAGATCGGTGTGCTTCTGACGCCGCTTGCGCTCCTGCTCCATTTTTTGTTGTTTCTCAAGCTTTTCGGTGACACGTGCTTCGCGCAAAGATTGCCGCTTGGTTCGACGATATGCGTATGGATTGAGAGCAGTTTCTAGCGTCGTATCTCTCTTCATCGTACTCATAACTTCACTTCTGACCTTAAATAAGTTGGCATTTAATTTGGATCTTTTTGAGTTTTAGTTACCTGAGTTTGCAAATTGGTCAGACGTAAAGCACGTAATTCAATTTCAGCCTTCATTCGCAGATTTGCTGGAATGTCTGCAGGTAGATTCGACAGCTGGCGAATTCGCAGCCCAATCCTATTCTGAATCACATTTTCACGCTTTTTCTGCATTGCAACGGGATCGATTCCTGGCGGAATTGGAAGCAGCGTGGGCCGATTTGATCGCACTTGGTGAAGATTGAAAATCTTAAAATAAAAAATAATCACACCGATGTTGGCAATCATGTTACCTTCAATAGATCATAGGGAAGTTTTTCTCCATTTTCAGCCTCGCCAGGAAATTCATAGGGTTCCGGAAGAATGCTTGTTGGTTTCGGTTTAAGAACAACCGCATCTTTCAACAGAGACTCTGGAACCGGCTCATTTCGCGCAAGCATCTTGTAGGCGGTCACCTGAAGCATTTAAGAATAATATAAAAATATATAATTAAACAAATATATAATTACCTGCGCCCTAAGCTGCTGGATTTGACTGGCCGTAATTTGCGACGACAGAGAGTCAGCAGGTAATGGATATGGAACTGGATCAATAGGTCCAGCTGCTAGTTTCTGTTTCAGAAGTTGAGCTTTAGCATGCCGAGGGTCATTTTGAAGATGCTGATCTTCCATAGCAGTAATGGCATTTTCCAGTTTAGAAATTGTCAGCTCTTGGGCCTGCATTCGTATATAATAATTTAGCAAAATAAATATTAAACTACCTGAACACCATCTCCCGACGCTTGAGTTGCTAGATCTCCGGCAGGTTGCGGAGGTTGAGCAGTGAATTGCTCAAAGGCAGGCCGTCCGCTCATCCCAGATGATGAAATTGGGTTAAGTACGAACAACGGATAGGCACTGTCTACAATGAAATATAAAATAAGTTATTTTACATGTTCTAAGATTAAAAAAACAACTTTAGAAATCGCGAAAAAGAAAGTATTTGCGACAAACAGCAAGAGTTGTTCAGACGCCTCGCAAAAAAGGGACGACTTGGTGAGAACGCGGCTGCCCAGCGTATCTCTGTTTCTCTAACACTAGACTCTCTACCGTGATGCCCGCGAACATCTGCAGCGTTGAGCGTCTAGAGCGCAATACTGGTCAGCACGTACGGGCGGGATTGGATGAATGTGCTGCCTATACTAGGCGTAGAAAAGTAATACCAACCGACGTGAATTTATACATCAGTGATAACTATAATTAAACAAGAAAGAATATCCAAAAAATGTCCATATTAAATGTGAAAAATTTCTTTTTATCGCCAAAATATTCAGAGAAACGTAAAATTGTCACTTCTTAAATTTAAAATGAGATTGTGCAATAGACTATACGCGTAAATGCACCGTTATCACAATACAGTAATGCATATGTAATTACCACTGTCATTTCTCACTTTTGCACCAATTATCGATGGAATCGACTTTTGAAGAGGATACTTTTTGTGAGCAGTTTCTATCACCAAAAGATGTGGTTCTTCGCAAAATCGAGTTTATTTTTGCGGATGTTGGAGAGCAAATTGAGCGAGGTGATAAAACAATAATAATCCGGACGTTTGTGGCATTCGTTTTGACATAAATAATTGCATTTTTTTAAAATTTAGATCGTTTGAAAACTCGCATTATCATTTGAAATATAGTTCTCAAAGAAAAAAGAAGTTGAAACGAGATTTATGCTGCATTCAACAAATTCGGGAAATGCTTAAAAGCAACAAGAAATCGACGAAAAGGTGTGAAGTTAGATTTACTCACGAAATTATTTATTTTGCAGGGAAATGTATTATCAATTTAAAGAATTGTACGAGACTCAAAGGAATATAGACAGAAGTATTCAACAAATATGTGAACTTCTCGGCGAAACAAGATATAATTTGAACATTGTAAATTTGGGAATTATTTTCAAAATACGAGCAGGAGATAATTTCAGCTGTCATGCGGTAAAGGAATTATGCGAGGAACTATCTCGTTTGTCACAAATGATGCGAGTTTCATTGACGCCAGGACACAAACGGTTTTGATTGAAGGTATTTTATTAGTATAGTGAAGAAAATACTCAGACAAATGATATGAGAAAGCGGTGTAGAAAATAGGAATTTTTAAAAAACTGCTGCCAAAATTTTACGTGTCCCTAATATTTGTGAATATACCTCGGTTGATTCTGGCATTCTCTTTACTTCAGAATCAAGCTATTATGCATGGCTACTAAAATCGCGATTAAATTGAGCTTGTCACAAACTTCTTAATTTGTGAAAACTAGTAATCGTAAAATATAGGCAAGCGATATAAATGGATTGTGACAATAACTTCTAATGTCCATGCATACCTTTTAGTAAAATTTAATTCGTCGAAAAATCTTTAAAAAAAACAATAAATATTTCAAATATATATGTTTTGTTTGAAATGTTTTGACTGAAATGAAAAGGTAAAAGGATTTTATGCATTTCACGACACTATAATCAAGCCTAAATTGCATTTGTATCATACTTGCGACGGGGTGTGTCCGTCTGAAAATTTAACCGAACCGTCCCCTTCTCCCCCTCGCCCCTTTTTATCAGGACACAAGAATCAAGAATTCAGTTATTCTAAAACAATTTGACGATGATCTTATTAATTCGAAAATATTTTTGAACATGGTAATCTCCTTCCAGTGGCTAGTGGTCATTTTGTTTTAGCAGACTACTTATTGTATATTTAGTTCGCAAAAAACGAACACCCTCGGTAGTTTTACAGTAATTTCGATTCGCAGGTTATCCATAGGTCACCCAAAAACCAACTGTTTAAATTCAAATTTGAATTGCCACATCTTAAAAGTTCGATGGTCCACAATGATTCAAGATGCTCTTTTTTGCGATGGTAATAATTCCTCACTGTATCTTCATCTTTTCTGCTTCGTGAATATTAACAAATGAAGAACGCAAAAATTTCCGTATTTTTTTAGAGAGCTTGTTAAACATGCGAACAATCAGCGAGGCAGAATTCATCCTAGTCGTCGAAAAAGAAGCTGCTTTTCAAAAGTTGCTAGACGAAAATTTCTTTATATTTTTCCCCCGTAGCATACTTTTGACGGTAAGTTGAACTGTTTTTTTTTAATAACAAACATCATTAAAGGCTAAAGGATATCCGGACATTTGTTCGAGAAATGTTCTTCGCCATCTTGTAGATACGATAAAAATACCAGTTTTTGGACTTTTTGATGCCGATGCCTATGGTACGATTTTTTATGGACTTATAGTTTTGAAATTTTAGGTATCGAAATATATTTGACTTACAAATATGGTAGTATTCTCGAAAGCTCGGAATGTCGGGACGCTTTTATTCCTCAAATTCAGTGGGTCGGGTATGTGCATCGAAATTCAAAAATTTATCAGAAATATAAAAAATCTATTAGTCAAAGGTGAAATCGAAGAGTCTGGTACATCTTGTGGAATTCGTTGTTTCCGATCATATCTGGATTTTAGTTGTTCGATGGTCTATCGTTGACATACATGTTGTCATGATTAGTCCCATTACCAACAGAACCCGCCGAATTAATTTTGTCTACAAGCGTTTTCCAGTCAAAAATAAAAAAAACTGAATTCCTGAAATATCCAGGCGACAGACTCAATGATTTCATTCTTGACTATCTTTCATTTTTCATACATTCATTTCTCGGATAAAATTTTGTTCGTTTCAGGGTGTTTCCAAGCGATTGCAACAAATTCCCAATAAATCAAAATCAATTTTCAAATCTTAGCCATTCGGATAGCAAGAAATTGTTTAAACTCTTGAATAGATCGATTCAACTGAATGAGCAGGTTGTTCGTCAGGAAGTTAGACAGTTCTAAAAATGCTTTCAATTTGAGATCTGTTCTTCCAGATAGATTACATGCTCCAACTTAAGACGAAGTTCGAAATAGAAGCGGTTAGTTCGATTGGCGAGGAATATCTCTCAAGAGCGCTTCTTTACAATAGAATTCGTCATCTGCTGGACGCTTCAAAGATTCGACATTCTTGAAAAATTTCAGTTCTGAATTTGGAAAGTTTTTGTTTTATTGCACGACAACCTTTTTCATAATAACTTTATTCGAAAAAAATAAACATTGGAAATCATTAAAGAACCGTAGTAATTCGAGAAGTACTCTGAGTAGGGGACCGCAGTGAATAGTGATTTTTCAATCAACCAAATTGCTTAAATAAATTATTTAAATAAAATAGGTATCACAAATTTTGGGAAGTTGTGGTTGTGGTGAAAACACCAAATGCTCACATAAAAACAAGTAGATTAGGAACACGAATAGATATGAAAGAATTTAGAATGTCCTAAACACTAGAGCAGAACTTAAAGCTGTCTGCGGGATGGTATGGACTGGTTATTGGAAATACTGATTTAGAGTTCAGAGTGTTCTTCCTCAATGGTGGCTTCTTCGGTAGATGGGTTCTCCTCAGCAGCTTCTTCCTCGAACACTGGCTCAGCTTCGACTTGAGCATCAGCAGACACATCGAGAGATTGACGAAGAACATTTTCAATACGTTCAGCAAATCCAACCTAAATGATTCGATATGATCGATATACAGCCTTTATCATTATACCTGATCTTGAAGGCTAAATCCGGATCGGAGAGTAGCAGTCTCGAAAAGAAGTTTGGCAGTGCTGATGGCGGTTTGGTCATCAGAGTCTGCGCTTACTCTCTTGAGCAACTCCTTGACGACTGGATGACGTGGGTTGATCTCGAAGGTCTTCTTCTGGGAAGCATAGAAATCTTGAGTTGGGTCCTTAGCCTTGGCATACGCCTGGCTTTTCATGATTCTCTCCATGTTTCCAGACCATCCATAGCTAGAAGCAACCAAAGCCGATGGGGATTTGACAAGTCTTTGAGAGACAACAGCCTTCTCAATTTGATCCTTAAGGGCGGTCTCCTTGAGCCAGTCAGTCAATGGCTTGAATTCTTCCTCGAGAGCCTTGTGAGCTTCTTTGGCCTTCTCACCATCGTCAATGTTGACTCCTTCCTGAATCAATTAATATAAATTAAGAATTTTCCTTTGTTCGTCAAACCTTAGCAACGTTCTGGAACTTCTTTCCCTCAAACTCTGGCATTGCCTGGATGCAGTACTCATCGACAGCCTCGGTCAAGTAGAGAACTTCGTATCCCTTGGCGATGAGACGCTCGACGAATGGCGAGCCCTCAACCTCCTTTCTTGACGATCCAGCCATATAATAGATTGCATCCTGTTTCTCCTTCATGCGTTCAACGTAAGCGGCCAGAGAAGTGAGCTGCTCAGCATCGTTGGAGGATTGGAATCGCAAAAGTTTGGCAAGACGCATGCGGTTGCTTGGGTCTTCCATAACTCCGAGCTTGATATTGGTACTGAACTCCTTCCAGAATTCTTCGAATTGGGCGCCATCTAGTTTCTTGAGCATATCAAGAACTTTACGGACGAGCTTCTTCTTGATAACCTTCAAAATCAATAAATAAGAAGCATTCACAAATTGAAAATGACACCTTAAGAAGTTTGTGCTGTTGAAGGTTTTCACGGGAAACATTTAGTGGAAGATCGTCAGAATCCACAATACCACGGATGAAAGACAAATACTTCGGCATCATATCGGCGAAATCATCAGTGATGAAGACACGGCGAACGTAAAGTTTGATATTTTCAACAACCTTTCCGTAATTCTGAAAAAAATGTTATAGAAATTTGTTCGTATTTTTCAAAATTTCGTACCTGGAACATGTCGTTAGGTGATTTCTTCGGAACATAGAGAATCGATCGGAATGAAACTTCTCCTTCGGCGTTGAAATGCACATGGGAAAGTGGCTCTTCGGTGTCCTTGGTGACCGACTTGTAAAATTGTTTGTATTCATCCTCCTCAACTTGGCTTGGCTTTCTCATCCAGATTGGCTTAACATTGTTGACTTTCTCCCAATCCCATGTGGTCTTCTCGACCTTCTTGGTTTTCTTCTCTTCCTTCTCTTCCTCGACAGCTCCGTCCTCCTTTGGCGCTTCCTCTTCAACTGTTTCCTCAACCATTTCAGTCTTCGATTGCCACAAGTAGATGTCGAAGTTGATAAATTGCGAGTATTTGTGGACAAGGTTCTTAAGGGTATCTGGCTCCAAGAAATCGGCGGCCTCTTCCTTCAAGTACAATGTGATCTGGGTTCCGCGTTTGAGGGTTGGTCCTCTTGGATCCTTGGTGATCGAGAAACTAGCCGAGTCAGACTCCCAAATGTATTGATCATCATCATTGTGCTTCGTGGTAACAACAACACGATCAGCAACCAAGAAAGCCGCGTAGAATCCAACTCCGAATTGTCCAATAAGATCTTGTTGTTGATCAGCGGAAGTAGATGAGTCCATGAGCTTCGAAAGAAATTCGGAAGTTCCCGATCGGGCGATTGTTCCAAGGTTGTTAATAAGATCCTGGCGAGTCATACCAACTCCGGTATCGGTAATATGCAACAATCTATTCTCGCGATCAGCCTTGATGCGAATGCTGAGTTCGTCGGTCTCTCTAAGTTGATCAGGGTCAGTAAGAGAGAGGAGTCGAATCTTGTCAAGAGCATCGGAAGCATTAGAAATCAATTCACGAAGGAAAATTTCCTTGTTGCGATACAACGAATTGATAATCAATTTCATCATACGGTTAACCTAAAAAAAAAATTGGAATTTCGATAAGGAAAAATTTTCTGCGCGAACCTCAGCCTGGAATTCATGTTTCTCCGCTTTCGATCTCAGTTCCTTGATTTGTGCAACAGAAAGACCGTCAAGTTTGATTGTGTCCTCATTTCTAAATTAAAAAATAATAAAACAAATTATTTAAATATGTATATTCATGTAAGTCCCATCAATAATATTAAATCGGCTTAAATATATGTAATCCGGAAGCATCCGCCATAGCATTAGAATCCTTTCATTTCTACTAACGAAACCTTTCATCGTAATTCGTCCTTGACCAGCAAGAAAATGTGTACGCGCAATATCTCAAATGGGTCAAAATTCTCACGAACGTTATCAAAATCAAAATGTTTCGAGAAGCTTCGATGGCGAATAGTCCACTAACTCAACTCTGTTACAAAAACGGAAACCGACACGAGCGGCGACCTTTCGAAGGTATTTGCCAGGTCTATCTATCCATCTACTGTTGTGTGCACAAGTAGGAAATATAGTAACGCGTAATGAGAAAGAAAAGTGAGAGAACAGTTTCGTGACGCGAGAGGAAGGTCAACCCAAGTTTAGCGGCCAAATAAATGGACCGCACCGACTGGTACTGCAAACATTCTCGAGTTAATAGAGCAAACTTATCAGCGCAACTAGTTGAGTTCGCGAAAAAATATCCTGAGTTTTTTTTTTGAAAACAAACATACCCTGAGTCTTCGGACTTCTTCGTTTCCTCAATGACGTCTTCTGCGTACACTTGGGATACTGAAACGATGAAAAATTGGACGTAAAAACGATATCTTTTACTGAAAAACTTGTGTAATTTCGAATCTCATTTAGGCAGTTCGACAAATTTGATACTTAAGGACATTCACTTCGAGAAATAGGTCCTCAATTTGGTGAAAACGACTCATGTTACACACATGAGAACAGTTTGACGAACAAAAATGAATTTGTATATAACATAAGATATAAAACCGATCACTCGTATTTTAAAATCGTTTTAAACATATAATCGAATTTCATTGGTTTTTCTTTTCAATATCTTGACACGAGTTAATTTAACCATGGTCTCTAAATAATTTCTACTAAAATCATTTAACGATCTAAAAAATAAACTTTTTCTATAAAAGGACACTTTTTGACCGTAACAAGAGAGAACCCGTTCCTTTATCAGCAGGAAAATTTCACTTACCGGCGAGAAGGGCGATGAAGCCCAGTGCGTAAGCGTGGCACCTCATATCGCGCAGATGAAGGTCGAATGCGACTGACTGTGTTCAATTAATGGCCTTCTACACAAGGATTTGTTTGCACTCCGACCGAGCCTTGACGTGTCATAAGAGACTCCGCCCACTAATGGAAACACGAACGCAACTGCCGCACGTAGTCTGCATCTCTTCAACATCACACTCCTTTAGAGAAATGTGCAATCCTGGCGCGGTTTTCGACACGTTGGGGTGGAGCGAAATGGTCGCTCAGCCAATCAGCGTGCAGAACGTCGTGTTGGCTCGCAATTTATTTTTTTTTTCGCGAATGATTGGAATACCAAAAGAACACGTGGACATTTCTTGAAGATGGAATGATTTCTCTCAATGTTTTCTTTTTCTTTTTTCTTCGCATTAACATATTTTTTTTTCATGCTAACATTTTGTTTATAGGTTGGGATTAAACCATGGCTGACGCTACGACAACTCAAGCTCCGGCAACAACTCCAAATGCTACGGTTTTCACGTTCGAAGAGCAGGCGACCGCCTCTGTTGCTCTCTATTCAATGTCGATATTCTGTATTGTTGTTGGTGGAATTCGATCGGCGCAATATATCTCGACACAGATCAAAAAGCGACGATTGATAGAGGTTTCCCAAAATTATTGTGGCAATGGTTATTGAGGATAAAAGTTTTCAGGGATCTGTTACACTTCGCGAAGCCAAGAAATTCCCAATCTCAGCTTCTTTTGTGCTTTTTTCTCTCTACATCTTTTTCAAGTATGTCATAATGCTGGAACATGGTTGAATTTTTGCGTAATAGGCCGGCTCACGAACGTTTCAACTGGGTTGCTGCAGTTCTTCAAAAGATCCGCGTTCCAGACGAGTATGTTCAGAAGGTTAACGCTACAATCATTGCCTACACGGCAAATTCAACCTCAACTGATCCGGCTGTCCCATTTTATGAAAGGTAAAACAAGATTAATTGTGCGATAAAGCCACTTTTACGTGTGAACGGGCTTAGAATGACCTTTAATTTATTGAATCATTGTTTATCTTGGTAACGTTAGACTCGTTGATTCGAGTTTGTCCAAATCCATTATGTAACGAAGTATCATTGAAAAAAAATAAACAAACTGGTGACCTATTTCTAAATTCAACAAAAAAGAGGTTGTTAAACTATCAAATAAGCTAATTAAATCAACCTTAATGTTTTGATTTTTATTTCTTAATTCATTTAACCCAATTTAATTTATTTCAGATTGATCGCTAAATTGCCGTTTAGTGTGCAAGAGTATGCTGTCATTCCCGAATGTCTTCTGGGCTACGTCAACTGGGTTTCTGAGAAAATTCCAGATCTTGGGAAAGATGAGGCTATGATTGTAATTACGTTCTTGATCTGCTTTGAAGGTAATATTATTTTTCTAGAGAACATATATATTGAATTCTTATTAGGTCTGACTGCTCTCGCCAACCTCGTGAAACCATTTGTCACTTGCTTCTTGAAGAAATTTCCACTCATTCCATCATTCTTTCGCTTCAATACTCCCTATTTGTTTTCTCTCAAGAAAGGTCTCAAAGAAATGGAAGAAGGAGATATTTCGGAAGCATCAAAGAAGGATGTCGATTACCTTTTCAAAATGGAGATTGATTGCCATGATATCATTGCTCTGATCATCTGCTCGCCAGTTCTCATTTCTCATCTTACTAAGCGCCACTGGATAACCAACAACTTGATCGGAATTGCTTTCTCAATTTTGGGAATTGAACGTCTTCATCTCTCAAGCTTCAAGGTACTTAGAAAATAAGTCGCACAATAAATTATTATTATTATTATTTCTAGGCTGGGGCACTTCTTCTCGCCGGCCTTTTCATTTATGACGTCTTCTGGGTTTTCGCTACTGATGTTATGACTTCAGTTGCCAAAGGAATCGACGCTCCAATCCTCCTTCAGTTCCCACAGGATATTTATAGAAAGGGTCCATGGGAAGCTAACAAGTACAGTATGCTCGGTTAGTTTTTTTTTCTGTTAAACTGTATTGTTCATATTTCATTAGAATATTTTTATTTCATGAATTATTATGACTTTACAGGTCTTGGTGATATCGTTATTCCGGGAATATTCTTAGCTCTATTGAAAAGGTTTGATCAACGAATTGTTGAAACAACTGTAGAAGCTAAGAGCCAAAAGAAGCCAGCAAGGTATATATATATATATCATTTAAAAATTCTGAATTCGATGGTTTGTTTCAGATTTTACTTCAGTATCACATGCGTCGCGTATGCTCTAGGATTGTTTATTACCATGCTTGTTATGCACCATTTCAAGGTTTTTCTCGATCTCAATTGTTTCAAATCTAAAATTGTTTTTTTTTCAGGCTGCTCAACCAGCTTTGCTATACCTTGTTCCATGCTGTCTTATCGTTCCGCTTATTGTCGCAACATTTAGAGGAGAACTCTCATACTTATGGAACTACGATGAAGGAATGTATGTGAAAGACGAGACTAAAAAAGTTGATTCAGCTAAGAAAAATAATTAGATTCTGAATACGTTTATCATGTGAATTAGCATAATAATATATATGTATGTTGTTTTAACTATTGTCTAGTCGACAAGAATGGTGACACTCGATTGATATTTATTTTATATTTGTCTGTTTATTTTTGCATTTCCTACCTTTTCTATCCAAATTTCAATCTAGACGTCGTTCTGGTTGTTAGTATAAGTATTTCTTGCTGTTATCTATCGGGTTTCAAGCTTTTCCCTCTAATTTTTCCCCTTCTTTCTCCTTTCTGTTAATGTTGAAATTCAAAAAAGTTGAATGTTTATTTATAAATTTATTCATACATGGAAAGTGTTTTTTAACACCCGATAAATACAAAGAAGAAAGCTATGGAAATTGCAAGAAGTGTGAAGTTTACAAATATTGACGGAATAGCGAACATTGTGCGGTTATTTTCCAAATATTACATAATATTGCAAACGCAAAAAAAAACGAACACCCTCTATAGTTTTACGGTGGTTTTGATTCGCAGGTTATGCGTAGTACGGTATACGAATTCCCACTGAATAAATTCAAATTTGAATTACCGCTCCGGAATTGTGTGGTAGTCCACAAATACCCAGCGTGCTCGTTTTTTTTTGCTGTGACTATATATCGATGTATTAAAATTTACAAGGAAGTGCTTTGCACTTTCGACTGTCTTTTCTTATTTTTGTGAACAAGAACCATTGCCGATCCGAACAAGCTGCAGCCAACTGCCACGAATTGCAAAAATCCGGCAAATCCAAAAATATAATATGCCCAACCGTAGTGAAGCTGAAAATTTGGTAGAAAATGAGCGACGTTTGCTGGACTTTTATCGGAAAAATGAAATAATGAATTAGTTAAGGACGAAAATGCAGTGTCTATTGAATTGGCATTTCTGGGATTCGTTGTTTCCGTTCTTGACCGAGTCATATTTGTAGATTGAAACGATTTTGCCGGTTCTATCCGTAGTGGATCTATTCATGAGACACAAGTTGAAGAGTAAGCACATTCTCAGTGACTGCTTAGGAAACAAATGCAACGCGTATACCGGCGATGGACCATCGGACAACTATCTTCGCTCCCTAATCGAACAGAAACGTGCATGTGGGTGTCTTGAACTGTCTCACTACCGACGGAACAGGCAGAATCGTTCCAGTCGACAAGTGTTTCTAGCCAAAAACGGAATTCCGAACAAACTCTAAGATTTTTTTGGCGCGTACAGTACCTACAGAAATGCCCAATGGATGCCTGAATCCCCTTGGGTAGTACCCTTTTTTTTTCAAAAGACCCTACATTCTAACTCGGCCTCTCAAAACGGAAACGATTCATAAAACACAAAAAAATGCTACTTAAAAAAATTTTTCGTAAATTTTTGTTCGGTGTCAATTTTTAAGATGCCTACCTGAAACTGATATCCTTTGATAGTTTCGTATTGATTTTCCTTGAGTTCGTAGAAAAATGTGTAGGCAAAAAATCCGGAAACCGAGCAAATAGCTGAAAATTGAAATTGATTTTTTCGTTCCTCTCGTCAGAATATTTATTACTTGCAGCAATAAGAATGACACTGTGAGCAAGAGCTCCGAATGAGGTGAAAATCGTGCAAATCGAGAAGAAAAATGCTAGAAGACAACAGGCCATCGAAGCTGACATTAGAATGATTGTGGCGAGTTCGAACTCGCCGAAACAGTTTCTCGTCGATTTATGAGACGACGATATGTCTGAGACACAGTACGCCGAGTTGATATAAGTTCGCAGATGGCATATTTTCGAGTTGCTATCGTCTGAAACTAGTTAGACATGCACTTCTGTCTATTCGCGATTCTTCAAACCCTCCACGGCTCTTTCATTCGACGGTGGCGAATAACAAAACCGTATGAGACCATAACTACGACGAGCACCGCTCTCATCAAAATATCGAAAAGAGGCGGAGAGCAAACTGACGAGAAGAAGCGCGCACGAGAGAAGAGCGAGTGCTGTCGAGAGACTCAGACAGCAGACACGGCCGCGAGCGACCATCTGAACGAATACATTGAATTAGTGCTGATTGGCTCATTAACGCAACAATATGTACAGTAGGAAAATGGAAATGAATAATGCAGAAAAGAAACGTTAGAAAGAAGAAGAAGAAGTTGGCCTTTTCCTCGAGAGACTTTTTCAACCAATTGAAAAAACAATCGATCCGGAATTCTTTTGACTTCCAATTTTAAACATTTTTAGATTTATTATTACTTATAATTTTTTTTTGATATCTGATAATTTGTATTTTATGTTTCAATTGAATGAGGAAGATCATAATGGCTTAAATATTGACTTAAAAAAAAAAACATATATAGTCGGCGTCCGGCGACTGTTGGACGCGGGTAGATTTACGCGCATGCGCCTTGAAAAGGTCTCGCCATGCGTGAATGCTTATTTTGTTGTTTTCACGTGAACTGCTTCATTTTTCTTGATGAGTTTCGCATTTCTTGAAATTTCTAACGTCGTTCGTTTTAAAAGTTATCAAACTGACCCATAAAATGCGAAATAACCAGTTCGTCCGTGTGAGACCAAGAGAAAGACGCATTCCCGTAAATCTACCCGCGTATAGCAGTCGCCGGACGCCGACTATATTACATTCGCAAAAAAACGAACACTGTGCCGATTTATGGTGATTCAGAATACGGTAGCTAAATTCACACTGCTTAAATCGAAGTTTGAGATACTGTATCGAAAAAGTGCGATGTTAATATATTGTCAAGGACGACAGATTTGTGGGCGATTACTGTAGAATTTGAATTGCCACCTTGGGAATCGTATGGAAGAGTTTTGATGAATTTTTCGAAATTGTGAGAAGGAGCAACATTTTTAACGAATTTCTAGATATTTTGGTAATATTTAAAAGTGTCAAATGAAGTATGAGTATAGTTTGTTTTACGGGACCAATTAATTGGCAGACCGCGAAATTCAAATTTGGCAAATTCGTCCGTCTATGACAATAGTATGAATGAATTTGAAACCGAGCTCGCAAAATATGAAAATGTGTGACATCAGACTCGAACAATTCACAATATTGACACCTAGACGAAGCAAATCGGGCGAGTTTATGATCAAATGAGTCATGATTACATACATATTTTGATTCCGATCAGAGCCGGAATCTATTTGTCTGCTTCGCAACAATACACCATCAATATTTGGCGTGTTTTGACTCATCTCATGCATTTTACCGCCAATTTTACGTCATGTGAAAGTACTTCGAAAATTTCCAGCGGAATTTTTAAATGATGGTAAAAGGTGAGTGACTTTCACATAGAAAATTGGATTCAGATTTTAAAAAATAATTTTTGTAAGAAAAATTGAATTCCAGTCATTTTTCACAAGAAATTATTTTAACTTTTCTTACTGAGTTTTCCATTTCTTTGAATTTCTAACGTGATCGAAGTTGTATATTTACTAATCATATATAATGCTAGTTGCCAATGTAATTTATACCTCTCTCGTCGGACGAACTAATTCTTACATAAAATAAGCGGCTAATTTGATGTTTTGTATCGTGGGACCCCTCAATCACAGGTTTAATGACAAATCGGACCAAGAGTGGGCTAAATGCCAAAAAGGGTCTCTTTAAATATAATATAATGCAAAATGAGCCATGAGGGTTGAAATGTGAGCCCGAAAAAATTCCTTTCAAACAATTCGATTTTCTCGGAGCAAAAAATCGTTTGTCTGATTCGATATTAGTAAAGTTCACAATTTTTCACTTAGAAATTGCTTCGGCATCATTTGTTTCACATTTTAATCCCAGCTCTTCTCAATTGGCAAAATTTGGTCATTATGTTTTTAGTGGTCTCTTCTTGTCCCTATTAGGCAAGTCACATTAGCTATTGGCCTAAAGACTAAACAAATCGTAGATGACTGGATGAAGAAGATGAGCACTCAAACTGAAGAAGGGAGTGTCTTGAAAGAAACAATCCCTTCAATAATATCTTAAAGAACAAAACATAACTAAATCAGGGAATTGAGTAGCCAACATCAGATTTGTTTTTCTATTTCAATTCTTGTCACCCATTCAATCCCTCTGTACCGTGTACTTCCTATTCCATTGCAAATAACTCTGACTTGCGTCTAATCAATTCGTCCACGATTCGCAGCTTCTCACACATTTATTCCTTTTTTAGTAATAATTCAAAAACGACTTACTCCGCGGCAAAATTTCTTAATAAACTCGAACGCTTTGAGAGGAATCGAAGAGAGATGCATTAGAAGAAAAACCGTAGCACGATTTTCCAATTGTGAGCAGAAGCACACTTTGCGATGTGTATTATAAAAACAGGTGTGGTTCTCAAAACATTTTGCAAAAAAGAAGATACATGAATGAAAATATTTGAGAAGAACATTCAAGTGTATGAAAACAACAACCCAACAAAATTGTTCGAAAGAAAACACACACAAATTTGTATAATTTCCCATGAATTCCGAAAAAGGAATCGCCACATCAAAACAAACCGAATTGTTCTTCTTTCTCGAAGCATATCGAGCCGTTCGCGGCATTGATATATCGTGCATCTCAAAGCTTTCCACCATACCGATCAACAATTTCGGAAGCAACAGCGAATCGCGTGCGACCGCACCAGCAAAATTCAATTTTTATGGCTGGGAAAGTTTCGATGTGAATCACGTTTTGGGAAAAAATAATTATTATTGGCAACACGGTAGATGAATGTTTTCTTGTTGCAGCAGAAATGCAAATGTGAGATTGAATGAATTACGATGATGATGCTTAATAAAAATTGAACCAACATGATTACGGTAGCGAATTGAAGCAATCTCATCGAGAAATTTTCCAAAAACATATGTATTTGATTTAATATTATTGGGAGGAAATTTTGTGAAAAAAATGATGCGCAAAGCTTCTAAAAAATCGACGGTGGTCTGCAATGCGGTATTTGGAGTACCACTCACAAAGCGTTTTTCCTAATGAACATGTTAGACATGACTATATGCATTTGCAACAACTTATTACTAGGTTATTATTTTCACAACGAGACCCTTTACAAATGCTACCATTATATTGTTGGCGTCAAACGACTGAAGGGAGGCGGGACCTTCAAATTCGCGAAATTAGTGTACATTTAAATTTTTTGTTGACTGAATATTAAATGCGCGTACGCTATAATGCAATGTACGCAGTCTTGTGTACTTCTCGCTGTCTCGAGACGCATTGGCACATTGCCAATCATTTGTTTTAATTTCGTCCAGTCGTTTGACGCCAACAATACTTTCAAACTTCGAATGTCTGCGTAACTTCATCATTGTTTAAGAGCATATGTGAATGATGATTTTTTATTTCTAAATTCTATTTATTGAGTAATGGTGCAGGCTTTGGAAAAATCTCAAAAAATCGGTTATAACTAGTTCTTTACACATTCTGCTTATAGGGACTTTATATGGTTGGTCACCGTTTTTTGGGTTTCTTTCCAAATTCGCACATAAATGATATGATTATTAAAGTGGTTCCAATTTGATCATAAATTTCGCAAATAACCTAATAAAGTTAAAAAAAGATTAAAAAGAATATCAATTGAGATGATCCGATTTTAAAAAAATATTTGCCTATCAGATTTACTATCAAAAAATGACACGTTCTTTTTTGAGTTGAAAATCGTGATTTTCAAGTTTTCTTCGACCACACATGGCGAAAAATAAAACGAAAGGAGTGGTTTGAATAAACATGATTCCCAAAAAGGCAACACTTTATATGGTGGGGCTTGGATTGAGCATCGGGTCAAAATAAACTAAGGGACCCCAGTGAAAATGAATCAAACACAGAAGACGACACCTTGTCGGCGTCTCATCAATCGACCCACTATTTTCGCAGTTTTTTTGACGACGACTCGAACAGCAGCTGACGAGATCCACGAGCACACGAGCGAAGAGCCAAAATGCGTACGTCTCAGGGCGTTTTTTCCCATGACTTGCGCAGCACGGGAAGGGGGTGGCATGTAAACGGCAGGCTGCGCAAAGACGTGGCAAGCTGCGGAAGAAATGCGCGAGGTGCCATAATCGCGGGATTGTTACGGGTATGCTGCCCGTGGATATCGCATGTTGCCCGCAGGAAGCGCATTAGGTGGGCAGGTTGGAGACGCAGACAGTGAGGGGATATCCGCGATATATAAACGTTTAAATTTTAATTGAATTAATTTTTTTATCGATTTTTTATAAATTTTCAAATGAATATAATCTTCGTGATTTTTACAATTGTTCTAATGCATCTATCCATTCAGTGTGTGTAAATTTTTTTTCGAATTTGGCGAGAAAACATAAATTGAAATCGAGAACTAAGTAAAATTATACGACGCAGAGTTAAACAAAATTTTTACGGACCTTTTAATAATTTCTCTATTTTCATCGTTGCATTAAGATTACATTTACTTCCAGGTCCAGGTCCAGGTTCCAGGTACTTCCAGGACCGTGACCAAAGTGGATCGACGAACCAAAACTCTAGGTAAGATCTAAACAATTTCTGGATATCTATATTTGTGATACTTAAAAAAGGCTACGCATATATATATATATATATATATATATATATATATATATATATATATATATATGATAATTATAATTATTTAAATGTTTTGTATTGTTATATTTTGAGCTTTCTTTTTTTAAATAAATGATGTTTTTACGCTTAAAACTGATGATATATGTATTAATACAATGAATATTATGTTGAAATCTGTTAAAAGTGAAGCGATATATGCTGCGAATTGGTTATAGCCTTTGAATATCCCGTAACAATCCCGTGAATCTCCCGCGTCAATCGCAGGCCTGCGCGTGTTTTGGGGCAGGCCTGCCACATGCCCGGCACACGCCTGCCCAAAATGACGAGCAGGCGTGCCCCAAAACACGCGCAGGCCTGCGCAAAATCTCCCTGAGGGGATATTCAAAGGCTATAACCAATTCGCAGCATATATCGCTTCACTTTTAACAGATTTCAACATAATATTCATTGTATTAATACATATATCATCAGTTTTAAGCGTAAAAACATCATTTATTTAAAAAAGAAAGCTCAAAATATAACAATACAAAACATTTAAATAATTATAATTATCATAGAAAAAAATCGGTACCAATTCATTGAATCAAGCGCCGTCCACTTTGGAATGCCTCTAAAAGAAAAAAAAAGAGTTATATATATATATATATATAAAACATATATATATATGCGTAGCCTTTTTTAAGTATCACAAATATAGATATCCAGAAATTGTTTAGATCTTACCTAGAGTTTTGGTTCGTCGATCCACTTTGGTCACGGTCCTGGAAGTACCTGGAACCTGGACCTGGACCTGGAAGTAAATGTAATCTTAATGCAACGATGAAAATAGAGAAATTATTAAAAGGTCCGTAAAAATTTTGTTTAACTCTGCGTCGTATAATTTTACTTAGTTCTCGATTTCAATTTATGTTTTCTCGCCAAATTCGAAAAAAAATTTACACACACTGAATGGATAGATGCATTAGAACAATTGTAAAAATCACGAAGATTATATTCATTTGAAAATTTATAAAAAATCGATAAAAAAATTAATTCAATTAAAATTTAAACGTTTAACTTGCGTTAAAAAGCGCGTGGAATTTAAAAATCGTTTAAACGATTAGAGCGGATATCCCCTCACTGTCTGCGTCTCCAACCTGCCCACCTAATGCGCTTCCTGCGGGCAACATGCGATATCCACGGGCAGCATACCCGTAACAATCCCGCGATTATGGCACCTCGCGCATTTCTTCCGCAGCTTGCCACGTCTTTGCGCAGCCTGCCGTTTACATGCCACCCCCTTCCCGTGCTGCGCAAGTCATGGGAAAAAACGCCCTGAGCCGTAACAATCCCGTGAATCTCCCGCGTCAATCGCAGGCCTGCGCGTGTTTTGGGGCAGGCCTGCCACATGCCCGGCACACGCCTGCCCAAAATGACGAGCAGGCGTGCCCCAAAACACGCGCAGGCCTGCGCAAAATCTCCCTGAGTACATACAACAAATTAGCACACCAACACGGAACAATGCGGATTTAAAAGGACAACAAGTTATTATTATTATTACTGAGAGAAAAATAATCGAATGCTATTCACTTCTTATTCGTCCCAGTTGACTTCTCGTCTTCGAGTTTTTTCTCGGCTTTATCAAATGCTTTCACAATGGGAACTTCTTTCTAAACTATAAGATTGTTCGAGTGAATCATTGGAAACATCAACCAGTTGATTATTCAATTTCGACATTGAAGATTCACTCGGAACTGCCCTTGGTGGTGGCGGTGGATCGCCGTCTTCTGTTGATTCACATGACACCAATCGATTCGCTTTTGCCGTTGCCATTTCTTCTAATTCTTTCGCTGTTTTCTGAATATGCAGACATTTATACAATGATTCAGAAGAGTTTCGCTTGAACCTTTTTCAATGCCACCCGCTTCTCCGGTGCCTTTTTTGAAGCCTTCTTGTTCTCGTTGTTTGAAGTCGACATTATCGGATTTAGTTAAAAACTCGCGATGTCAGAAATGAAATAAATAGCCCCGAAGAGAGACGCATCGCTATTCCAAATGTCAGACAACACGTCTTCATTTATTTTTTTTTGTTATTTCGCGACTAAAGTTCCAGACTTATTACACCGTTTGTCTTCAAAATTGAGTCATAAAATCTGTGGACGTCATGAAATTATGCTTTTTTACACTTGGTTCTGAGCATTTTTCAATTAAAAACGCATTTTTTGCGGCACAAATCGATTATGTGAGACATTTAACGACTTTTAGAAATCGAAATAATTTGGTCATATTGAATTCTTAGCGCTGGTATAACTAATTTTTGGTCTGCATGTATATTTTGTAGATTTGTATATGTTTGAAGGGTAGCCAAAGCTTTAATTATTGCGAGACTGAATTTCTTCAGTTCAAGGTTGCCGTTATAGGACTCTGGGCTGGGTTCCCATTTTGACACCTCTGCTTCTTATGGTCTTGTGAAAATTTCTGATGTGATCTATTTCAAAAACGGAAATGCGATTGATCCGTGCTTCTCCACCACATGCTTGGATGATTTTGATTTTTTATTGAATAAATTACATTGAACAATGATTTTATTCGCGAAATACGGATAATGAGTATTGTTGAAAAATGACAAATGTATTCAGGTGTCGTAGGTTTCTGCGTTTTGTACGCAATGCCAAGAGACAGTTACCGTAATCCTCGCAGCGATTTACGGGGAATTTTTTTTTTAATTTCGCACATTCATTTTTTTTTATTTTTCGTTCATTTTTTTAAATTTTCTTTCGAAATTTTTTAATTTAAATTTTTAAATTTTGCAGAAACCGAGTTTAATAATGTATTTAGCAGAATAAGCACTTTTAAATGATATTTTTTGGTAAAAGCGTCAAAATCTTCACAATAATTCCCAACTCAACTGGACAAATGGAAAAGTGCATATTCTGAAAATTAAGTAATTAAACTCGGTTTCTACAGGTTTTAAATAAAATATTTCTAAAGAAAATAAGAAAATTCAGCAAAAAATTTAAAGAAAATTAAAAAAAAAACTCCGTAAATCGCTGAGAGGATTACGGTAACTGTCTCTTAGCATTGCGTACAAAACGCAGGATCCCACGACACCTGAATACATTTGTCATTTCTCAACAATATATCTAACGTCGGCGAGTTCCGTCCTCGAAGAAGACTCCACCGTCGATGGCGCAATACTTTGGACAGATTCCCTTCTCTCCTTCGCCTCCAGCCTTTCCTGGCTGTCCAGGAGTTCCTGGGTTTCCGTCTGGTCCTGGATTTCCGGGTGGTCCTGGTGGTCCTTTGGGTCCCGGAGCTCCTGGAGATCCCGATCCTGGGGCTCCATCTGGTCCTGGTGGTCCCGGTGGTCCTGGTGGACCGGCAGGTCCTGGAGCTCCTGGTCCTGCCACGTCGGAAGCTCCCGGCTCTCCTGGGGCACCTGGAGCACCAGGGGCTCCATCGTTTCCGTTTGGTCCTGGTGGTCCTGGCGGTCCTGGTGGTCCTGGGCTTGATGGTCCAGCTGGAGATCCTGGTGGTCCATCAGTTCCTGGAGGTCCGGGTGGTCCCGCTGGTCCTGGTGGTCCTGGTGGTCCACCTGGGCATGGCTGACATGGTGGCATTGTGACTGGCTCGCATGGAGCGGCAGCAGCTTTTCCGGGATTTCCTGGAGCTCCCGGCTTTCCTGGTCTTCCCGGCTTTCCTGGATTTCCTCCAGGTCCTGGTGGTCCCGGATTACAGCAGCCGTCACAACCACTTCCTCCGCCACCAGAAGCAGCCGCGGCTCCTCCAGAGTAATCTGTATGCATTTGATGAGACCAAATTAAATTGACGTGAATATCTACCGGCTCCTCCGCTTCCAGCAACAGCTCCCGAAGAGTAAGCCTGTCGGCGATACGAGTGTTGTTCGACGGAGCATCTTTGATCAAATGTACCTCCGACCAGATGTCCTTTGCAGAAGCTAATTACACACACACAATGAATCGCGTTTTGATCGATTATAAAATATCTTACATTTGCAAAAGTTGACGTCGGTGTGAATTTGTCGCTTCACACTGTGCACATAATTATAGACCATTGGCAAGGTGACAAAAATCGAAACGACGGCGACGACGGAAAACGTGACCGCCGAATAGGCGACAAACTTGTACGCCTTGATCCGGGCGTCGATGTCCATAATTGGATGCTGGTTTTCGGATGTTGCGCGACTTCTATTTATACGAAACCGCGACGCATAACTAGTTGGTCGTGATAACGAATGATAGGAAGTAACAACAGTTTGATTGGCAGCTACCAGTTTTTGGTGGATTAACACAACAACGAGGAAAATTGAAGAATGGTGAAAACTTGTCAGCTGAAAATTGAATGATTGAGAAAGAAATGGGACAAACCATTGATGAGAATTGATGTGATGAATCCATCGCAAAAAAAGAATACGAGCGTCTTGCATAATTGTGGACCATCGCACTTCTTCGAGGCGGCAATTCAAATTGACACAGTGGGAAGAACTCGGCTACCGTATTCTGGATGACCTGCGAAGCTAACTCGCCGTAAATCGACGCAGAGGGGTCTTTTTTCTTCAGTTTCATTTTCCTTCTGGAAAATATTATCATTAGTTCGCAAATTCGTGAATCTACAGTGCTCCACAAAACTATATACCCACCCTAATTTTGTCGAATAACTCGAAAACGCGAATAGCTCCAGAAATGGTTTCAATTAGAAAAATATGCGCATTTATTATTAGTTTCATGTTACATTCACAAAATTCAACAAAAAATAACAATTTAAAAAATTTCGTCGTTTTCACGAAAAAGTGGAAAAAATTTTTCCACAAAATTATATACCCACTCCATTTTTTGGCGTTTTTTAGTTATTTTTTTTCGTATAATTTCGTATTTTCGAACGTATATAGTTTTGTGGAAAAATTTTTTCCACTTTTTCGTGAAAATGACGAAATTTTTAAAATTGTTATTTTTTGTTGAATTTTGTGAATGTAACATGAAACTAATAATGAATGCGCATATTTTTTTCTAATTGAAACCATTTCCGGAGGTATTCGCGTTTTCGAGTTATTCGACAAAATTCGGGTGGGTATATACATAGTTTTGTGGAGCACTGTATTGCAATCTCAGAAAGACGAGCATCTTGCGAGCATTTACTATTTAATTGATTCGCAGATTATCAGTTGGACACTTCCCGAATTCGTATTCAACAAATTACCGCCTCATTCTGTCTTCCTGGATGTTTTTCGAATCTTCGTTTTTTTTTCATTTCAAAACAGCGGGAATTGGAGTACGATAATCAACACGTCAATTTTACCGTAATTTATAAATTACAGTAGCGTTTTTTTGCGACGCATTACTCTGTCTTGAAAAAGATACGATTGATTCCTTTTTTAGTCTGATATTTCCGTTCCACTTAATTTCCCTTTAAAATTTTAATGTTTTTTTTTGTTTTTTCCCTAAATGAATATTTTTTTAATTTACCAGAACAAACCATGTTGTATTTTGTAGCAAAATGTGGCCGCAAATTTTGATTTTTGATTTTTTAATCCTGAAATGCAATGATATTCCAACAAAAACTGAAAGCGTTATTAATGACGTTCGACATTTCAAATAAATTCAAACAAAAATGTAAAAATTCAATTACAGCGAGTTTATGAAAAATATGGAAGTGTTAGAACCGACATGAAATCATTAGAAGCACTGATGATCTTCCTTGTATTTGACACCAATTTCCATATTAAGTGCACCAAATTCAAACCATTTAGTAACCTACAATGTTGGTGTATAACAAAGGAGATTTCAACTGTTGATTGTCTTACCTGATTTCCGCTGCTGATGTAATTATCGGGAATATTGAATGTCACTCGACGCTTGCATCCCTACGATTCTATGTATTTTTGATTTTACAATAAACCAATATACTCACTGATTTTTTGTTTCGACAGTTATGATAAATGCGGATTTGGGGATCAATCGACGTTGTCTGAAATAAATTGTAAGCTAGCTGAAAATTGGATGAAGCACCGAATACCGATACGGTTAGACCAGCGACTTGGAAACTTCCATCGGGTTTCGTTTGAGCTTCAGCCATCAAATCATCAGGATCAACTGAATAATATTTATTGGAATATTGCCAATCATTTGACCTACATAAATCATTATCCCAAAGTTTGACAGTGGCATTCGAAATTGGCTGATTACCACATAGAAGTTTTCCACGGACACCCACCGATTGTTTTCGTCCAATTATGGATTGAACCTTCAGAAAATCGAATTGAAAAAGAATTTTTTGTTGTTTTTAATCAAACCTTTTGATAAATCGATTTTTTGTTGACAACATTTTGCACTTGGGTGATATTGGCCAAAGTGAAAATAGGCGAAAAAACGAGAAAAATGAGGAAAACGAGTTTCATTTCAGCAACACAAAAACGCAATGTTTTGGCACATTCTGGAGCCCTTCTAATCCTTGAGTATTACCAAATGTCATCATCGTCTTCGTGTCGTTTTTTTTGCCAGAGTCCATTGTTTCTGCGAAGTTGAAATATTTTGAATGGCAGGAAAAAAAGGGTGTCGAATTTGCATAATCGATGTCATTCGAAAGGGTACAACACTTCCTGAAAATTCATTTTCCAGTCTGCATTTTTTTGCGTCTGACAATGAACGGAAAAACCATTTCAACGAAAGAGTGAGATCGCTTCTTAATTTGATTTTCAATATTGGATTTCAGACTTGAATTAGCGCAAAGACGAACTGAATGGAAATCCGTATATACCGTCGGAATTCTTCTTTTATTTCTCGGAATGCAGCTCAGCATTTATTTCACATCCACGTGGCAATATTTGTCAGAGGTTTTCCTTCGAAAATCGAAATTTCAAACATTTTTTTTGAAATTCAGAGTGACGAAACAGCTACGGTGGACTTTTTTGGTTATATACTAGCGCTGATGGCCTTATCAACGGCTCTTGTATGCACTCTGAATATCGTCAAAATCCAAGAAATCCTTGAATTTCAGGCGAATCCCGTATTAGGATATTGGAATCAAGTAAGCGAATCAACGAGGAACCCATTATTTTTCGCATATGGCGTTGCTGCTTTAGGTGATTTTCTCTTGATTCCAAATTTTGAATCGATCGATTTTGTTCAGGAAACTTCATTTATGCGCTCTCCTATCTAGCAAACCCTTATGCAAAATGGGCCATGCTGTTTTCTCGTATTCTCTGCGGAATTGGTCCGGGAGCTTTAGGTGTGCTTCGCTCATTTGTTGCCAATGCAAGCACAAAGGAAGATCGAATGCGAGCTGTATCTCTGACAAACTCCGGATTCACTTGCGGATTCTTTCTCGGCCCAACCATTCAAATCGGTTTCATTCCGCTTGGAAAAGAAGGAATCAACGTCGGCTTCATGAATTTCAACATGTACACCTCGTGCGCTATTTTCATGTAAAAAATCGATATTTTGAATTACCCAAAAGCCCTTATATTCAGGGGAGTCGTCAGCCTTTTAGCAATCGTTCTCACCTATTTTTTCCTCGAAGAGAATTATATTGGAATAGTGAGCAGCAAAGAGAAGACGAGTGATCCATACTTTGTTCTTCCCAAATATGACCGTCTGCCGGCTGTCTTCCTTTTCTACGTTTGGTGGTTGATGTGTGGCGTCGTTTGCGTCGAAAGGTACCAATTCATTATATTTCGATGAGATATTCGATCGATTTCAAGCATGGCTGCTCCATTGACAATCGCAATGTTCAATTGGAGCCATGAAACTGCCGTGTTTTACAATGGACTCATTCAAACAGTATCGTGCACCTTCACATTTCTCATCAATTTTTTGATTGCTTCCACAAGACTGAAGAATGTGTAATGGAAAATATGAGAATTACATTGAATATGTTGAATATCTAGAGATCAGCGTGTCATTACGATGGCCGGCCTATTGTTCTTCCTCGCATTTTTCACAATCCATATGCCATGGCCATTTTATCCGGGACCATTGGATCGTCCTAATAAGAAATTGAATATGACTGCAGGCGAAGAGGTTATCATCGATGGATTGTGCGATTTTGATTGGTGTGATTATACACCAAGGTTTCAAAGCATTTTTTGGTATTTTCAAAGCGATTTTCTAAATTTCAGAGTACCTATAGGAATCTATTTGTTTATCACCTCAGTTGTCATTGGATGCGGATTTCCATTGATCGGATCAGGATCAAGTGCGCTTCTCAGTCAGATTCTTGGACCTCGAAAACAGGGAGTTGTACAAGGATTATTCGCTTCAACAGGATCATTCTCGCAATTTTTCGTCTCATTATTTTCAACGTGCGATCATTCAACACGAACACACATATTGTCGGCGTTCGGCGACTGTTGGACGCGGGTAGATTTACGCATTATTAATTATCGAACCGACCCATCTCTGGTAACTCAAAACCAATCGGAATTCGACAAAATTCGGCTCCGGAATCAACCTTATCCGACTGGTAATTCTACGGATTAGATTGGAAAATTTTTGTATCCGATTGGTAATTTGTCGAATCCGATTCGAATTAAAATATTAAAACAAAACGGATTCGAATAATTACCAATCGGATTCGAAGAGAATCTAATCGGATCCGAAAATACCCGAAAAACCAATCGGATCCGACAATTTTCCAATCTTATCCGTAGAATTACCAATCGGATAAGGTTGATTCCGGAGTTGAATTTTGTCGAATTCCAATTGGTTTTGAGTACCAGAGACAAAATGTGAAATAATCAGTTAGTCCGTGTGAGACCACGAGAAAGAAGCATCCCGTAAATCTACCCGCGGCCAGCAGTCGCCGGACTCCGACTATACGCAAAAATAAACAATCTCTAATTTCAGGCGACTTTTCGAAATGAGCGGCTATAAATGGATAATGTTTTATCATTTCTCTGTTGTCTCACTGGCGATTCTCGGTGTTGCTCTGCTGTGGAAACGATTGGTCCCTCTCAAAATGACTCCGAAACAAGGGCAGGCAACCAAATACAAACTTGGAACATTCTACAGAATGTAGAAAATTATCAGAGTTTAATTTTTTGTTTATTTATTATATTTATATGTATGTATATAAATCTAGGAATTTTGTTAATAATAATTAAAATTATATTAAATGTTCAAACAAAAAATGAAGAAAAAAGGAATGTCGGTAAAAATTTGAATGGATGAGAGGATTGTGTGTGTGTGTGTGTGGTTATTCTGAGCAATTACAATGGCTAAGACGATGGCAACTAATAGAAGAATAATGCGAAATATTAAAGCTGAAATTTATACAGAAATGAATTTGCGACTCCTGAGAGAATGTGTGTTGGCTCGGTCCCACTTGGCTCACTTGCAAATATCGACCTGTGTGACGTTGTTGCAAGTCTGGCACACTACTTTGCAGCACCATTCGAACTTGCAGTTACATTTTGTCTTCACTTCTTGTGTGTAGGTGTTGTAGCCTCGACCGCAGCAGAGGCTGTCACATCCGTCAGCACCAGGGGATCCTCTTCTGAAAATGGGGGGTAGTTGAGCAACTAGTTGATGAGATGCCACATCATACTTGCATATCCTTCCTTCAGTTCCCAGTGTTCCAGCGGCTCTGTCATTTCTACAGTAATCCGGTGAATCATCCATGTATACCAAATCGGTTGGCAATGCTCGCGTCTTCCTTTCTTTTGTTGAATCGTCAGGCATCAATTGAAGATTTCCGCGATCATTGATCTACAATAGAACGCTATTGATTTTTTATTCTCGTGAAATCAAATATTAGATCTACCTGCACTCGAATCGCTTTCTCATACTTATTGCGAAGAATCTTTCCGACCTGATCCATCGATGGCAATTGCATCCAACAAGTTTTCATATTGCATGCTCCGGACACACCATGACATTTACATTTCGGTTTTCGATGTCTAAATATCCATATATGTCAGCGTTTTCAATCAACCCAAAATTTAAAAAAAAAAACACAAAATTCTAACCGCTTGAGCAGCTTCCTTCCGGCTTCATTGTTCCTTCGATTCATCAAGCTCCGTCCATGATCATTGCTTCTTTTCGGGTCATGCTCCTTCTCGCGAATATCAATAAAATCCCTACAAACTCAATCATCAATTTTATGTTTTTTCCCCCGCAATGTTTACTTTGAAAACTTGCATCCATACTCGACATTATCTCCGCATCCACCCCAACTCCAATCATTCGGCACATTCTTTGGTTTCAATTCGTCGGAACAACCGCATGAATTAATGAGACCTTGTCGACATCTTCTACCGACTTCGTGTGTGACTCCAGCAGAGAGAATCGCATACGTGAATGCGGCTTCTTTTGTTCCAAACTTGTGAATCGGACCCAGATGGCCGCTTCCGTATTGCGTTGAGCAGTTCCAGCGATGTCCAGCGAATTGACGTTGGCACTCCTGAAAATTGATCATGAAACGAGTATTGAGCTATTCGGACGCACTTTAATGGCATTATGGGCTCCTACGCTTACTGCAGGCATATGGTCTTTAAACAGCTCGCAGACTTGTGCCTGGCCTGGTGACAGACCCTGTAGCTGTTTGCAGACAGGCCTGGGAGCATTGTGGCCGGCCAATGATGTCGAGAGTTGAGCGACAGATGACCTAACAAAAATTGGAATGTGCGAAATTGCGAAAACCGTAAAACGAACCACCATGCAGCATCAAGAACACTTTGAATCGGCGTCACCAATTGCACCAACACCAACAACACTGTTGTGAGAACGGATGTTTCTGCATTCATCTACAATCAACGTCGACGACGCCTTGCTCTTCTCGAATTTTGTTGTGTGTGTGGCGCTAAACAAAACAAAAATCGAATAAATAAACGAGTTGCGTCGCCAAAAAAAAGAAGGGAGAAGAAGAAAAGAAGAGAGGAGAGTTCGGAACAAGTGAACAATTAAATTGGATTCGAGAGGCTCACCCGATGAGCAAAGCCAAGAGCATTTCAAATAAGTTACATGCACAATTTCGTATTAATTATCGAATATGTCGATTATTGAAAATGCATATTTCAATCGATATTTCATACGTTCGATTTACTTGATCCAACTGAACTGATCTCGTCTAATGATACAAATCAAGAGATGTACGCAATTTCAAAAAAACTTTTTTGATTTTCAGACATTTATTATATTTGATTTCCAGATTATTAAACAGAAAAATCTAAAATAAGAAATTTCAGTAAAAAAAAGTAAAAAATACAATTATAAGTATTCCACTGACAAGATGTATATAAGAAGTAATTAAGCTTCAAATTTTTTTTTGAGTTGGCGAGAATGCAATTTTGTAAATGACCGGGAATTATCAATACGTTTTTTCTATTTTTGTGTATGAAAAAAATATAGTTTTAAGCAAAATTCAAACTTCAATAGTCGATTAGACGAATATCGCCACCCAAACGAGGAAAAGTATAATAAATGCAAATAAATGTGGTCGGCGATTAGTAATAATACGGGGGTTTGCAGTGCTCTAATGCTCAGATAGCAATCAACAAAGATAGCAATCTCGTATACGAACGAGGAATGCATTATATACACATAGGTGTGAATTTGACAAGATTTGGGAAATAATTGAAATGGTCCAACGAATTGTGTATTGGTTTGTTGATAAGCAAAATGAGCAGAAGAAAGAAGAAGAAGAAGAAGAGACAAATTGTGATTTTGAGAGCAAACAAAATGCGCAAATTTGACCTATAGATTATGCACAATGAGCACTTCGGTACACATTGCACATGCGAAACTTTGCAATCGTCCTTCTCATCATTTGCCTATATTTGGCGTTCGATTAGGCTAATAGTTGAATTTGGTTGGAAATTTGTGAAAAAATTGTGAATTTCTGGAAGCTTCTGGGACCTGGCGAGTCATGTGATCGATATAAATCAAATTGTTTTCAATGGGTATCAAAACCAATCGAAATTGATGACCGGTGGAGCATCAAAAATAGAAGTGTTGCCGGCTAAAAATAGCAAATCAAATATCCAATTGTTTCAATGAAACGAAAAACCAATCGGACACATTCTATGACTTGCCAACTATTATACTACATACTTGTCAAATACCGTATATTTTGGTTTTTCGGTACGTGTGTGTATTTATGTCTGTTGAAAAAGAAGCCGGTCGGTTTTGTTTGACCTTCCGAAGATGATACTAAGCAAATATGAAGATGAGTAAGAAAAAAATGATCATTCAGTGATCGGCACAATGAAAAATCCGATTATAATTGGACATCGAACATCTTTGATTAGAAGAAGTGGGCGGAAGGGAGAAACATCAAAAATTGAGAAAAAATAATTAAATTAAAACGGTGTTTCAAATAATAATAATAATAATTCATTAGAAGCTTCTGTTATACGACTAATAACTAGCTATACATAATGCAATGAAAGAGTGACCACATGTAATGTGAGACTTCGCGCAGGAAACCAATCCAAAAAAAATGTTGGGCACCGAATGAGAGAAAGATGATCTTCATCTCTCTTGAGGGGTCGAAACAACAATATTGTGACTATTAAGATGAATGTTTGGGATACGACAAGTGGAGGAGGGGAGGGCTGCTAGGCTGGACCCGAATCGACAGAAGGCGCCTTCGCGGTAATCAGTCAAATCCCGAGTCCGCTTTGAGAGATGTGCACAATCTCAGAGGACCTAGACATGGGCAAAAGATGACAACACTAGCTCAACTCATTTCTATCATCATCATCATCATCAGCGCTGTCGTCGTCATCATTATTGTCATGGAATGGATACCAAAATTATGATCGATTTGATGTTATAATTAGTTTTGAAAAGAAGAACGCAATATAAACAAACGAGAAACCAATGAAGAAATGAACGGAAAACGAATGATGATGGGGGGAAGAGAGGGTGGGACCCTTTGGGAAAGTGCGAAAACGGTCGGCAGCTCAAGTGGACTATGATTGACAATCAAATGATATTAGTCGTCGCAGAGGTGTGAACCATTTAAGCCGACAAAGGGCTATTGCAATTGTATTAATTATACTTATATGACAGTTAAATGGTTTCCGCCGAATGAAAAAATGTAAGGCGGATTAAAGATTGATAGCTGATAATGATGATGATAATCTAGGTAGGAATACAACTTTTGATATTGTTAAGATAGTATATGTGATTTTTATATCGAATAATACTAATAATTAAATTAATCATTATCACATTTAGAGGTTTTTGTTGAAATGCAAAGTGTTTTTAAATAAATGAGTTGAAAGAATCTACACATTTTGCAACTTGTTCCGCATTGATTCTCGTGATTTGTGGAAGCCGAGCGAAGACGATTTACACCTTCCGGAATCAAAAGAAGAATTAAATTTTTAATAAATTTAAGGTTAATTTTATTACTTCGTATTTAGAATTCTCTTTTAAGCTGAGTGGATGCCTAATTGATAAAGGTCTTGGCGCGAAGAGAAATGATCTCCAACCTATTAGTAAAAATTTCAAAAAATCCCATGAATTTTATTTTCATATTTCTAATTGTACTATGCAGATTTCTAAAAAAAACCGGTAAAAAGAATCGAAACTATGGAGATTGCGCAAAAAACTAGTTTTTTTAAGGTTTCTTTCCAAAATCTGCATGGTCCCATAAAATAGGAAAATCGAGCCATGCTTCTCATCAGACGAATTCCACACAGTCCGGATCGCAAAAAATATTCAGAAGGATCTGTTTATGATCTACAATCGCCTACAATAAAATTAAAAATAAAATCTAATTTATTAATTAAATAAATCATGAAACTATTATTGTTATTATTATTATTATTATTACAGAAATAATTAGTATTTTATAATGGACCTATTCATACTATGGGAAATGTAATCGATTGCATATTTTCCGATGCAGGGTTGTAAAAGAAATAAAATTCACGAATAAATGAAATAAATCAGTAAACATGGCCATCTTCATCGATATGCTTTTCCATTGAAGCCTTGACCAACGAAACCCGATGTGGTCCGACGCGCAGATTATATTTTGCGCCCAGCTGAAAGAAGAAAAGATTAAAATTAAACTGTAATTGGATACTTAAATATTTGCAGAAATTGTTGTTGAGATTAAAGAACTTGATGTGTTGATTCAATGGCTTAAATCGACAATTCGCGTCAAGTGGAGTAAAAAAAGTTTGAGTTTCTTTCAGAAAATTCGTTGATTTTTCAAAATTGTTCCTTATTTTTAAACATTAAAAATTGCATTCCGTTGATTTCGAGCAAGCATTTTCTGTGAATGACGAACCTTTTCGAATGCAGTCACCTCATCTGTTCTGCGAATGAATGCGAAATTAATGCAGAATGTGAGCAACGTGAGAATGATGAAGAATGCGGCTCCGACGAGAAGTGGTCCGCAATAATCGAGAACTTGAAATTGTTGCTTCGACATTCCACCCTTTTTTGGCTGATAGAATGTGCTCGTCGCAAATAAATCAATGCGACAAGCCGCCAAATTGTTGCTATAGCAATATAAAACTAAGAAAACGAGGCTAGAGACACGAAGAAGGAGTTTGAGAATTTTACGAGTCATATTAGATTAGAAAGTTTTAGTTATTATGACAAACGGTATGCGAATTCTAAATATTGAAACCAATTTTCTAAGCAGATAAACTGGTACCATCGCAACCTGGAAATTTCAGAGTTGCCAAAAAGGCTCGTATTGCTCTTGTTTGAATTGTCGCCAACTAATTTTACGAAACAATAAACACGTTATTATCCGAAGGTTTCTATGAAATCAAAAATGAATATTATTGCGGACGAATGAGTTTGAAGATTTAAAATGCGCGGACTGCTATTTAATAGGTCGCAATTGGCTCATACTCCGCTATGGCTCTTTCGTTCACAACCAGGGCACTCGCTCTAAAAATTTTTGTTCGCATGAATGCCCTATTGGAATTCAAAAGGCAAAATAATTCAGTTTGAAAAATTGTGGTTGGCACGAAAAGTGTGGTGCATGCGGAACGCTGTGATCGGTGTTTGCGGACATGTGCAATTCGACGCAACTTTTTTTTTGTCGGAGTCAAATGATTGATCGAAGGCGGGAAATTCAATTCTGCAAAATCCGTGTAAATCTAGGAAATATAGGCTAAATATTAAATGTGCGTACGTTAAAATGCAAAGTACGCAAACACGCACAGTACGCACCGTTCTCTTTGCCTCGAGACATCTGGCAAATAGCCACTTAGAAATTCGATCGGGGATACATTTTGGTTTGGGAGAAAACGCGGAACATTTCGGGACAAACATTAGAAAATGTTTATACCAAAAACCAATCGCGGTTCGTCTTTTTCGAATCGCACAACAACTTTTTTTAAAATTTCCATCAGTCATTTGACACCGACAATTCAAATATATTTGAACATTTGAGGTTTAAAAAGAAAAATTGGGCTTTGAAAAAACTCAATAGTCATCTACAATTTGAATGTAATTTGAATGTTTTTATTGTTTTTTTTATTTGAGTTTTTGTCATTTTATTTTTTTTTCATATAGTCGGCGCCCGGCGGCAGCTGAAAAGGTCTCGCAACGTGTATTTTGCTGTTTCCACATGAACCATTTATTTTTCTTGATGAGTTTCATACTACTATTCGAAATATAAAGCAGCTTTTTGGGAGAGGGATTAATCAAAATTTTCAACTCTGAATTTTCTATTTCCTCAAAAACCCTTCCATTCAAATCAATCCTTAAGTTCGTTTTTTTATGATTCTGAAGTCAATAGTTGAATATTTCTAAATTGTTGCTATATGTGAGAGAAAACTTTGCATTTGCATGCCGGAAGACGACATTCTCACATCTCCCCATTCGAATTTTGCACGTCTTCGCTATCTCATTTTTCAAGTTATTTTCTGCTATCGAATTAGTGAGTAAATGGACATTTTTATCCGGAAAAGCCTTCAAATCGTTTCTTAAAATTATGTTTTTTTTTCTTTTCGTTTTTTTTTTTCACGTGAAATTCATTCAACACCATCCACGTGCACACGACCTCATGCTCATTCTCAATGTCCTCCGGTCCGTCTCTCGTCTCGTCCGTCTTTCCTGTCTGCACCCTCCTCATTTGCCGCGCTCTCTCGCTGCGAACACAACATTTTTCAACGAAAAACGGACCGTTTTCCGCGCTGTTTTCGCCTGTTTTCGAGCCCAACCCCATATATTTTTGTTATTTCCTTGCTCGATCCACCCCTCTCTATCGCCATTTTATCACAGAACCACTACGTTTGGCGTTTCGTTTTTGATAACGACGAGTTTCTTGATAACCCATTTTTTCGCTTTTAACCTATTTCGATTGATTCGATTTTTTTTCATTTTCTCGTTTTATAGATTCTCAAATAATGGGTCGATTTCGCCTAGAAGACACCGCAATTACAATATTCTTCTCATCTATCGCACTCGTCACTCTATTATGGCTCGTGTATCCATTGGCTCTTCTTCTTATACCAATCACTATTTCGGTATTTCTGTACGCCACAAAGAATGAAAAATGTTCAAGTGAAAATGTAAGAATTTTGATTTGTTTAATTATTGGAAATAAATCGGAAAATATTAAGGTTAACACGTTTTTCAAAGGATTCAAAATTGGTGGCCACCGCGGGGCTCCTCATAGCTTCCCGGAAAACAGTTTGGCCGGATTTGAGCAGGTTTGATTTTCTGTTATTTTTTATTAGTGTTTGGATAAGTTCCGCCCACTGAACACATTGAATAGAGTGTGGCGAAACCCGCCAAGTGTCGGGGACACCGAGTGGACATAGTGCGAAAGAGATAGGCGTTGGTCAACTCTGGTTCCTTTGCATTTGACCGTGAAAATCTTTCGCCTTTTACTAAAGATTTCCGTGCAAAGGGACACATAATGAGTATACATCTAATTTTTGGAATCCCCTCGAAAGAGCGGGATAATAAAACGAATCGAACGGACCTTGTTGCCAACAGAAAATGATCGGATGGTGAGAGTCCGTTGACAATTGTCGCAATTATTGCCATCGAAAGAACTAATATTCCGGTTGGTTTTCTGCCAATCGAATCAGATATAATTAAATATCCCAAATGTTCTTCAATCGATTGTTGTCACCATTTTCAAACTTCAGAAACAGCATTGTTTTATAATTTCTCAAGAGTAATTGTCAATGACAGAAAACGATAATCATCTCACAAAAAAAGTGAAAAACCAAAGACATTTTGAGAAAAAAACTAAAATTGATTGATTACATCTATTTTGTTTATAGGCAAAAAACGATGGTGCCGATCTGATCGAATTCGATGTCGCACTAACGCAAGACGGTAAAGCGGTGCTGATGCATGATGATGATCTTGACAGAACCACAAACTCGTCGGGACCAATTCGCGACAAAACGCGAGCGCAATTAAACGACGTGAACATTTCTGCAAAGTTTGTGAGAAGCGCGCCAGGGTATTGCGATTCATAACACAAATGCATCGAATTAATTGAATTAGGGACCAAGGCCGTTTGACACCGGTGAAAACGGAAAGGGTTCCCGACATGGAAGACGTCGTGAAATGGGCCATCGAGAACAATATGCGAATGCTTTTTGACGTCAAAGATTCAGACACGGAGCTCGTCGATCAGATTTCGCATCTCTTCAAGAAATACAATCTGTATGATAAGGCGATTGTGTGCAGTTTTTTGCCATGGGTTGTCTATCTCATTAAACGCGGAGATCAAAAGATTCTGACAGGTTTGTTCGATGGAACACACTATCAATTAATTTAATTTGACTATTTTCTAGGGCTCACGTGGCGTCTCAAATTCTGGTCCTACCACGATATCGAGAACACGAAACCGCGATATACGGGATTCAAGCAATGGTTGTTCGAAATGATCGATGTTCTTCATGTTTTCCTTTTGCAACGAATTACTCCGTGGTATCTTGGAGCAGATTTGCTGCTCACTAACAATTTGGATATTTCACAGTAAGAAATAAAAAAAATGGAAGAAATGAATTGAAAAAAAATAAATAAAACTGATAATATTGTAGAGCATTGATTCTCGATCAACGTCGCCGTGGCATGCGTGTTGCCGTCTGGACAGTCAACGACATGGCCGAAATGCACTGGATGCTTCAGACGCTCAAAATTCCGATTCTCACCGATTTTCCCGAGCTCACCAAAAACGCGGCGCACATGGAAAATGTTCAGAAACACGGCTATCTGCCAATGTAAATTACGAGTTTTGTGCGTTGATTTGTTTCATTTTAATTGGAATGTCTCATTTCGAATTCTTTGCGACCCACCCACCCAAACCTTCTTCTTCTTCTCTCTCTCTCTCTCTCTCTCTCTCTCTTCCTTTTTTGTCGCAATCATGCCTCTTATCATTTATCATGGGTTTTCCCTTTTTCGGTATAAATCGATTTCATATTTGCGCATTATTAACATGGCAGATTGCCATTTTCTTTGCCGGACAAAATGTTTTCGGCATATTCGCCAATTATTCACCACGTTGGAGTTGTGGTAGGAAATTTTTATTTTTATCATAAAGATCTGCTCATTTTCATTTAGGAAATTCGACTTTTGGAAAAAATTGTGCCATTCTTGAGAAATGTCCAAAAGAACAACTGAAATATGCCGAAAATGAATTTCAATCTGCTGCCATGGATTTTGAATGGATATGCGGTTCAAAATCTTTTTATGGAAGGCTTTTCACACAAATTCAATTCGTTGGAGTTCTTTTAGGTTTTGCACCAAATAAAATTGCGCCCTCACGCAAAAAATAATCTAGGAACTGTTACGTTTGGTTTTATATCTGATTCGATTGGCAGAAAACCAACCGGAATATTAGTTCTTTCGATGGCAATAATTGCGACAATTGTCAACGGACTCTCACCATCCGATCATTTTCTGTTGGCAACAAGGTCCGTTCGATTCGTTTTATTATCCCGCTCTTTCGAGGGGATTCCAAAAATTAGATGTATACTCATTATGTGTCCCTTTGCACGGAAATCTTTAGTAAAAGGCGAAAGATTTTCACGGTCAAATGCAAAGGAACCAGAGTTGACCAACGCCTATCTCTTTCGCACTATGTCCGCTCGGTGTCCCCGACACTTGGCGGGTTTCGCCACACTCCATTCAATGTGTTCAGTGGGCGGAGTTTTCACTTGATGAACTAACCGGAACATTTTATAGGTTTTTCGTCGGATTAGCAACGGGTGGAATTCTAGTGGTAATTTGTACATGGTGTATGGAAGTAATCGAACCTAATCAGAGAATGGTTTTGCGAGGAGTTTTCAACTGGGTAAAGTTTGCTAAAAAATTATTTATTTGTGTAAACAACCAAAATGAAGGGCTGGACGCGAATTGCTCTCACAATAATCGCTTATTTCTGTCGGGAATGGAGATTGTCGTTGTTGGTTTGCGCAGGATGCGTGGTACCGGGTGCGTTGAACTTTAGAATATCGAAAGCAGACCGTATTTAGCTCTTCTTTTGGTGATCTTCGTTATTCCCGAATCGCCAACATGGCTGCACAGCAAGGCAAATCCAATTCCAGTGGCTTTTTTGTTTTAAACCAATTTGCAGAATAAAAAACAAGAAATGATTGAAAGCGAGCAAAAAATAGCAAAAGTCGCTGGAATTGAGTATATTCCACTAGTTCACAAACAAACTGAGCCAAAATCGATTCTGGAGACAATTCGAGCCGAAGGAAATTTGAAAAAACTCATTGTCCTTTGGATAATGTGGTTTATCGCCTCAATTTGTGGATTTGCCAACGATTTGAATTCGAATAATTTATCCGGCGATTTTTATCTTAATCAGATTTTATTCGGAATTCTTCTAGTTGTTTCCAAATGGGTAAAATTCGAAATATTGATTAAAAAAACAGAATGAAACGATTGATTGAAGGTTCTTCTCGCTGTTGATCAAACTTTCGACAATTTCAAAAGACGAACTCTTCATCAAGGAGCGCAAGCGATTTCGATTCTTATCTTCATCGTTCTCACTATTTTCACATTCATCGATTATGGTGTAGGTCATTTGAAATACATCTCCTCAGCGATTCGATCGGGTCGAAAAGGGGACACTTTTTGGACACTCACGGGTTGGCTCGACACGCTAAATTGAGGGCGATGTGTAATCGGAGTGTCGTACTCGTAGGGTAAATAAGTTTTGGGACAAACCGCGGAAGAATTTGGGACCTCCCGTGTAACCCTGTGTTTAAACCAAAACCAACCACTTCTTCCTATTCGAATCGCTGAGATCGCAAAAAAAAACGAGCGCCTTGCACAATTGTGGACCATCGCACTTTTTCGAAGCGGTAATTCAAATTCCAATTTTAAGCAGTGAATACCGTACTCTGCGAAGCTAACTCACTGTAAATGAGCACAGAGTGCTCGTTTTTTGCGAATGAAATATTTTTCGAAATCAATATATTCAGACCAATTTCAAATTAGAATCTCAAATGTTATTTATAAAAAAATAGACAATCTCGATGACAATTAATACAATGCGCGCATGGCTATATTTTTGAAAATTTTTTTTTGCATAATTAAAATTTTTGGGTGGGGATGCTTCTTTCTCTTGGTCTCGCACGGACTAACTGGTTATTTCAAATTTTGTGGGTCAGTTCGATAAATTTTAAATGGAACGACATTAGAAATTTCAAGAAATGCCAAACTCATCAAGAAAAATGAAGCAGTTAACGTGAAAACAGCAAAATAAGCATTCACGCGTGGCGAGACCTTTTCAAGGCGCATGCGCGTAAATCTACCCGCGTACAGCAGTCGCCGGACGCCAACAATACAAGAAATCGAAATCTACATGAATAAACTTTGGAAAAAATTATGGTAAAAAATGTTATAATTATCGTCAAAAAATGAACACCTTGAACAATTGTGTTTCATTGCCCTTTTAAAGGGAATTTCAATTAAAACAGTGGTATAGTCGGCGTCCGTCGACTGCTGTACGCAGGTAGATTTACGCGTATGCGCCTTGAAAAGGTCTCGCCACGCGTGAATGCTTATTTTGCTGTTTTCACATGAGCGATTTATTTTTTCTTAATAAGTTTGGCATTTCTTGAAATTTCTAACGTCGCTCGATTTAAAAGTTATCGAACTGACCCATAAAATTTGAAATAACCAGTTAGCCTTTGAGACTAATTTGAAAGAAGCATCCCCGTAAATCTATCCGCGTACAGCTGTCGCTGGACGCCGACTATAATTCGAATACAAAAATAATTGTTATTTTGAATAAAAAATCGATTTCAGGGTATTGCCTTCCTGATTCTTTACCTTTTGGGAACGGTATTCATCGAATATACATGGGACGCGTGCTATCTGTGCGCGATCGAATCGATGGAAACTCCTTGTAGATCGAGTGCTGCTGGAACATGCAGTTTTGTCGCCAGAATTGGTGGAATTTGTGCGCCATTTGTAATACAAAAATTATAATTCAGATATTTCAAAATTGAAATTCAGTTGAACCATTTGAACACATTATGGCCTGGAGCGGTGTTCATCACCGTCGTCGTTCTTGGCACATTCAACCTCATCATCTCCTATCTATTTCTGGTATTACCGTTCTTCTCATTACAATATTCCCCAAAATACTTCTATTAAGGAAGAAACAAAAAACAAAAAGCTGGACGAGATCGATGACGAGCAAGATGAAACAATTGTAGTAGTTCGAGAACCGCCGAAGTGCTCAAATTAAATTGGCTTAAATAAAATTATTTTTGATGCATACATATGTGCTCTGATCGAATTTCTCCAATAAAACATATGGAATATTGTGATTGTTTGAAAGAGTGCGACTCGCGCAATAAATCATCAATTGTATTAAATGTCATTCCTCAATCAACTCTCTCGATTCCTCTCTATTTCCCTCAACATTCTTTCATTGTTCCCAAACCCCCAAAATCAGTCATATGATAAAAAATTTGAATATTTCTTTTTGAGTTGCATTGTGGAAATTGAAATATTGCCGAAGACGAACGAATTTGAATAATCAACCGCGTTTTTTATTTCATTTTTGATCTTCGCACGAAATTAATATTGCTTTGTGTGCGCCTTTAATCGTTACTGTAGTATTCAATGCAGTTCAAACAATATCAAATAGCGCCAAAATCTGACTAATAATCAACGAGCCTCCTAAATTCGCCTTTTTCCACAATCCAATCGATTGTTTTGGCTATCAATATCATTTTCAATATCAATATATTCATTCCAATTCCATATTTGAACCTCCTTACTAGTTGTCCGTCATAAATGGTGGGGAAAGCACTATCGAAATGAAAAGAAAAAAGAGGAATGATTCGTATGGTAAACGACGCTCCGAAAAAAACGTGCGGCACTTTTGTGTCGAAAACAATATGCGTTCGAATTGGCGCGCGCGCGACACGCGACTAAAACGACGCGGCTACGATTGCTCTCGCTCGTCTCGAAACTATCATAGCTTGATCATATGTCTTCAGGGGCGACTACGCAAGCGCATTCTGCGTTTCTTATTCTCTGCATTGTTCCTCGTCGGGGCTCCCATGCACGGCTTCGAATTCGCGTCGAGACCCTGGCCACGCCCCGCAACCATTTGTCATCATTTTTTAGGACTCATCAATAGTTTCGAATCGCTTCTTAATTTTACTTTTCATCTCTAAATTTCAATTTCAATAAATAGAAATCCGAAAAATCAAATTTTGTGCTTCAAGGGTTAATGGCGCCAAGATACGGGTTTCATGCGGTGTTCTTCCGCGGATTTGCTCCGGTTCGGTCTGTTCATCTCGAGGTATTTTTAGCCCCGATTTTCAGAAATTTGTATCAATTCAGATAAACACGAACAATTGTGTGGAAAAGCTTCTCGCCGCTGCAAGGGCTTGCGATCATCACGACGTTTTTACGCTGCGATTCACCAACGAGAAATTGATCGAATTCATGTCTACCGGAGAACACTTCATCGAATATTTTGTGAAACCCTACTGCATCGATCATCCTTATAGCGCCTCGAAACCGATCAATATCATAATGTATTCCGAGGATGAGTATAACGCATACATTCAAGCCGTCAATGAGCAAGGTCAAACGGTAAGTCCATTTTCTGCTACTGTACTTTGTAGTTTTGTGTATTAGGGGACTAAAGAAAAAGAGTGCATCTTGATATGCGACCGTTGCAACAAACCAATCACTGGCCACAGATTCCGTTGTGTGATTTGTCCGAAATTCGAGCTCTGTCAAGACTGTGAAGCCGAAGGAGCCCACGCGGAACATGGAATGATTCGAATGGTGTATAAGGGCAGATTGGAAGTGGACATTCCGCAGGACACGAAAGTCGACGATGATGGTAGGCTTGAGTTGTGCGGTGTAATTTAGATAGTCGTTTGAGAAGTCTTCAAAAAACCAGAGCCGATCAAGCGAAGGACGAACGAAATGGAAAAAATTGCTGAAAATGGTGACGAAGCGATCGAAACGAGTGAAGCTGGCTGCACAGCTGGTCCGAATTCAAATCTTAACGGGAGAATTTTGGGAAATTTTTAGACACTTGGGGTTTTTTTCAATTGTTTTTGCATCCATAGTGAATTCGATTAGTATTGTATGGGTGGCCTAAAAGCTTCTGCATCAAATATGGATTGTTGAAGGCAAAACTAGAAGCACCACCCAAATTTCAGTTCAACTGATTTGGTCACGCAGCACTACACACCTTGTCTGGTTATTTGTCGTTTTTCCACAAATTCGACAACTTTGAATTTGGCGCGAAACTTCTGCATTTAAATTTTTTTAAGAAAAAAATTTTCTGTTTTTTTTTATCAAGAATGGGACCACGATATCAAATTTTCTTCTTTTCTTTTGCAGGAAAACGATGAAACCAGATTTGCAAAATCCGTACTAATTTAAAGGCGCATGCGATTGTTGCTTATTTTCGCCCCAAATCACTCCAAGAGTATTATTGTATATAAACATTTGCGAAATTTCCTAAGGGTTCATACATTCTTGCGGGTTCAAATAAGAAAATGACTTGTTCAAATAAATTATTGAAATTAGGAGCACCTCTCAATTGGTTAAACTGTAATTTTAAGTCATCAACCCGCCAAAAGACGCTGATATTCTCGCAATCACACTCAATTGCGAAAAGGAGATCAAAGACGCGTTTTTTGTGAAACGAATATTCGAGAATAGTGACCAACAACAATGTATTTCTTTTTCGAAATCTTATTTCAAAACTTTATTTTAGTCATGCACTCGATTTCGCAGTTTCACGATATATTTTTGGATGGTATGGACTCATATAAGATCAATATGTCCATTCCACGTAATTAAGGGTAATTAAGCAATTCGAATGACATAAATCATTTGCAGAAACCGCCGTGAAACCAAAGTTGGCAACTCTTGATGATATTAAAAACGCATTGGATATAAAGCACGAGCAACAATTGCAAATTAACAAAGGTAAGCATTTTCATTAAACCGTTATTTTTCGCGTCGTTTCAATTTTTAAGAGCTCTATGAAGGATTTGAGATGATCATTCTGAATAATTATACAATGATGGTGAACGCCTTGTCGCAACCAAAAGTCGATAAGGACATTCTTGAGCTCGGTAATTTCTTTTTATTTCAAACACGGGTTGTCAAACTGAAAGGTCGGAATTCTTGTTTGAATTGCCGCCAATTCCATGAAACAACAAACACATGGTCGTGACGTGTACCGGAAAATGTCCGCAGATAGTTACAATCCCCCCTCCCCGGTTTTAATTTTTTAATTTGTGGCCTGGAGCCTCCCATATAGGGTTCTTGCGAGGGAAGTCATTTAGGGGTTTTTTAATGTTGCGATTCTCCTCTTATTTTTTTCATATAATCTCTTAAAATTGATTTTCTGCAGGGTTGGTAAATTGAAGTCGGCCGGCCCGGCTTTCGGCTTTTTTTTGAATTCCCGCTTCGGCCGTGCGGCCGTAAACAACGGAGTCGGGGGCCGAAAATTTGACAGCGAAAAAAGCCGACCGGGCCCAAAATTTAACAACCCTGATTTTCTGTATAAATATCGCTCAGGAGCCAATTTTGCCATTCAATAAATCAAATGGAATTCACTATATTTCTAATATGTTTTCTGGAATATCAATTTATACCAAAGGACATTTTCCGTGTGTTGTTTCTGATAATTTTTGGAAAAACTGAATTTCAGTGAAATTGTACATAAAAGATGCGAAAAACTTCTGCCTTCAATCGACGCAATTCGCAAAGATGTTCGAGCAAAAGAAGGATTATTCCCGTAAGACATTTTTTTTTCCGCAAAAAAAACCATTTGAGCAAAATTCGAATTTTAGGAAAACGTTTGAGCGAAGTATGCACAACATATCTCGCAGAGAAGAATGAGAATATCTCGGTTAATATTTCGAAATCCCATTGATTATATATCGCATAATAAACCAATTCCTAATAGTAAGTCGACATTCAATTTTATCCAAATTTATCACAATTAACACGTTTCGTTTCGTATCGAATTAAGTCTCATCAAACAACAAACTTTTTGGTGTAGTAAATAAAAACAAATAGAATAGATTTATAGAAATATTATATGAGGGTGCTCTGTTTGAGATCAATTAGTGAAAAAAAGAAGACAACGAAACAAATGCAACAAAGAAATAAAATAGAAAACAAAAATTGGGAAATCACAGCTGATTCGTGCGTTGAATTGTAGGTGTTAGGAATTTGCCGCGATTAACTTCTGATTTAAACGAAGGAGGAAATGTTTGGCCGCAAACTGCATTGGGCAAACTGACCGTGTTTAACTTATACGCCGCTTCTGATATGAGCCGGTCCAACGTCTTTTGACCAATTTCCGAATTGTCCACTTTTCGTCCATAAACTGCCGCGGCAGCTTGATCCGAATTGCGATTGAGGTATTTTCGAAGTAATTCACTAGGATCCTTTGAGATCAATGAGAGAGCCTGCAATTTTTATGCATATTATGGGCATTTTGAAACATTGAGCTACAATCGCTTAAAAAAGGATGGAAAAAATATTTTACATTTAGTTTTTATTACCTTTCTTTCTTTATACACTAGATGATGAAAGCGAGAATTTACGATTTCATTAGCGGGTAGATTTTAAACAGGCAAACTGGCCCCTTTTGCCGTCTGCATAGGATTTTAGAATTTTTAAATGATTTGTCGCTGGGTTTTGCGATATTTGCATTATAGTATAAAACATAATCAATTCAAAATAGAAAAAATGTTTTCAATGGGTGCGCTCCGTCAAATTCATCTAATAAATTATATTTTCATACAAAATAAATGTTCTAGAAGTTTTTTTTAATAAGTGAAAACCTGGATGCCCCAAGTATTAACACTTTCCAATTTCTCGATATATCAAAATATGACAAACATAATATTTATGATAAAGCCGAATACACATACGAACCTGATCATCAACAGAAATAGCTGATCGGCTTGTTCTTACACCCGCGGCAGCGATATTTCCAGGAATCGGGGCCGCTCGATTTTCAACGATTTTCCCAAGCCCTCGTCGTATCGTTGGCGCTGTCGGCATCGAAATCGGCTCAAGCGGTCGAAAATAGGCAATTTTTCGTTCGGCATTTTTCCGTACAATCACAAGTCGGGCTCGTCCGAAGAAATTGCTCGAGCATTCTGATTTCTCCTCCTCATTATTCAAATCAACACGTTTCGACACTTCGACCCAAGGCCGATTCGAATCATCAAGTAGATCATCAAGCATATCCTCGTCGATTTGTGATTTGCGTTGAGGTTCCTGTATATATTAAACTGTATTAAGCAAATCTTGAAAATGAGAGTTACCGTATAATTTGAAGATTTGTAAGGGACGGGGATTCTTGCATCTGTTTGATAGGTCGATTTGCGCTGAGGAAGCTTCAAAATCGATTCTCGATTCGCCGATATTCGTCCTATCTCATCGATTTTTCCCGTTTCAATTAGATACCTTAAACCAAAAAAAACATTTGAAATATAAAATTCCATAGAAAACATCAAACCTAAAAAACATTGTGCCAAATTCTGCATAAGAATCGACGAAACTCTGCTCACTGATAACTTTTCGTTCACTCACACTGCTCGTTTCGAACTCGTAGAGAATTTTCTGAAAAATAACATTTTCCTTTACAAAAATAATTGAAAATTTTCTCTAACCATAACTAGTTCGACAATTCGATTTTTGCACCATTCCAGCCGTTTTGATTCAAATTCAACGGCGATTTTCTTTAATTTTGTAGGAGCTGTTTTGACCGCTTGAACATCATCGACGGTAAATGAATGAATGGCACAAAAAATTTCATGAAGTCTTGGAATTAAAACCGAATAAATTGTCAAATATCCTAATGCGAAATATGTGCACAATGCGCCATATATCGAAGCGAGATCCACACATCCGGTCAGAACTTTTCGCAATATTTGCACTAATCGAGCATTCACATGCTGCGTCGGATATTTTCTGAATAATGAAAATTTAATTCGAATCGGTTGGTTCGGAAAAACTCACTCGCAAATCTGTGCTAACAATCGTCCGCTGGTTTCTCGAATTCGAAATTCGAGTTCTAAATCTTGTTGTAATTTCAATTCTTCTTCTTTGCTGATAACTATATCGGTTGGACCGATTCCAATAACAGATGTTCGAGATTTCGATGATGACTTAAAAAATGTGAATTAAAATATATGAGAATGAATTAGGATTCTAAGATTCTCACCGGACCAGCCCTTCCAACATCAACGAGCGGAATTATAGATTTTGCAACTACACATGATAGCAAAGCAGGTACAAGAACATGTAGCTGGAATTCATTAAAATTTCGCAGTTTTAATTTTAAAATCGCCCTACGTAACGTTCCAAACATATTCGGGGATTCTTCATTAAACTCCATGTTAATTTGAGGAGATTTGAAACACCGCGTACATTTCGAGATCCAATATTAACACGGACACCTTAAAATAAAAAATTGACATAATTGGATAATGCGTTGAAATTAACACTAGCCTTCAGCGATTAAAATAACAAATCGACCAGCGAGAAATTGTAAACCGCTGTCTGTTTCTACTGTCTGCAACGCTTTCTGAAAAGAAAAACAAGCATTAGAAAACAATAAAAAAACATCACAAGAAACCTGTCGTTCAATCGGTGTTCCAGAAGCTATCATGTTCACAATATCATTAAATAACACTTGATGTTCCTTTAATTATTAATTTGAGTTCAACACCATTCAAAACGTTCAATTACCAGTGAAAATTGTTGCTTCGAAAGGCGCTTTTCTAAGTTTTTCTCTTTTCTTACTCCCAATGCGCCGTAACCATAATTCCGTTGCATGTTTTCCATTTCATCTTTGATTTTTTTCTTCACTTCACTTGATATTGCGTTCTCAGGAACACTCGGTTGAACTCCTTCGATACATAACCAATGTTCTGAATCAATTAAAAATGTATTTATAATTTAATTTAAGAGTAGAAATATATGCAATACCTCGAATGATGGGCACATCGTAGAATTTTTCATTTGAAACAATTTCAGCTGACTGAGCCGCTGAAGAATGAAACTAATAGTAGATATGGGAAAAAAAAACTACTCACAAATCGTATGCGGTGGCCTTCTCATTATTCTTCTTCCCCAATATGTTCTTTCAGTATTTGCTGATGATTTTGCAACAGGAAATAGTAAATCCGGCTAAAATTTGACAATCAAAAAACGGTTTGCGATTAAAAAGAAAATCTTACATTCAACCGAAGCACTGTTACAGCTAAATCAATGTCTTCGGTCATTAGTCGTTTACGATTTCCGTGATTTGCGAGTTTTCTGTACGCAAATCATTTAATACTGTACAGCAACAAAACTTACTTTGCTTCTTTAACAATATTTCGTAGAACTTGTCTAACCGCATTGCCTACGCTTTCTGCTCCTATAAAGTAATAAATGTCTAATATTCAATATTTAAAAAACTGTTTACCTTTTCCCGTCAGACAATTAGCTAAGTTTGACGACATTGGATCTCTTGAAAGATTCCTAAGAACTTCTCCTAATGCTGCAGGCATGCTTGAAGTGTCAACATGAATATCCTCAATATTTTTGACACGTTTCATTTTTGATTCACTTATATCATTTTTCGTTTGAACAATTCTATCTTCCTTTTCTGAAAATAAAATTGAAACAATAAAATTTTATAAAAATTTTACCGTGATATTTGCGAATGTGCTTTGCATTTTGAGCAGCACACAATGACATAAGCGATTTGAAAAAATCATCTTTCGTTTCACTAGGAACAATCTTAGCAGATTTTGCTTTGATAAGTCTAGATATACAATTTAATTTTATCTATTTTCAAAAAAAAGTTACCTTCCATCGTAGATAATATATTTCCCGATAGTATCACTGCCATCATGAATCAACGACATGACATCGTATTTATTAGAAAATTAAACCTAAAATAAATTGATTATAATGTGCAAAATAACAATTCATTAACATTAAAACCGAAATTTGGCATTTTTAAATTTAAAACCCGTGTGGACTACACGCTCATTGTCGGCCGTCCGATTTTCTAGGCCACCTCTAAAGTTCGGCCACATTTTCATTGAATATTATAAAATTTATTATGGCTTCTAAAATTTTAGAAACGGTGAAAACTGTAAGGAAATCTATGGTGGTTTTGTTGGCGTTTTATCAGATGCGATTAATGTATATAAACTTCTAAATATCGTAGTATCCGAATTCATATGCAAATTAAAGTTGCTAAGTTTCAGAAGTAGTGTCAATTTTCATGCATACTGAAAAAGGCATGGAAACGGGTTTTAGATTTCACATTTATCATTATTTTTTTTTCGTTTTGTATAAAATACATTTTACTACAGATCCATCAGTCTAGAAAAAAATTGTCCTGAAAATAAAACGACCAGTCTTATTTGACACTCTCTACAGTTATCTGCTTGCTTCTTTTCTCTTATTAAAGCTTTCCCTAATTGCAATTCGTTTTTGCTCGTTGACCTCGCTGAAAGCTTAGGATTATTGGAATCTCATTCCAGAGGGAGTCCACAGAAATGAGACCACAACTGCCCCTGAACGTGCGATTACGAAAATTGCTTCGGTTAAAAAAGAGTGCAGAGAAAGCAGCTACAAGAGATGCTCCAGCTCGTTGAGCTCGTGCGATAACAATGAATCAGTCGAGCATCATTGGCATCAGGTGACAGTTGTCATAAGATTCTCGTGTGTTCTTTAAAGAATCACTACACTCCAATTTTCAATGAATTTTCGTTTGATGTTCATGTTCATATTTTACATATTTTAGATGTCCATTTTACTCTTTTCCCTCATTTGTCTCAATTTGGCGACCTTCCTCAACAGTGCTCCAGTTGCTCAATCGCGCGTCGACTACAGTAATATGCAGAGCACGAATGTTGGCGATGAATTGCTCAAATCATTGACGAAGAAAGAGTTTGATATTCTGAGAGAAGTTGCAAAGAACTACCGTCAATTCCACGATGAAGAAGATGTCCGTCATTTTTGAGAAGCTCAAATTATCGGAAGTTTCACAATTTTCTATTTCAGTTTCTTAAAGCATTGAAACTTCGTTCCCCATCGCTTTACGAGAAGGCTCTTCAAATTCATTTGGCTGTAAATGCAAAACTTGATGGTCTCAACAAAGAAGCTCGTGCATTCGCCAAAAGATTCATCGCCGAAGGAAGAAAGGTTCGCTCGCAAATGCTCAGCGGAGAAAAGCCAAATATGGAAGCATTCAAGGAAAACACCAAAAAGTGCGAAAATCGTTGTGATGTTTTTAATTCACGATTTTCAGATTCATCAAACGTTTCAATGCGCTTTCCCCTGTTGCCAAAGGATCGTTGGCTGCGAATTTTCCAGAAATGCACACATTCTTCAGCAGTACGTCTTATCAAATAACCGATTTTTCTATTCTTCTAAATAACTTTTTTTAGGTCGCAAAATTCAAGAAATGGCTGGATTACGTATCTAATTCTAGTATAACCGTTGTTCGTTGACGAGTAAAACAAAAATGAAAATTTTCTGTTGAATATAATGAAAAACTGTACGTTGTTCAATAAAAATTTAGCCGATTGATATTGATAAGCACTCATTTATATATAACGACAAGAATTAAAAGTGCAGTTTGCATTTTTTGTATGATAAACATGCAATAAAAAGAAGAATTTTAGCGACAGAATTTCACAATTCTTTTTTTTATAAGACATGTATAAATTACGAGCTTTAAGAAAACATTTTTTTAACAAAATTCAACTGTCGAATAATTTTTCAACGTTTGGCTGATAATAAATAAATATTTTGATGATGAAAAAAATCAACAATTTCGCGAACGTCATTGATAATAAACAACAGAGAACTATTTACGATATATCGTGTCAATTTTTTTTGTAAATTTTTTAAAATATGTGCAATGGACTTCCATAAAAAGTCTTTTCATCACATGAATAGGTCCGTTAAAAATCAACAAATTCAAATACCTCTTTCCAATGGTTAAAAAAAATATACTTTAGCCCATTTTCTATAATTGACATTCTAGAATGTTACTGAAAACGAGACTCCGCATTAACAAACAAAGAGTTAGGAGTTTATCGTATTTGAAATTCAAACTTTTTTATTTTCAAAAAAAAAAATTTTTAACTGTTTTTTGTGTTTATTTTTAGAATCATGGCAAGTACTTCCGCAATTGTAACAATAGCTGATACTTATCAAATAATGGAAGCTATTGAAAAGTAAAAAGTAAAGCGTTTTATAACGTAAATAATTGAATTTTCAGTTGTCAAACCGAATCCGACGATGTAATCGTCGAAAAATATTTATTATTTTGGTCGCATGTTTGTAGGTATTTTAGAAATTTCTTTTCTTCAATGTATTGCTTTTAAGAGTTATGAGTAATTGGGGAATTGTGTTTTCTTTCGTTGTAAAAGACGTACAAATGAAGCTGGAAAAACTGCAAGAGAAATTGAAAAACGATCCCGAAAATTATAAGTGATATATAATTTTTTAAAAACCTCATTCTCTTGTATTATTTTCCAGAACTATATTGCGAATGGCGAAACATGAAGCAGAAAATGGAACAATTCGCAATTTGAAACCGAATCGAAGTGGAACCGGTCACATTCTTGTACTAAAAAGAGCTCTCGAGTTTGTAATTGATTTATTGGATGGAGTATTTTGTGCCCCAGATCCTTCGATTAGGGTAAACTGGTTTCTAGGAGGTTTAATATGCATTTGAAGGTCTCAACAATCGCCAAGGCAGCTTATGACAAGCATTTATCGCAATTTCATTCGTGGCCGATCCGAACTTGCGTTTCCGGCGCTCTTCTAAGTTTGCCGCGAAAGGATGAGGTTATTAAATTGTTTTCAAACTCCTAATTATAATCATTTTCAGTTTCTTATCCGTCTTCGTGGAGATATGCCATCTAAAGACGACAACAGGTTCCACGAGACTTTAACAGTACAAGGGCGCGAAATCATCCGACGTCAAGATGCGTTGGTCGAACGATTCAATCTCGCTGACTATAATCCATCTGCATAAATTGTTTTATAAACATTTATTCACTGATTTATAGTAACGAACTTTTAAAACAAAAGTATTGAAGTACAACCAATTGCTAAAACATTTTCAGAAAAGAGAAGGGTAAAGGAAAAAGACCTGTTTTTACTATTAAAACACCAATAATAAATTTTAAATAAATTAGATTGTTAAAAATGAAATAATAAGAAAAGTAATTAATAAAGAAAAATAGCTTATTGAGCCATCTTGCAACAGAGGCCAATATTAACGACGCGCATGTCGGACATATCTTCCTTTGAACGAATGACAGCCTCATTTCCATCCATGGATACAAGTGCTCCACAATGCCCAGCTTCACTTCCAAAGATAACACGAGTCTAAAAATTCGATTTTTGTTTACTTCAAGTAAAAATTTGTTTACGTCATCTCCTTGTTGAGGTTTTAACGGAAGAATCTGGTCATATTCAGCTTCAACGTTACACTTCAAATCCGGAACATACAAGTCCACTTTCTCATCCTGAATTTTTTAATTTTAATTCTCCATGTTTACTAAGATCTTACTAGGATTTCTCTGACGACTGCTTCTCGATCGTTGTACATCGGATCGTGATTTTTAATTGTAACATAAAGACGTGGAACTATCCAGACTCCTTGCGACAAGAAGTGTTCAGCTGCAAGAATGAATTCTTACACATATTTTATTCAGTTCGACTTACGAATAGTTTCTTCGGCAGCTCCTCCACTGTACGCATTCGACTCAAAATTACCACCACCTCCCATGTATGGTGAAGGTGCCACAAACTCTCCATAAGCCCCGCTTCCAGGAGTCATTGGAGCTGTAAAGTTGCCTGGAGTATCGACAGCATATGCGCCTGGTGTCGCAGGATTTAACATTGCTCCAGGAGTCGGTACCACATACGAAGGTGAAGATGGGGAATCATACACTGGCGATGGAGGACGTTCTTCCTCTCCGGCGTCATTATCCGGAGGAGGGGATTGCGGTGCTTCGTATGTTGGAGAAGAGTTATCATAGCCGCGAGAATCATAGGCCGGTGTTCGAGCACTATTATCATCGTATGCAGGAGTGCGACCCGATTCATAAGCAGGCGTCCGTGACGACGCCGATTCATAAGCTGGTGTTCGACCTGAAAAACGAAACATAATAATTATGAAAATTTATTTTATAGTACCTCCTCCATCGTATGCGGGTGTTCTCGCAGAACTCTCATATGCTGGGGTTCGTCCTCCAGCAGATTCGTAAGCCGGTGTACGCCCACCTTCATAGGCTGGCGTTCTTGCCGAATTCTCGTACGATGGCGTCTTTCCACCATCATACGCTGGGGTCCGAGCACCATCTTGTCCATAAGCTGGAGTCCTCGAATCGTCTCCATACGCTGGCGTACGTGATCCATCTCCATAGGCCGGCGTCATTGCACCATAATGCGGGGTTCGGCTTCCGTCGTGTGGTGTCATCGAGCCATACATTGGTGTCTGCGCACCATACATTGGCGTCTTCGCACCGCTGTACATCGGCGTCTTGCTTGAGTCGTGCATCGGCGTCTTGGAATACATTCCAGTAGCACCTCCAGCTGCGATTCCCGTGTCTCCGACCACTTTCACGCGACTGCGATCAACCGAAATTGTCTTACATTGGGTGTGCAACTCGAGACGAACAGTTTCTTCGGTCGCATCTCGAACTATTCCGAAGTATCCCTAGAAAATCATGCGAAAATTGAGAAATAAAATAAACAAAGGATATTAACCTTAAGTGGGCCCTTAATTACTCTAACATTCTTTCCAATGATCGTCATATCTCGGCGAATTCGTTGTTGAGCAGCCGTTCCATAATTATTTTCTAAAATCTTTTTTTAAACAGCAAAATATGCCAATAACTAACGTCTGTCGCCTTGTCTTGGGGTTTGTCCTCCGACACTTCTCGATCCAATCGAGGAACCATCATCTCTTTGTCTTGGAGTCATTGATCCCGAATGCCGTGGCGAAGCCATCGGATTTGGAGAAGACATTCTATTAATAATTGGAGAAGCTTCAGCTATAAATCACAATATAAATTATTCAAATTAAAGACGCATACTTTTTTTTGCTCCCTGAAGCAGCAAATGTTTCGATCTACATACGACGACTCCTCCATTTTTCGGAATTTTACGACAATAAACGAATACGTGCCCACGAAATACGTAGAGAACCTCACCAATTGGTTCGTCATCAGTATCACGTTCTCTCTAAAAAAATAACATGATTTATGGGAAATAAAGAAAACAAGAGAAAGTTACCGCGTTCGGACCATCAACAATTTTAACTAAATCTTTCGATTCAATCGAATTGTTTTGACTGTCGAGAGCACGTGAAAATCGAACATCCTTCTTTGAAATAATTGCTTGAGGTTTCAAACGATTCACCTAAAATATATCAAAAGAATATAATTTGGAATATTCCGTTTAAATTTTACCGTTCCATGCATGGAAAGAACTTCCAAGTTTTCTTTTTCCAACCGAATAATCACACCAAGTGTTCCTGTCTGATCGATTTGAACCTAAAATAATTTATGAGAATCACAATTTTATGTCTCAGTGCAGTTACCAAATCATGATATTGGAATTGCCCGAGAGAATCAACTCCGGTAGTAACATCAGCGCAAAGTTGAATGTCTCGAACGCGTACTTTCAACTCTTCCATTCCCAAATCCGAGAGAAGAATGGCTGTATTGTCTTTTACTCGGACAACCAATCCAGTATGCCCTTCATATCGACCGCCGATTACTTTAATATGATCACCTTCTTTAAAGTATTTACGCAATTCGGCTGAATTCAGTGTGATTGGTTCCTAAGACGAAAACAAAAAAGTTCATAATTGAAAATACAATAATACCGTCAGTCCTTCTTGATCAGGTAACATAATCACTTTCTGACCATCGACCGAAAGCACTTTTCCTTTTAAGTTGACCAATTCACCGTTCTTCACTTCAACCATATCGCCAGGAATAAATGGATTATCCGAATCTTTGATTGAAGTAGATTCCACTAAAAATAGATAAATTAAAAATGGAATGTTTCATAAGATGGTTTACATTCTCTTTTCAAATCATCACTACTTTCCTGGAACTTTTCAAGTTCTGCTAGTGACGGTTTTACACCATCCGCAATCTGAAAATCGTTTTTTTTCCCAAAAATCTTTAAATCTGCGAAATTTTACAATAGCATTAAGTGGAAAATATTTGTATAAGAAACCGCGTCGATAATGATTTCCTTCGAAAATGATAAAATCACCATCGGTGACAATTTCCCCTCCAACTTCTCTGAAAAAAAGAAAGAAAGACCTTATTTAAAAAAAAAAACAAAAAAATTACTTGATTGCATCCGGGTCGAATAATTTGGGCATCGGTCGACGATTGAGCTTATAATTTTTATCAGCTTCCTAAATTGAATATTTGAAAAAAAAACAGAAAATTTTCTTACCGTTCGCATCGCTCCACGTTTTCTGTTGTAGTCCACACGAGGAACTAGTTTCAAGTTCACTCGATTTTGGGCAATGTCAACCAAGTCAATCTATAATATTAAAACAGATTTATGGTTAACTAAAAAATTATTAAACCTGCGCAAGATCATCCTTATACATTGTTCTTTTAAGGCGAACATATGATCCAATTTTGAGTTGCGGAATATCCTTAACAACACGAAGAACATCAACCATGTCTTTTATGGGAACCATCTAAATTATGTGTTTTTATATATTCATTATTTCAGCCTAGAATAACCGTAATATTGAACTGATTGAGAGCTGAGATTTGATCAATAGCTGACATAACGTGAGACTGCTTGAATGCTTCCACATAAATCATTCCCTTCAATCCTTCTTTAACCACCACTGATTTTATTTGAAGAGGCTGAAATCAAAATAATTTTTAGTTTATCTATCTCTAATTTAACTTCAAACCTCCGTAGTATTTTCATAGGCAATGAATTTTCTCATAAGTTGCATTGCAACAAGTTTCTCTTCGCCCATTCGACACTTTACAATCCATAAATTCGGCTCCTTTGTAGATGGAAGAATTCCATTTCTTGAAATGTCGTCTAAATATCAATTATGATGTTTTTGTGGCTAGTATTCTTTTACCAAGAGCTGAATCATCTTCATCAACAGCCTCGGAGCTCCTTTCGGCTTTATACTTGTTCTCGAAATATCTCCCAATCTCTTCTTCGGTCATATTTCTACAAGTTTTGCATAGTTTTAAGAAAAACTTTCAAATGTTACCCAAATTTGTGTCTCTCGCTATTTCTTCTATTTGCTTCCATTTCTTTCATGTAACGTTCGGCCTCTTCTTTCTCATTCGGCTCCAAATCTCTTGCATCATCTTCATCAAAATCTTGATCTTCAAGCTCGTCATCATCCACATCGACGTCTTGAATAATAAAATCGAGAGCTGATGGTCCCTTCCTTCTTCGCTTCTTCTTTTTTCCTTTATCATTTTTTCTACGTACAGGCTGTTCGTCTTTTTCGTCATCGTCGTCTTCCTCTTCCTCTTCAGAACCCGACGACTTCTCACTTTTCTTTAAGAATTTTAATTGTTACTTTTTATGTGGAAAAATATTAAATCATACTTCGTCATCTTCTTCACTATCCGACGCAATTTTACGTTTTCGATCTTTCTTTGATTTGGTGAATTTTTGGTCATCCGAATCAGAGCCGCTGTCACTACCCTTAAGTAAAACAATTCATATATTTTATAATTAGAAGTTGCAAGCAAACCTCATCTGAGTCATGTTTCTTGACAAAATCGTTGTCGCTTTCGTCGGAAGACATAATTCCTGAAATATTGATTACAGTATACAAATAATTGGATATTTAGGCAAATTCATCGGGCGAAACAGAGTTTGTTCCGCTTCGGTGAAACAACGAAACATTTTTGGAAAAACAGTGGTGTAAATAACAGAACAAATTGCACTATTTCCGTGAATAAGCGAACAACAACGCCTTTTTCAATTTTTGCTCATTTTACCAAAACCGAGAAAAACCCATGTTTTGCCCGAGATTCGTAAAATTAGTAACAAAATCTTAAAATTTAATTTTTTCTTGAATGTTTGAACTATTTGTACATTTTAAGCAAATCGAATAGATAATTGGATTGAATATTTGGTTGGGTTCTGTATTTATAATTTTTAAAAATACTCGTGAAGAATACCTTCTTTGAAAAGTATTCATATGGATAAAAAATTCGCGTATATTTGAAAATCTAGAAAAGAACAATTTTTTCAAGTTTATTAACAATCTGAATAAATGTGAAATGAAAAATCTTTTCGTGGTTTTTGTTTTCTTTAATATGAATTGAATGCGAATATAACTGAAGATAATAATATAAGGAACAAAAGGCGAAGTTTAAAAAATAAGATACGCCGCCGCGTTTGTAAAAGATTATCGATGTCGTCAAATATAGTGCATTGCGGTCAATGCGCATGGGTTTTAGATTACCGTAGTGTTTAAGTCTTTGGCTCACTCTATATTATGATTGATTCTAATTATTCCTTTAAAACTTTTGAAAACCAGCATATGCAACAAATTTTCAAAGAATTTTTAAACATCAGCTTCCCATATAGTAAAATTGTGGATCGTAATATACGCTCTAAACATTTTTCACGTAATTCGTCAAATTATCCTTAATGGCTATTTTTAATGTTTTCGGCATAGAAAATGCGTTGTTTTCAAAGGTTATCTTTCGTTCAATATTAAATCTAAACTGATGTATTTTCAGATTTATGAGGAATGACATTATACGGTTTCTGACAAGAAGGAAATATATTTTCATAACTTTATTTTTTTTAATTTTTTATTTTCTCGGACTTTTCGATAAACTGTTTGAGGTATTTATTAATTACTAAGAACAAATATATTTAAAGAATTTCAGAAATCATTCGACGACTTCTCATGGCCTGTTGAATCACGTTCTGGTTTAATATTTCCTCGTTTCGAGAAAATTCCAAAATGTGTAGTGAATGGTGATAAAACTAAACTCCTAATCATTGTAAAATCGGCGGCAACGAATCGAGAGGTAGAATGAAAACCTGAATATTTTTCAATTCAATCAATTTTAGTCCCGAGATAATATTCGAAAAACGTGGGGTAAATGGAAAAGTCTTAACGACGTGCAAATTGCGACAATTTTCGTTATTGGATTAACCGAAGATCATGATTTTGAAGAAATTACTGATAAGGAGGCCGATACGTATCGAGATATTCTCAAAATCAATGCTCTTGACACTTATAGGAACAATACGCTAAAGGTATCATAGTTTGCAACCAATTTCAGAGGAACAGATGCACTAAACCGATTTCAGCCTTGACTAATTTATTAACTGAAATTGGCGTAATAAATTCTAAATTAATTTAAAATATTCCAGTTTTCCTCGTCTATTGAATTTGCATTCGATGCTCACAATTGTCCATCGAAATTCTATCATTTTCTTCTTCTTGTTGATGACGATTATCTAGTTCATCCAATCAATTTGATTGATTTAATCAAGACAAAATCTCCGGATGATAAGGCAATCGTTTAATTGTTTGAAAATGATATCTGAATTGTTGATTTCAGATTTACGAAGGATTTTCTTTTGACACATCACCTTTTCGGTTTTTATTCCACAAACATCACGTATGTTTTATTTTAAAAAAACCATCTTTAAGATCAGAAATATGCAACGAAAAGTGAACACTTTGCAGATATCGCTAAAAGAATATCCCTATAATCGATATCCTAAATATGTTTCTGCTGGAGCCGTGCTACTTTCTCGACAAACGGTTGAAATTTTTTATCACTCCATCCCTAAGTTTAAGGTATTTAAATCTAAATGATTCCCATTATTTGTTTTCTATTTAGAGTTTTCCATTTGACGACGTTTATACGGGTATCCTAGCAAAAGCTAATAAAATAGACGTCATTCACAATCCGAATTTCGTTTTTTGGTCGCGAGAAATCGGTCGGGATCAATGGAATGAAGGTATTGTGGCGGCGCACGGATACAATGATAATATGGTCGAACAATATAAGCTCTTATTCCAATAATACGAGTAAATTTCGGTTTTTCATAAATATAATAAATAAATACATAATTAACATGAGATCAAAAATTGAGTCTTGCAATATAACCATTTGTGTCGCTTCCCAGAAGCATTCTTCCTTTCAAATCTTCAACAACGGTACTAATGTCGTATATTCTTCCTGTCGTGTCAGACCACGAATCAATAATCTTTCCAGTTTCGATATCAACCTGTGATAATAATTTATTTTTTTTAATACGGCGGACGACTACCTTCAGGATTGTTGGCTCACCCTTGGCCATCCAAACACTGGCTGAGTTGAATAGTTGAGGGGAAATTACCTTAAATGTAATTTCGTTATTATATACTACATAACATAAGTAAGAAGTTAAATTTGACATTTCTAAAACATATATTTTTAATACAAAAATTTAAATGAAAGAGAATGGTGAATATAGAAACCTTTGTGAAGAATGAGCGAGCTGCTGCATACTTCTCAATGTATCGATCGAAACTAGTTCTCTGAACTGGCATTGGTACGAACAAATGGCCTAAAATAATCCTTTCACTAGCAAATTTTCCATAAGCTTAGCTCACCTGACTTGCTTAATCGGATATTGTCTGGATAACCCGGCAAATGATCAATAAGTACTTTTGTGCGAATCTTTTTTTTTGAATAAGGATCAGTGGGCACCCTAAAACAGTGTATATCAGACCAATTAGTGTAAATTACTAACCAGATTGTCATAATTCGTGTCATTCCCATTTCACTATAGAATACTCGAACATCATCATCTTTTCCTGCTCCTTTCTCGACGGCTACTTGTACTCCATTCGGGAAATAAATTTTATCTTTGAGAACCCGAACTGTCTTTTTTCGCGGATCGTAAATCAGAAGACGGCCGTTTGGTCTGTGCTCAAACAATTCATAGATGAAATCTCGATCGTCGAATTTTGTCGAAGATTCTGACAATATGATTCGGCCATCCGGAAGAAAGTCAAAGTCATTGATATATCTGATTGGAGCCGTCTCATCGTTAAGCGGAAGATCGCCACTTGCGAGAACTCTCATCGTTTTTTCTAAATATGTTCGATTAAAAAGAATATTAAACAGTATTCTTCGAATACCTGTTCCGAAATCGATGACATACACACCAAAATACGCGTCAAGAACTACCAATTCTCCATGATCATTGAATCTGATATGAATTTTATGAGTTTTCCATAGTAAAAAAACTTTAAAATTGCCGGTGTCAAACGACTGAACGAAATGTATGAAAAACCTATTGGCTATGTGCCAAGGTGTCTCGAGGCAGAAGAGTACGTGATTAGTATTCAGTTAACTCATTTAATATTCAGTTATATCCAAATTTACATATTCGCAAATCTTATTTCAATAAAGGCCCGCCTCCATTAACTCGTTTGATGACCACAATATGATGTTATATAAAATGCATACCGCACTCCGAGAGGTCGTCCACATCTTGGTGCAGCTTGGTATGATCCATCACAATATTCAAGTGTTATCAAACTGACTGCTTTAGTTATTTTGGGCTGTAAATATCATATTCTGCATTCAACACTTCCTATATCATACCTCTCTCAATTCCAAATCAATTTCCACAATTAGACCAGTTTTTAAACCTGTGTAGACCAATCCAGTTTCCGGGTGAACTGTGAGACATTCCGGCCCGTAAACCTTTCCATCCATCAGAATCTCGGCTTTTGCAAGACGATCGTTTTTTTCAAGCACTCCATTGCGAGGTAATGGATCGCCCAAGCTAAAATGGGTTTGACTGCATTAAACGAATTTCATAATTTGTCTTACTCATAAGAAACTGCGTCAATTATTGATTCAACAATTAAATGTGTTAAGAAAAGTGAGGCAATAAGTGAAGCAATGAACACGAAAATAAGTGAGCGTGGTGATGGATAAACATTTGCACTCTGAAAATATCGAAATTTTCTTAAACGTGCAAATGATAAATCTTACGTCTTTAGGTGTTCTATTGTTACGTTTGTGAGAATTTCCCTTTTCATTTCTTCTCGTATCCTTTGTCTCTACTAAATTTTGTGAAGATATTCTGTTTCTTTTAGGCATCTGAAGCACTTGTTTTGAAAACGAGGATAACATAAATGCATAGAAAACAATAGAAGGCTAACCTGGTCGTTGACCGCTGTCATATTTGCTTGACACAAGCAACTGGTAAGCAAGCAAGCAAAAATCGAACAGTACAAATAAAGAGATAAAGAGATGGCGAGAGAGAGTGAGAAATAAAAATTGATTGTGAGTAATACTAGCAGCAAACGCATATCGTTCGAAAATTTATGCTAATTTCGACGATCGGAATAATGGAAACCAATCGTATGAAACGTTGAGTGATGTAAGAACCACTAATTTCTCGCATATTCAATTAAACTCGAAATATTTCATTATATTCTATTTATCTTATAAAGCAGCTTTATACGTCGTCGAAAAAATTCGCTGAAAAAAATTCATCGAGACAGAAATTTGTTACTGTAATATTTAAAGGATTATTCAAATTTGTGAATAGGTCTCGTATTGTTGAGAAATGACAAATGTATCTAGGTGTCGTGGGATCCTGCGTTTTGTACGCAATGCTAAGAGACAGTTACCGTAATCCTCGCAGCGATTTACGGAGATTTTTTAAAAATTTTCTTTCAATTTTTTTTGCTGAATTTTCTAACTTTCATTAGAAATCTTATATTTAAAACCTGTAGAAACCGAGTTTAATTATTTAATTTTCAGAATATGCACTTTTTCATTTGTCTAGTTGAGTTGGGAATTATTGTGAAGATTTTGACGCTCTAAAAATTATTTTGAAAATGAAGAATACAAAAACAAGATAATAGAAACGCATAAAAAGTAAAACACGATTAAATAATTTTATTAACGACAAAAATGATTTCTTTTTAACCGCTGCTGTTTTCACCAAAAAAATATCGTTTAAAAGTGCTTATTCTGCTAAATACATTATTAAACTCGGTTTCTGCAAAATTTAAAAATTTAATTTAAAAAATTTCGAAAGAAAATTAAAAAAATGAACGAAAAACAAAAAAAATGAATATGTGAAATTTAAACAAAAAGTCGCCGTAAATCGCTGCGAGGATTACGGTAACTGTCTCTTAGCATTGCGTATAAAACGCAGGATCCTACGACACCTGGATACATTTGTCATTTTTCAACAATACTTGAAGGATTTCGGAAACAGTATTTTATAATGGTCGATTATTTCTGCATGTTTTTTTGGTTTTCTAGCTGAACACTGAACAGAAGTTGTTTTTCCGAACAGAGTTTGAACATTTTTCATACACACAATTCCCGCGTGCACGAATTTGTCCGCAGTTTTGCACAACCCTGCTGCAACGTTCTCTCCTTCCAACACTATCTCATTATACCCAATTTAGAGTTTGGTTTGAAAATTGATCAGCAAACCAATTTTGTTTCGGAAAAATTTAGTATCTTAATTTGTTTAAATTGTGCAATGTTTGTGAATACAGTTCCTAAATTCTGAAGTATTACTACGACGATTAGTTGCAAAGAGATAAATCTTTCAAAACCGGCGATGACTTCTTCACGCACCATTTTTGCACGTGATTTGAGCAGAAAAATACGACCTTACTCGTCATATGATTTTTTTATTACGAAATGCATTAGTGTCTCCAAATCCGATATCTCCGATAAAATGCTTTATAATTCATCTTCGCCAAAAATCCCTTAGTGCGTAATTTATATCTCCTTCCACGAATTTTCGCATTATTTCTTCGCTAAGTGGCATTTTTATCAGAAAAAAAACTTTCGATTTCGCGAAGATGCGTACTTTGTGATAATAGTTCATCAGACACACACGGTTCGCGGAATTTAGTATGATTTAAAAAAAGATACAATTTGAGCACAAATGTTTAATTTTCGATCTTAATCAAAGATTAAATATCGTTATTGTGTGTTGATCGCATTGAACCATTTCGTCGCAAAAAATGTGTGATCGAAGAAACAATGTGTAGTATGATAGATACGATATTATCACATTTGGCACTTTGTAAATCAACCGAATGGCTCGTAAGACTCTCAAAAATGTCTTTTTCAAATCTTTATCGACAATAGTTTGTGCATCATCAAAACCGTTTCTGACATGATTTTAAACCAAACAATTCTCAATGCTTAATGGTCTCTCAGGCAAATCAAATAAAATATTTTGAGAATCAAATATTCAATAATAATGTCCAAAATATTTTGAGAAAATCTAGTTTATTAATACTTTCTAAAACTTTTTGTGAATCGCTAAACTTAAAAATATTTTTCAAAATCTTATAAGATTTTTCAAAATTTGTTGAGCAAATTATAAATTATCTCAATAAATTCTAAAATCTTATAATAATTTCTAAAGTTGATTGAGAAAAATTCTAAAATATTATAGGGACACGTTAGTTTCTCAATGAATCTCAAAATATTTTATTCGATTTACCTGAGCTGATGAAAAGAGTTCACTAAAAATCTCAATCGAAATACATAAGCCCCACGCAATCATCCTGGGTTAAAAAGTGGATTATAAATTTATTCGAAATGTTTGTTACTTTCACCGCCATCTCTTCAAATATACGCGCTGATTTATCATTTAAGACCTCAAATTTTCCGTGTTCTGCTCAATCAACAATTTCTGAATTCTTTCGATACAAATGTTTGATATGAATGAATTGATATACTGCTATTAAATTCTATTGAATTTCTTAACGTCTTCTATGTAATTATAAGCTCAACAGGACATAGTTATTCATAAAAATGTGAAATTGATCGTTATCTAAACAGTTGATTTTATCTTTTAGCCCGCAAATTCCATTCTTTATCATTGTTTTATGCAACTCAACTATCCATACGCAAACTCTTCGGTTTGACCTGCGTCGTTGTTCGTCGTCGTTATGACGTCAACATGTGAACAGAGGGGGAAAGTGCGAGCCAGGCAATTACTAGTGTTCGTTTTTACCATCATCACTATTATGACTATTATCTCGACGGCACCAGTGTCGCCGAATGTTGCGGTCTGGGTTATTGATGTTCTTTTTGCCTGTATTCTCTTCGCGTCCGTCCTTCTTGGCTTATCAGACGCTCATCGTTGAGTGTATGTGAGAGTGTGTGTGTGCGTCTATCCGACGTTTTCAATATGATGCATTTATATCATTTACGAATCGAAACCCTTATATGTGCTACCTATCGGGCGAAATTTTTTTATTTCCGATCAGAATGTCCTTGTCCTATTAATAGAATTGGAAATATCTTTTTTTTTTTAGTTTATCATTTTTACATCGATTTCCCATTAAAAAAATTAACATAATTTTCCGTAATTTAATTTTTCCGAATATCATTTTCTACAAAAGTAGTTTTTATTATTGTGCACATTATATCATCTATTATTAATATTCATTTTGTGATGGTGAACCTACAGTAACCTCGTCAATTATTTCGCATCATTTTGAAACTGAACTTTATATAAGTAGGAAATAATTAAATATTTTCTATATATGTATATATTAATGTAAGGTGTAAAACATTTTTTTTAAATATTCTTCTCTTCGTTTTGTTATTATAGCATTTCCGAAAAAATTAAAATAAAAACGATTATAAATCAAGTCCCATGCCGTTTTGTAATTTGTAGTGTCTCAACCCGTTATTATCTACGATATATAATGAATTTAAATAAGTTAATTGTTCGCAAAAAGTTCATATTTTTTAATTTTTAATTTTCATCCTTTTTACAACAACTTCATTATTTGCAGGTAAGAATATCCGATTGCCGATCAACGCTAAAAGATCTTCGCGCTTTCTGCTCCGCGAGGACGCGCCTCCGTATCTTGGCGCCATTTTTGGTTGTTCTTCTCTTCGTCATGGCCCTTCACCACATTTGATCGAAGTTGTTCTCGAATCGAACACATTCTGTCTGGACTCTAACATCGTCTTTATTCGTGTGAAGTATTGAGAATGATCCCGAACGAGGCATTCCAGAAACTGCTCTATGATTTATTCTGCCTTTGGCATGGTGTCCAACGGCACTATGACCCGCCAATCACCGACACCGAAGAACAGAGAATGCAAAAGGTGAGAACTGTTGGGAACAATGCGGCGGCTGATGGTGACACGCAGCGATTATAAATGTGCGAAACATTTGAAGAGTTAATGAGAATGTTTAGGTGAAGAACATGATATGCAAACTCTTATCGGAAATTGATGGAAGAGTGAATCGCGTTAAGCAGAACATTGATCAGAGCCCACGCGGACAAGATTTCTATGAGGAATGGACTATGCTCACATGGAATGTGTTGTGTATCACGAGCCGCCTTCAGAATAGCCTTTCACAAGTCTTAGGATCGAATGAGGACAAGATGATTTACAGTCGTCTGAATCAAGCGCTTGTTGATCTTGTCAACTATTCGAGGTTTGTGCTCGAAATTTTATGCGAAAAATAAAACCGTAAAAAATATATATTCAAATTAATACTTACAAATACAAATAAATACTTTTGTTAGAATTATGATTTTTATAATAATTGCATTTTTCTTATATGACCATTTTTATTGCAGAGATTATTTGCCATTTCCAACATGCGGTGACGTCGATCCAGAATATTTGATGCTTAAAGAAAAAATGAATCACACAATGTTGAGTCTTCATCAGTTATATCGGTACGGTTTTTTTCCTCCTGATTGCTCGCTGTAGCGTTATCAACAACTAATTACGTAAACGTTTGATCACGACACAAAATTGGAACCAGAACATCAAGTTAATAAGGAAGTTGGGTTTTTACAGACAAATGAACTCGGCTGTCTTCCAAACACCAGCAGATGTCGAAGACTTCCACACGAATCTTCAGCAATTCGGAGAACAACTTCTCATTCCATGTCTCGAACAATATAAAACTTTCTGCAATAAGAACTGCGAGATGCTTTGGCATCAAGTAAGAAGCAATCAAGTTCGCAGGTAGATTAGTACTCCTGTACTAATTTAATAATAACTATTTTAGAATGCGCGAGCAGACAAAAGAGCCTGAGAATTCAGTGGAAACCCTAGTTACGTTCTATTCAAATATGATGTACGTGTTGGCGGTTCTCGCGGCTCGCCTACAAGGATTCCGTTATGATTTGACGATGAACAAGAAACTATTCAATTTTGACCCGGTGTTGCCGTTGTCCGAAGCGGTATTTGCTGGTTTAGAGTTACTTATGTCGAATTGTGTACTTGCAACCGAGCCGTCCACGAGCGCAATTTTAGTCACCAACAATCTTTTTTCGTATGTGAAATTTTGTTCGGTATGAATAAAAACAGCACTCTTTGCAGCATGAACTGCGGTGCTCTTGCTCGAGGTGTCGTTTTCAAAGACTTTGAAATTCAAGTCGTTTCCGAAGAAACAGCAGAGCACATTCAGGTAAAGATTATGGAATCGTTCGTGAATTCTTGAATCCTCAAATTGCAGTCGGAAATGTCGCGTCAACGTCTTCTTCAACAAGCAGCACCAATTTCACTGGCACCGTCAGCAGCTCTTCTTGCGATGAAACCGACTTCAGGAACGAAACGTAGCAACGCTGCGAGTAATTCAGGTTATTCTTAGAATTCGCATGAAGTAATTAAAGGCATGGGGAAACAGTTCACCTCATTATTCGACAATTTGCAGACTCCGCGAACAACACGGCGCACAAAAAGAGTGATGTGAACAGCAAAGAAAGTGTTGTTATCTACCCAGTTTATAATACGAAAAATCGATATTGGGCGGCGAACTATCCGCATTTGTTGTGCACGACCCGACAAAAAGGACGACACTCGATTCAGTCGTCTTTCCAGGATTTGTCGCCGTCGTCAAGTTCGAATGACAAAGGAAATTCGCATGGAAAACGCCCGATATTCTACTTTCATATTCGGGCGACACTTTTTAGTCCATCTGGCAGATTCGCCACTGCGCACACACTTTCGTTGCCGTTTACAATCGCGACTCGAAGAAATCAGGTTAGTCTGCTGAAGGCGCAATGTTTTGAATTGAATGTTTTGTAGGACTGCCAAGTTCAGCGAATGATGTCCTCTTACACGGCGACCATCTTTTGGCTGTATGGATGCGATACGCAGGATGGACTCTTGCTGCAATGGATTGACACCGGAATGCACTGGGATCATTTTAAACATCTTTTTAAGCAACACTTCAAGGTTCTTATTAAAATATCATAGTGTATAATACATAAATTGTGGTTTAGGTGAATGCTGATGTGCAGAGAAGCCTTATTGATAATGATTTCGAACTGCTCAAGTATAAGCTTCAATGTCCAGACTGTTGCTCAGGACAAGATGGAGCAAGAGTAAATGGTGCTCAACGTGAGGCTAAATATTATTATTTTTTTTTCAAACACGGTTTTTTTTTCAGAAATCGTTACATTCAAGAACGTGCTGTGTCCTCATTTGCGGTATGAATGCGGAAGTACGAATGTTCGATTTTCCGTGTGGCGCGGAATGCTTGAGCTTCTTCAAATTTTCCACGATTCGCGCAACAACGTGCGAAAATTATGGGAAATGGGGCTGTTGATGGGATTTTTGGAGTTTGAGGAAGTCGATAAATTGTTGGAAACCCACAAATCGGCATTGATCATGAGACTGTCGTTTGTAACCGGAGGTTTAATAGTTTTTCGAATAGATTGCAATGAATTGTTGATTTTTAGGTACCATTTGCTTCACAGTTAAATCAACTGCCCATACATTGGATCCAAAAGCGACAAAGCCAATTCATTTGGAGCCATTGGATTTGAAGAGACTTCAACAGAAATGTCTTAAAGACTATCTTCGTGATATTTCGGACGCGGAAAGGGTTTAATTTTGAGAGGAAAACAAATTGTATTACTTTGTACATTTTTAGGTTAAATATATATTGAATGCGAATCTTGAAGTTGTGAGGATCAGTGAGGTTCTGGCTCAGCTTGGTGAGAGTGCTTCGATTGGTGGAACTTCGGAAAGTCGCGATATTTCGAGCAATATTACCCATATGGGGGATATTGACACAATGCAACACATCAAGTTAGTTTAAATTCTATTATCGTTGAAATTTTTCGAAATATTTCAGATTTACCGCTATGAGAATAGCTGTTGTTACTTGCAAAGTCAAACCACCATCGGCGGATCAGGATCTTGAAATTGACGAGCACAGGCATGATTTGAATTTGATAAATTAATCCGAAATTTTTTTCAGAAACTTCGGCAGACTTCAGCAATCTTATCACTCGCAAGATGATGATTTTGTGCGTGAACTGATCCAATTAGCAAATTTCCATGGAAAATCGAAGCAAGAGATCTACGAAGCTCTTGACGCCATCCATGATCCATCTTATTCGTTTAATAATCCTGCCCCTATTAGAAAAGCTTCTTCTTTATATGATGCTGGATCACTTCAGTCGATGTCGTCGGGATTGTCAACTCCCAATGTTGTCTCGCCGTTGCCTCCAAAAGTATTAGAAAAACATAAATAAATTGATATACAGTTTTAATGTTTATAGGGTCAGCCATCTTCTCAACTACCTTCCCCAAATCAGTCAACGCTTCCGATGGTTTATAACAATATTTACGGGAGCACAACTACAAATCAGTTCGAATACTAAATTTTAAAAATCTTGTTGTATTGCGGGTTCACGCATTGTTTCTTGTTTTGCCAATTTATCTCAACCAGTTTTGCACAGACGAATTCATTTCGATTCGATTTTGCTCAATTCAATTCAATATAATCAATTAATCAAAGATTGTATTCGTTTGAGTTCATATTTATATTCTTTTGCATTTTAACGTGTTTCGTGTTGAAATAAAAAAATGTAGCATTTCTACTTTTGATATGGTTGAAGAAACTATTTCTGTTGTAAGAATTTTCTTAAAACCCCAATAACTCAAATTGAAGGTTTCAATTGTGATAACAGTAGCTTTAATCGTTGTGGGTCTTGTCACGATGCTACAAAACTGGCGATTGGCTCGAATTGTTTCGCGAACACGAAATCTTCCAAAAATGCAAAAAATGTTGCGTTTGCTGATGAAATCGCGAATTGTCGTCAAAAATGGAATGGTTTGGTGAATATCTGCTTTCGAGTTATTTAAAATTGAAATAGTTGACCCCAGTGGAGACTGCGTTGCTCGCCGGAGAAGCTGGAATGAATCTTTCGAGTGTTAAAATGGAATATTTAAAGGAAAGGGGACCACATCGCGATATTTTGATGTAACGACTCTCTCCTATATTCGATTGATCGACAAACACATTCAGAAACATTTTTGGACCATTGAAAGATAACTTATTCAAGCGGTTATTAGAATCTGGAAGAATTATGGAAACTGTATGATGTTCTTCGGCATCTCTAACTTGCCAAATTATAAATTCAAGGGATATGCGAATGAAAAAGTGTTTCTTTCACTTGATGGAATTGAAATGTCTCCCACGGATATTGAAATTGTAAGGAATTAGAGTAGGTTGATTCAATCAATCAATCCGCGCTTTGAATATGCATTTTACACGGCATTTTCTATAACATAATGTCGTCTGTTTCTGAAAAAAAAAAGGCTCTCATGGATGTCGTCAGTAGCGTCTCATTATTTTTTTTTTCATAAAAAAGTATCTGCAAATGTAGCGACCTCAATTTAATACAAGTTTTTTCGTAATATATATTGAAAATTGAAATCACGTTTTTAGCGTCCATTTTTGGAGCTGGTAATTAACAAGGGGGTAATACAAAATTATCATTGAAACTGGAAAAGAAATCGAAAAATAAAAGAAAAATAACACTAATTCGACGTTAATTCGCCGCCAAGAAAATCGATCACCAAATAAATAACACGTGCATTTTCGGCAAATAAAATGCACATGTCCGCAATGAACCTGAAAATGACATTGCAGACTTGTGCATTTTATTTGTCGACAATATTTTATTTGACAAGAATTTTTGTTTTTTTTTTCTGATTTTTTTCGATTTCTTATTTAGTTTCAATGATAACCACGCGATCGTTTAGATCAGAGGTTTTATCGGGTCTCTTCTGGTTGGGCTCCTCCGGTTGTAGGCGGTGTTGGGTGTGTGTGAGAGGCTGGTATTGTCTAAATCGCGCCACTGCAGAAAATAGGCAAAATACCAAAATAAACAATGGTAGTTGTCTGTCTCGGTGAGAAACTGCAATTTGAGATTTACGAACTTATGTTTAGAATTTTAAAGATGCAAACTTTTCTTTACACATTATTTTCGGTTTCAAGCAACCGAACGAAATAAAAAACAATATTGGCCATGAGGCAAGGTGTCTCGAAGAAAAGACACGTCTTTAATATATTTAGCCTCACGTAAATTAATATATTTATAATTCAACTTTGATTTTGTGACAATAAAGACTCCGCCTCCATTTATCGACCAATGAAAAAAATTAAAAAAAAAAAAAAACAATTTTTTTCATTTGAATTCCCTATGCACGCACGTTGAAAATTACAAAAAAAATGACGCGATATATCGTAATTCTCCGTTATTTATTTTCAAAGGCGCACGCGAAAAGTTGCGCGGGTCGCGTCGCGAAGTCGGTACTGTAATTTTTTATTTTTCATTCTATGTGCTATTTTTTCGTATTTATCGAAAACTTTGAAGAGAAAATGAGTAGATTTAAGAACGAGGTTAAAAAAAAACCAATTATTGGTATATTTACACCTAATTCCACAATATAAGTCCATTTTTCGTCATTTAGATACCAATTATTATGTGAAATAGTGATTTTTGTGCTGATTTGATGCAGACTTCGCATGACGCTTCTGATGAACCTTTAGTGTTGATTAAACAATATAATTTTACAGATTTCCAAATTAAAACGTTTTAAACGCTCAAAAAATAAAAAAAAAATCGTAAAAAAAACAGCCATTAAGAATCACAGTACCGACTTCGCGACGAGACCTGCGCAACTTGCGCCTTTGAAAATAAATAGCGGAGAATTACGATATATCGCGTCAATTTTTTGTAATTTTCGACGTGCCTGCATAGGGAATTCAAATGAAAAAATTGTTTTTTAAATTTTTTTCATTGCATGAATAGGTCCATTAATAATTGTCATTATTTTGATAAGATTGCGGATCGCTATCTATTGAATATATATAGATAATTATTTCGCAATTGAATTGCAATTATATACAATTTCATTAAAAATATTAAATCTCTTAATTTGTGAAAATTGACCGCGAAAAGCTCGAAATCGGTTGATCGCATTTTTCACAAACAGACTGCACTACGGATAACCTGCACAACGAGCATTCATAAATTATTTTTCCGTAAATTTATAATTTTCATGCAACCAAATGTAAATACATATACATAGTAGTTGGAATTATTTTTAATAAATTTCTCAACCGAACCTTATAAGTGCATGTACAAAGCGTTCTTCTGTGTATCCGCCGATTCATCGATAATTTCGAAATGATGTTTTTAATCATTCCAGAGTAGTCCAATGATTTGTAAGACACAGTCATTATCGTTGGAGAGAACTCGTCATAAGAGTGCTGACGTAGAAGTGGAGAGTGCGATATGTGGTTAATTATTTGATATTTATTTGAAATTATGATGATTAAATATTATGGGTTACATGAAATGTTAGTTTTGTCAAGTTGTCAATATTCAAAATTGTTGGTGTTCTGAAAATCTTAAACATCAAAAGAAAATGTTGCTACAATTCGTACCACTAGTAGTTTGGTCCGAAGCGGGCTGTTGGGTCATTCAGGTTCCTGTAATAACCGCCATAGCCCTGAGGGTAGCTTCCGTTTTCTCTGTACGGAAATCTTGGGGCAGCATACGTTCCATAACTGAAAATTATTATTATTCATTTTCGATAGCTTCTTCTAGCTTGGATTGCTGAACTCATATGATATTTCCGAGGGAATTTGCGGATATCTAGCCATTTCCCCGAATGGTCGTATAATGTGTGGCCAATAATTTTTTGCTCCCCTTTTCTTGCTCCCCCCTGATTTTTGGCACCCACTTTTGTTGCTTCCAGTTTAATAATTTTTTGCTCCCATTTTTGTTGCTCCCCTTTTTTAAATAATTTTTTGCTCCCATTTTTAACACCCTTTTTAAAAAGGGTTTTTTTCCTACTTTTAAATTTTTCCTTGAAATAGGAATTCACAATAGTCATTTTTTGTATTTTGAAGGCTTACCAACCATTATAAAATTATCACAATTTCTTAATGGAAAATGTTGAATTAGAACAAAATCGGGCAAAATGGCGAAATAGGAAATTTGCGAGTTGTAGCAATCCATCCATGGAGACCACTGTATAGTTAAACGAAAATCCGTAGTAAGTCAATTGGAATATATGATTTGACTTTGTTAGTAGTGTCCGTTAGTTTAATGAAAACAACTAAACACATTTTCTATTAGGCAACATATTTATTTAAAACATTTAATTATTGAATTATTTTTTAAACAATAAATTAATTGTTGAATTATTTCGATAGGTCATTTATACCGTAAAATCTGTATCAAAATGGTACTTCTAACAAAAAAGCCTTCAAAAAACTTCTCAAAGTATAACGGTGTTCTGTTTTTTGAATATAACGTCTTTCCTGAAATTTGATGAGGAGTTAAAAAAAGCTTCGAAAAATCGAAAATGATATAGTTTTCAAACAGGCTTAACGGTATAAACTTTAAAAAAAAAATTCCGCAATAAATAAATTAATAAAATTTCACTTATTGCGATATTCAATCACGTTCCTTTCCTTATTCGCGCCCTCTGTGGTTTTTACTTCTTATAATTTGTGACTCTCTTCCTGCAAATAATTTCAGTTTAACATAATTTTTAAATTTCAAAAGAAAAATTGCGTACGGTTAATTATTTTTTGAAAGGGTATACTCATATATTAAACTGAAATTTACCTTTGGAAACATCGAATATTTTGTTTTACAATACAGTTTTTATCCGGTAAAGTCCTCGATTTGCTCAATCTGTAAAATTTAATATGAAGAACTCGAGTAATTCCCACTAGTAATAAAAAAAGTTAAAAACGACGAAGAATGTTGCGAAAGAACGAGATGTGTATATAAATATTATTACTTATTAAATTTACTAATATTTGAAAACGTTTTGTGGGGTTAAAAACATAAAAGAATTATTTTAATAAGAAAAATAGGCCGAAAATTAAAAAAAAATGTTCGGTGAAAACACGTAGTCCGTAAACATTCTACGACTAATTGCACAGATATACCGTACGCTGAATATTTTTATTTTATTATTGGCCTATTTTTCTTTTTTTAATCTTTCCTTGCAGTTTTTAACCGCACGAAACTTATTGAAACATTATTAAATTTAATAAATAATAATTTTTATGCATAAAAAAATGTTCTTTCGCAACATTCTTCGTCGTTTTTAACGTTTTTTATTACTAGTGGGAATTACTCGAGTTCTTCATATTAAATTTTACAGATTGAGCAAATCGAGGACTTTACCGGATAAAAACTGTATTGTAAAACAAAATATTCGATGTTTCCAAAGGTAAATTTCAGTTTAATCTATGAGCATACCCTTTCAAAAAATAATTAACCGTACGCAATTTTTCTTTTGAAATTTAAAAATTATGTTAAACTGAAATTATTTGCAGGAAGAGAGTCACAAATTATAAGAAGTAAAAACCACAGAGGGCGCGAATAAGGAAAGGAACGTGATTGAATATCGCAATAAGTGAAATTTTATTAATTTATTTATTGCGGAATTTTTTTTTAAAGTTTATACCGTTAAGCCTGTTTGAAAACTATATCATTTTCGATTTTTCGAAGCTTTTTTTAACTCCTCATCAAATTTCAGGAAAGACGTTATATTCAAAAAACAGAACACCGTTATACTTTGAGAAGTTTTTTGAAGGCTTTTTTGTTAGAAGTACCATTTTGATACAGATTTTACGGTATAAATGACCTATCGAAATAATTCAACAATTAATTTATTGTTTAAAAAATAATTCAATAATTAAATGTTTTAAATAAATATGTTGCCTAATAGAAAATGTGTTTAGTTGTTTTCATTAAACTAACGGACACTACTAACAAAGTCAAATCATATATTCCAATTGACTTACTACGGATTTTCGTTTAACTTTACAGTGGTCTCCATGGATGGATTGCTACAACTCGCAAATTTCCTATTTCGCCATTTTGCCCGATTTTGTTCTAATTCAACATTTTCCATTAAGAAATTGTGATAATTTTATAATGGTTGGTAAGCCTTCAAAATACAAAAAATGACTATTGTGAATTCCTATTTCAAGGAAAAATTTAAAAGTAGGAAAAAAAACCCTTTTTAAAAAGGGTGTTAAAAATGGGAGCAAAAAATTATTTAAAAAAAGGGGAGCAACAAAAATGGGAGCAAAAAATTATTAAACTGGAAGCAACAAAAGTGGGTGCCAAAAATCAGGGGGGGGAGCAAGAAAAGGGGAGCAAAAAATTATTGGCCTATATGTGTATCGTAGCTTCTCAGTGGAACGCTTGGTTGCGATTTCATTGAAGCCTCAAGGATCATTGGAAGGAGAGAGTGGAGATGTGATTTGATGAGTGTGAACTGCTCAATGATATGTTTCGCTTGCATTTTCTTCTCACTAAAACCAACGTATACTGATCTACATAGCACGAGCCATAATTGATTTCTTACACACTGCATTCGGATGTCTGCTTGCTTCCGAGCTCTTTCTTGATATTCATCACCGAAGGAAGCATGCTGTGGAGTTCATCCTCAATCATCGAATACTGATCCATGACGTTCAAAACGTCGTTAGTTCTAAATTAAAATGAAAAATTACGGATTGCTAATTCGATCGTCATACTTGCTCATATTCTGCGCTTTAATATTTTTTATCGCTTCTCTCACTTTCTTCATAGCTAGGTGAAAAGCTTTTTTGTTCGGATCATTAGCATAAAGGGCCGACTCGTTTTGCTCTACTATAATTTCGAGCGTTTTGCGAGCATCACTAGGCACTTCGGAAAATGCACCCATTTCCATATAATCGATAAGTCGATTCAACTCCTCTTTATAGTTAATTGACTTCTGAGACATTGTATTGCTCTTCAAACCCAATGTACTCAATCTGATGTCACGGAGTTGCCTAAACCATGTACATTTACATATTAGGTATGTTCAACAGTTTTCATAAGAAATACTCTTGCAAACGAGCGCGGCTTTCCGAGCTTTTCTTCTTGTCTAATGAGCATTTCTTCACGAAATCGCTATTTTTGGAGCATCCTTCAAGTAAAATTATTGAACTTTTTCGATTTAATATATTTCTGATTACCTGGGGTTTCAGATATTGGATCTTTTGTTGGAGACTTCATCAATCCACTTGGAATGTCTGTTGATAGCTTGGCAATGCGCACCATTGCGTGCTCCGAATGCACTTCGCTCGCTTCACATTTCGAGCAAAGCTCAAAATCGTCGCAGACGAGACACGAGAAGCGATGGCCGACAATTTGCTTCTTGCACACACTGCATTCGGCATCGTGAATTGCGAATAGCTGCTAAAATTATTTCACTTTTCGTTAATATCACAGTTTTTATTTTACTCACCGCGATTTCCCGCTGCGTTTTCTTCTCATAATCCTCATGAGTATATTTTCGTCGTCGCTCTTGGGATGGATTTGAGTTCGTCTGTCTTGTGCCAAGTTTCTCGAGTTTCTCGAGCATTTCATCGAAAGATTCCGTCATGCCATGTTTTGCTTCGAAAATGGATTCATCCGACACATTCGACGGGATTTTCTCTTCATCTAGCGTTTGCTCTTGGTCACATCCCGAACCGAGTTTCATGATTTTGCCAATCAATCTGTTGAAAGACTCCATGCTGTTCGAGTGGCCTTGTTGTGGAAATGGCGCTACGAATTCATTCGCTGGCTGCCACTTATACATGTTCTGAGCAACCGGATAGTCCGGCATCAAGGGTCTTCTTGCTGCATGGTAGTTCATCTCCTGCTCCTTCTCCATCTCCTTGACTCCCAATTCGACCACACCGCTGACGTATCCGCAGGCATCCGCGCGCGGCGCGATGAACTTTTGAATGAACGCCGCACCGTCTGTAATAGGGCTTTTTGTCATGTCGTCCAACGCGAACAAGAAATTGTTGGCCATGTTTAAGCCCATATTTGTCATCACGTTGTGAAGGGCTTTAACACAGTTTTCCGAGTTAAACTGAAATCACTAACTTGTTTTTTTTTGTCATTGTCAGGAACGTACCTTAAATATTATTGAGCCTAACGGACAATAATCGCGATAGAAGAGAAAGTGAGCCAAGTAGAGTTTGTGCTTCGAATCAGCCATTTTCCAAGATTCTTGAAATGGTTTGTCTAAAAAATAGCAAAGATGAATTGCGAAAAATGGTGGGAAATGGCGAATGAAGGGTGAAATATATGTGAAATATGAGGAGGAGGAGGAGTAGGAGGATGAGAGTATGAGTTGGAATACGAGAGATGACTCAATAATTGTGTTTTAGGCCGCGCGGAGCTATGGAAACGGCGTTCCTTTTTTGATTTCGTTCCGAGACACGTATCAATACGCTGCAAAATTGAAAACACGCTGCTTCTAGGACACGCGCGATGCATATGCTGTAGTTGGAACGGACAATGGCGCAAGCGCGAAACCGAGCGTGTGCGCATATACAGTGCTCCACAAAATTATATACCCACCCTGATTTTGTCGAATAACTCGAAAACGCGAATAGCTCCAGAAATAGTTTCAATTAGAAAAATATACGCATTTATTATTAGTTTCATGTTACATTCACAAAATTCAACAAAAAATAACAATTTTAAAAATTTCGTCATTTTCACGAAAAAGTGGAAAAAATTTTTCCACAAAATGATATACCCACTTGATAAAAAACTGAGAAAAAAGTATCGAGAGTTAGAATTTGAAAGAAAATGAACATTTAGTAATTAACTGGACCTCCATTGAGTCGTGTTACATCAAAAATTCGACTGTCCATTGATAAAAGGTTGTCAAGAAGCTGTTGATCGACAAGCTTCCAGGCTTCCACGATTGCCTTTTTGAGATCCGTAGTTGAATGAAAAGACTTGTTGCCATTGTAAATCTTCTTCACCATAAATCCCCAGACATTTTCGATGGGGTTTATGTCTGGAGAACAGGCTGGCCAGTCGAGAACAGGGATTCTACGGCTGCGTATCCACTGAATGGTGCGACGAGCACGATGAAAAGGGGCTCCATCTTGCATGAAAGAGTAATTTTTGTGTCGATTTCGACGCCAAAATGGCAACAGATCACGTCTTATGACGTATCGGTAGTCAGAACCACTAATCTTCGGCGAAACGAAGCACAACTTGACTCTTCCATGCGAGCTGATTGCCTCCCACACCATGACGCATCCTCGTTTGAACTTTCTACGCGAAAACCGCAGCTTCTCTTTTCTCAAATCGTGCCAATAATCACGATAACCATCTGGCCCATCACAATTGAACATTTTTTCATCGGAAAAGACTACCCGAAAGAAGAAAACGAGTTGAATGAACGTTGCTGTTATTCTCACTTGTCTCCAGTTAGTTCGATGATTGTTTTTTGCAAACGCCAGCCGTTTTTCACGATGTCTTCGAGTCAACACTGGTGCCTTCCTCATTTTCCTGTGTTTGATGAAGTTGCTCTTCGATAAAACACGCCGGACGGTTTCATTTGACACCGTGAGATTGAATTCCCTTCGAATCGTTGAGCACGACACGACCGAATTTGACGCTCTTCGCAAAATTTTGCGCTTATCACGATCCGAAAGCAGTGAAGGACGACCTGTCGACGTTTTTTGACCATATGCGGCTGGATTCTTAGCATATCGGCTAATAACATTATGAGTGCGTCCGAGATCATTCCCAATTTGCCGATAAGAGAGACCTTGAGCCAGTTTTGCTTTTAATTTCACCTTTTTCAAAGTCGGTGAGCGGCTTTCCACGAGGCATTTCTTAAAGAACAGTAAAATTGCAAAAAAAAATTCGAAAATACGAAAATATACGAAAAAAATGGAAAAAAACGCCAAAAAAATGAAGTGGGTATATCATTTTGTGGAAAAATTTTTTCCACTTTTTCGTAAAAATGATGAAATTTTTTAAATAGCTATTTTTTGTTGAATTTTGTAGATGTAACATGAAACTAATAATAAATGCGCATATTTTTCTAATTGAAACTATTTCTGGAGGTATTCGCGTTTTCGAGTTATTCGACAAAATCAGGGTGGGTATATAATTTTGTGGAGCACTGTACATATAAAACCTATCCAAATTTCATTCTATTGTCGCGCCATCCAAAACGATCAAAAATGACTTGAGAACCTATTACAAATATATGAGGGGATAGGTTCAAGCATATTCACGGCGTTCACACTAGTGGGATTTACCTGAAATGAAAACTCAAACTGTGTCAGTGGTCGATTGTTGGCGTCTTTGACGCGCAGACGAATTTTTTAAAAATCGCCAGGTTTTGACTCTTTTTTCAAGTTTTTTGAATTTTTCTCAAATTTTAACAAAAAAGTGAAGCGACCACGTTTTTCGCAAGGCTTTTTTCTATCGAAAAAGCTTTACTATAATTCAATCGGATAAGTATTCAGAGGTCCGTAGTTTTTTAAAGATTGAACTGTAAAAATATTCACATTTATTTTCTCTGTTTTTTCACTCTCTTTTGTTAATATCATTTATTGTTATATTATATGGTTTGAGTTATACGATTATGTTTGTTAATACTTGGAAAAACATTTCATAGTTGTTTATTTTTTATTTTTTTTTGCAAATTTTAAATGTAAATAGTGTGTCATTTCGGCGGAGAAGTTGCAAGAGATTCTCTATAATTTTTTGTTGTTTTTTTTTTAAATTTCGTTAGTTCTTACGTTAATTTACCGTTTTCAGCTTCTTTTTTCGTTATTTATCTCTCTCGCGTCATTATCTACTCGCATTGAATTCATTTATTGAATTCAGATAAGCACTCCATCTCGAAAATCAAAAGCTGGCGGAATGATGAAACGATATCACGGACAATTCGCTTTTCGAGATTTTTTTTAACTTCCGAATTACTCCAAAAGACCAATGGAAAGACGTCCTCAACTCAAAAATGTATTTTTTTTAGTCATTTGTGTTGTATAACATCAAATTGTTCTTTTCAAGCTGCCTAATGAAATCGGTAAAGAGAATCTTGTTAACTGTATTTGTTGATTGTCCATTTGTTTCCAAATTGATAAGTGTATTTTTTCCCTATTAGTTTTGCAATTTTCCAAATGTCCTTATATCCTCTTTTTCCGAATTCAATCTCTCTCGCGTCTTTATCTACTCGCATTGAATTCATCTGCTACACATCATCAATTTTTATATCATAATTCAATTGTATAGTATTTCTTTCGTTTAATTGATGGTTTTATCATTTAAAAATGTTATGTATATGTTCAAAAAAAAGATCCGATATAAATTTAAATAACTTATTTAATTTATAACTAAATAGACCATAAATTGCGGTGAATCTGATCCACCCGAAGAAATATAAAAACTAATCGTTCTTATTGAAAAAACGATCCATTTTGAGAATGTTTCTAATTTATTTCACAAATTTAATTTGTTGAATTTATGCACCGGAATAGCGCTAAGCTGCAAGTGCGCTCCATTGAGAAAAATCTTTTTTCATGTAAATCCCACTAGTGTGAACGCCGTGTATTCTGAATCTTAGGGAAGCAGTCGAGATTCGTGACGGATCGAAAATAACCTATTCAAATTGTAATGAACCTCCTTTTTCGGTGCAAAATTGAAACGATGAATTACGATCAGCTTTGCGATCAATCATTAAAAATTCATCGTATCATCCAGATTTAAAAAAACTATTAAAAACCCTGTGCACTCTATACTTTATTTAGTCAGTTCGTCCAACGCCTGTTGAGAAGCGAACCACAAAATTCCACGCGTTTCGGTTTTTTTTTGGGAAAAAATTAAAGAAATCTTCAATATCTGCATAGTATTTTTTCATAATCGCATTTGTTAAGTCGTCAAAGTATCAATTTCCAACTTTTTTTTTGAGAATATACCAAAATTACATTGACAAGCGGGATTTGAAAAGAAATACATACAAAAACCCAAGAAAGTGGGGGAAAATGAGCGAAAAATCAATTTATGAGAGATTTTGTCTCAAATAAAAATAGGCAAAATGCGATTGCAATAAGAATAGGAAAAAAATAAGTGGAATCATCTTTTTCGACTTGTTTTAGATAGAAACAACTGAGCTGTAACGAAATTGTCAGCTTAGTTTCCATGGAGAAAACAGAGTTCCTTGCTCAACATATATTTATATGTACTTATTCACATTTATTAGGCCACCCCCCCCCTATAATTATGTACATATATATGTATATAAAATGTTGAAATGAGGATTTTAAAATTGAATATTATACAATTCAAATACAGAGTGCGGCAAAATTACGGGTACATCGATAATAGGCGTCAACGGTGGCACGCAGGTATTTGGCGTTCAATTTGTCCCATGCCTTCAGAAGGGCAGCTTTCAATGAGTTCATATTTTTGGGTGTGGGTAAGCTGACACCTTCTCTTGCAAGACTCCCCAGGCAGAATAGCCCATAGGAGCGATTAAGCTCATCTTTGACTATTCTTCCCATCATCTCGGACTCACATGGCCTTCTGACACCATCTTTCTGAATGCAAAATGGACTAGGAATTGAGATGGACGTGGCCGATTCAAGGAGCAACGCGACGGTTTTTTGGCGGCTGGTAACTGGTCCAACTATTCGAATTGGTTCTTCGCATTGTGAGTTGTTTGTTATGTGTATTTACCTTGTCCCTCGATTGTAACTGAGGTGGCGAATCCGGCCCATTGCCATCAACCCCCAATTTTCAACCCCTACCCCTGATTTTCCACCCCCAAAATTTAACCCCCATTTTTATTTTTCAACCACCCCCTAATTTCCACCCCCAGATTTTAACCCCCATTTTAATTTTTTTATTACCGGTCAATGTTAATTGACTCAAATTTTTGACTTGAGTACTTAATTATGTTCTTTTGGCCAATACCGTAAATTTTCCTAGAAATTGTCAGTGTTATATGGGGGGAGGGGGTCTTAAGGGGTCCGAATTCGAAAGTTTTTAAAATTCCAGAAAATGATCCTAAGTGCCCATTGTTTCAGAAAATGATGCTAAAACGTAAATCTTTTTCATCAAATTTTCTGTTCTGCTCGAAGGTCAAAATTTACAGTTTCTAACTGTAATTGGCTAACTTTGATTTTTCAAAAACTATGTAGACTATCCTTACGAAAGAAAATTTTTACAAGTAATGAACTATTCACGGAAGAGCAGGTTCAGATAGACTTCAGGTTCAGATTCGGGGTTCAGATAGACTTCGTAAGCGTGAATCTATTTCCACAATTTCCAACATTTCAAGTATCCAATTGTGCAATTCTGTATCAAGCTTCTTTGCATTCCTTCAAATACCTAAAAACAATAGTGGCAGCCAAATAGGCTTAAATTTTTTGTACAATTTAACACATTTGAGGAATATAAATTTATTTTAGGAAAACAAAATTAAATTAGAATGGAAAGGGAACAAAAAAATGGGAAAAATTTACCAAACATTACAAAAAAAACCAGCGAATCGAAGAACGGATATCGATGGCGCGGGATTAGCGTCAGACGAAGCCTGAAAGACAAATAAATCATGGAGTAATGTTGAATATACGAAAAATAAAACAATCCTAAAAATTGGGAAAATATTAGTCATTTATCAATTTCAGTCCTAAATAATCACTAGTTCAGTCCTAAATAATCAATAGTTTACAAATATATACACTTAAAATAAAACTATAACTAATTTAAATCCAATTTTAAAAGAATATATCGCAACAAATCGTTAAAAAGAGGGAAAAAATTGAAAAAAAAATTGAAGCAAAAATAATACGGCCGACAGCTTAAAGGTGCAGCGTTACTGTAGCATTCGCTTAACTGTGCGATTTTTAATAATTGGATTTTCGAAAAATTAAAAAATTAACTCATTTTTTCCCTCTTTTTAACGATTTGTTGCGATATATTCTTTTAAAATTGGATTTAAATTAGTTATAGTTTTATTTTAAGTGTATATATTTGTAAACTAGTGATTATTTAGGACTGAACTAGTGATTATTTAGGACTGAAATTGATAAATGACTAATATTTTCCCAATTTTTAGGATTGTTTTATTTTTCGTATATTCAACATTACTCCATGATTTATTTGTCTTTCAGGCTTCGTCTGACGCTAATCCCGCGCCATCGATATCCGTTCTTCGATTCGCTGGTTTTTTTTGTAATGTTTGGTAAATTTTTCCCATTTTTTTTGTTCCCTTTCCATTCTAATTTAATTTTGTTTTCCTAAAATAAATTTATATTCCTCAAATGTGTTAAATTGTACAAAAAATTTAAGCCTATTTGGCTGCCACTATTGTTTTTAGGTATTTGATTTGCGCAAGGCATGCAAAGAAGCTTGATACTGAATTGCACAATTGGATACTTGAAATTTTGGAAATTGTGGAAATAGATTCACGCTTACGAAGTCTATCTGAACCCCGAATCTGAACCTGAAGTCTATCTGAACCTGCTCTTCCGTGAATAGTTCATTACTTGTAAAAATTTTCTTTCGTAAGGATAGTCTACATAGTTTTTGAAAAATCAAAGTTAGCCAATTACAGTTAGAAACTGTAAATTTTGACCTTCGAGCAGAACAGAAAATTTGATGAAAAAGATTTACGTTTTAGCATCATTTTCTGAAACAATGGGCACTTAGGATCATTTTCTGGAATTTTAAAAACTTTCGAATTCGGACCCCTTAAGACCCCCTCCCCCCATATAACACTGACAATTTCTAGGAAAATTTACGGTATTGGCCAAAAGAACATAATTAAGTACTCAAGTCAAAAATTTGAGTCAATTAACATTGACCGGTAATAAAAAAATTAAAATGGGGGTTAAAATCTGGGGGTGGAAATTAGGGGGTGGTTGAAAAATAAAAATGGGGGTTAAATTTTGGGGGTGGAAAATCAGGGGTAGGGGTTGAAAATTGGGGGTTGATGGCAATGGGCCGCGAATCCTCATTACCTGTCCCTTACACCCCAACTTGTTGCTTATACGATCAAATGAACTGTGATTAGCTCAATAAACTATTTTATGTGAAACCGCTGAACGACACTATATGATTACGGCCCAACAGAGCCGTGTTCTATGTCAAATTGGCCTTACGGCACATGCAAATTATAAGATTTATTTTCTAAGAAAACAAATTTATTTATTTTCATATTTTTGTTGGTTTGAAGGAATTAAATGAATAAGCTCATCGGGGCATACTTGCGCGTACTTGGAAATGTAGAATCTCTTCTGAGAGTCATCCTAAACAAGTATTTAATCCGAAAAAAGGGAAATAATCTTACATAATGGAGAGACATAAATCCGCGAGTAATGAGTGTGATTCCGTGCTCCTTATTGATGGTATAATGGAAGAAATTGAACGATATTGTGTTTTTGTTCACAAATACTTTCTCGATTTGGTACTGAAACCCGAAAATAGAATATCGAAAATAAAACTGCATTACCTGACTGTAATTAACGTCCATAATGTTTTCAAAATATGGAACTCCTTTCGAAAATGTCTTTTCCTTGCAGAACTTATAAGTGGAGGACTTGTCGAACAGATCAGCTATCAATGTTGGGTTGTTGGTAAGAAACGCGGTGTCGAGAATCTTGGTGACAGCATCTGTTGCCCTTCGCACGTCACTCTCGGTCAGATGTTGGCAGCTTCTCTGAAATTGTTACCTTTTTCCATTTGAAGAAGTTTGAGAATGAATATACCACAAGCGAAACCAACACCAGTCCGATGACGATGGTTTTCATTGTTCACAGAAAATTCAATTTCATCGAATTTTTGTATTTATATACAAAAGTGATACCATCGCATACATTTTTTTTTTCAAAAAATAATCCAATTAATATAATTAAATTAACGATTCGTCTATAAAATGCGTTTTCAATATTGTGACATCACAGCGAATATGAATATTCTTTTTGTAGCATCGATTGTTTTCGCCTCGTTTATGGTGGTAAGAAAAGCAGCGACTTCACAAAAATCACGAATTTAGACAGTTGTCGCAGAAAGAGCACCGTGCGAAGTTGCTCTCGAACAACTCGCCGACTTTGTGAACTCGGGAAATTTTGAGAAAGCCATCGGATTGTTCGCCGCCAATGCTCATGCGCGATTCTGCGACGACGAAGTGAGCATAGGTAAGTCCAACCCAAATAACTTCGCAAATGAATGATTCAAGACGGAATTCGAGAGGTTCTCAAGGAGTCTGTAACCGGATTATACCATTTGACGGTTGCTTTTCCATCATTCCAAAAATATCTGACTGTGGCCAATTGCAGACTCTCCCTCTTGACATTGATCCTTCAGGTCAAAACCTAACATACAAAGGTGTCGACATCTACAACAACGACGACATCAAATACTATTATGGAGACCTGCGCGTACGAGTTGTGAGTTTTGAAAAGAAAAACTCAATTAATTGATTCGATATTTAAGAATGACGAGTTGAAACTCGAAATAATTGAAATGCACGAATCTTGCCCTTATGACGTCAAAGAATATCTTCGCAAAAACAATGTGAATCCAGTTTAAATGAATAAAATTTCACATTTGCAATATTCCATTCATATTTATTTAATAAGACAAAAAAACTGAACTACTGAACACCGCCGAGCTGATTGAAGTTACCTTCAACTAAGGTTGACCATCGGAATGGGATGCTGTCAAATTTTACTTAAATTTCGATAAATAAGTGGAGATTTTAAAATTAAAACATAAAAACTTATAGGCAAAATATATGACTGCTGGTTGCAGGGTAGATTTACGAATGCGCCTTTCGAAATGGTCGCTCCACATGAGAACTTTTATTTCGTTATTTTGACGCCACCGGTTCAATAATTTTAGCATTTTTTTTTGTATAATGCCGATATGAAAAAACTTGGAATAATTCAAACAACTATTTATTTTGGTTGATTATTGGAAACAATTGATGAATAATTAAACTTTTGCTAATTTTCTAGGGCTCTACACGATCAGATAGACTTCTCAAGATATTCAATCCTAGATCACATCCTTATCATATCGAAGTGTAAAAGCCACCGAATCAGAGTGGTTCTAGGATCGGGAGATTTCGTCCACTCAAATACATGAATGCATCAATCCAATTATGATATATTTCTAGAGAATAAGAAGCAAGAACTCTCAGGAATGTTTAATTATTCACAATGAAAAAAAAACATATTAAAGGCGTTTCGTATTAGATGACTTGTGTTCAGGCCAGCTCTGGCTTCAGCGGATCGAAAGTATTTTTCTCATGCTCGGTAAAAACAAACCGAAATTACAAAGCTTTATCAAATAATAAATGATTCGCATATCCAAACTTTTCAATAAAATTAATTTTAAGAAAATTCTATTATCACCCAAATCTACTTTTGTGTAGCTATTCGTTTATTTTTTTGAAATTTTCATATACAATTTTTGAAAAAATTGTTGCTGTTTAATCTCAAAAGGTTCATTTCTGTGGTCGATAGTGCGTTTTCGCAATTTTTGAACCAAAAATAACTTGACTCATTAAGTGATTCGCACTTATAACTTGCACCGTTTTTTTCTAATTTATTCGGAAATAAACGCCGAATTTTTTCTCAGCCTTTACATTTCTCAGTCCCCTTTTCCAATAATCTATTGAATCAGAAAACCACTTCATCGCGAAATCCCTTATTTTTTTTGTAATACATCAAAGTACAAAACCTGGCATGAATAGTCGAAAAGCGAATGTACTCGATCCGCTCTCAATTTTGTTTGAAATACTATCAAAATTGAAGAGGGCGGAGAGCGCAGAAGTGCAACATCTGAAAATGATGCACTTTTTTGTTTTATGGTACGAGTGGCGAAACCTTGATCTTGGAAACAAGGACGAGTCAGGTTTTGAAATAATCTTGATTAAAAAAAAATACTGTATTTATGGGCACTAATGAAAGTTTCAATTTAAGTTTTAACAGGATAAATCATCCGAAATGCTATCATCTGAATATTTATTCAACATTAATTTAAACCTTTTCCATTTATTTTCTCAATAATTTTTTTAAAGATTTCATCAAATATCTTTCACTAGTATTTTCGTTTAAATCTAATCTTATGCGCCTTTAAACATTTATCCAAAAATTGATGTTGTTTTCTAATATTTACATTTGTGCGAAAATTGTTGACCACTTCGTTTCGAGTCGCCGAAAAATTGACTTTGGGCGCTACCGTACTCGCTACATCCAATCACCCGTTTCCACAATACCCGCCCCAATTCGTACACTTAAATAGTACACTGAAAGTGCAAGCGGAGGTCTCGACGCGATTCGAAGAGGAATGCACTCTGTTTGTGATTCACGTGAACAAAATCAACACTGGTGTGGACTTCCTCGCATCGGAATTTTTGATTTCTCATCAACGAGCCCTTTTTTTTCGCGAGTTCAAACATCGACTTTCTCTGAATACAAATAATCGTTGGCTATTAGCATATTTTTGTGTGCAGTCGAATTATCACAAGAGGAATGAGATATGCCAGCCATTATAGGTGCTCTTGCCAACAATTCCGTTCAAAAAATGAAAATCCTTGACGAAAACTTAACAAATTTTCATATCGACAAATACCGAATTCATTAGGAAATTTTTTCACGCACGGTTGTAAAAAACAGCCCCCCATCTGATTCGGTACTGACAATGAGAAGCCGGTGTCGAGATGGGGTCCTTTCAGACCCTTGTTTGAATTGCCACCCGTTAGAAACAACCATCGACGACACCCAATCGATTGTGGCGTATCCCGGAAAATGTCGGCAGATGCTTATAAAAATTATTTATTTTGTATTTTATCAAAAATGTAACCCTTGGACACTGGAATTTTGACTCCTCTGCCTCAACGTATTGCGGAAAACGTCAAGCGCCGCTTCTCTCTCCTGCTGCGCTCTTCTTTTCACCACACTTTTCCTCTGCGACGGACGTGCCGTCGATAGCTCACACAGGCAAAACGCGACGGATGAAATCCGGGCGAATCACGGTCCGTTATTGACCGTTCCAGCGTGTCGCTGACGTACCGGACACGGACGTCTTAGCGTATCCGGGAACGGACCGTGATTCGCCCGGTGGCGTTTTTCACATGCTTTTTTTTCTTCCGTTCGTATAATAATCAAAATTAAAATTGAAATCATATAGACAGCATTATTATAAAAGTTTTATTTAAGAAAAATCGAAAAAAAAATTATTTACGAATCGCAATCGCTATATTCGTTTTGAATTTAATCGTATTCGATTGTAAAATGATTAATTCGTATTCGATACGAAAGAGTCAATTTTTTGTTTCACAATCAAATACATTAAAATTCGAAATGAATACACCGAGTTTCGCACCAAATACGAGTACATTCGGGTTTTTCCAAAGAGTAATCGAGTACCACAAATTTCAAACTTAATTTTCGATCAAGTTTGTATCCGAAATTTGTTGTATTCGATTCGAATCGAATTACTAGAACAAAAATAATTCTAAAACAAAAAAAAAATATTTGCACATTCCATTTGCACACGCGTGTTCTACCTGGATTGGAACATTTCCATTAACTCTTCGATTTTGGCGGTTTTTCCGCGTCGTTTATCATCGCTGAAACACAGTATATAGCATATATATAACATTCGCGTTGCTCACTTACATGAAGTTTCTTGTCATTTCTCGTATATGAGAAACGACGACGGTTTCTTCCCACCCTTCACTTTTTATATCGAAGCCTCGGTGTAATATTTCTGAAAAAAAGCATAGTTTTTACCATTCAATTTCTCATTGGCCAATATGGACTAGGCGCAAGTTTTTAGCCGGTCAATGTTACTTCAAATCTACTTACTTCCAAGAATTTCGAAGAACTTGTCCGGTATTTTGGGATATTTCGTTCGTTTCGTTGACGAAGCGGCCGAATAAATTACAAAGCCTTTTGAGCCTTTTGCATCTCGCCTGTTGGTATGTCTCTCCATTCAGATTGTGATGCTTGTTTGTCCCATTTTTTATTTCGCTTCTTATCCGATGAATATCTGTCCAGTACTCCTCCACTATCTCCGAGAGTTGCTGAATTCCTCCAATTCTAACATATTTAATTATAGTTCCACAACTGAAAACCCAAACAATAGATAAAAAGTGCCCAACGTCTATACCATTTTGCGAACATATTATTTGTTTCTTTCCCACAACTATTGCACACATAGTGCGCGTTATAAATAGTCATATTGTTCTTCCATAGCTGGAAGCTTTGCCGACGGAATGTTAAATCTTTATGAGAAGAAAGGAATCTCTTGAAATCTGTAATTGCCTCTTTACTTCTTCGTAATTTTTTCCTATTTACCCGCATCGGTACTTCGAGCTATGCACGCTGAAGTTACGAATGTCAAAACTTCGTCCGACACATTCGCTAAATACTGCGCCAAGTCTATTCGAAAATGGCGATTAGTATTAAGACAAATTACCTACCGCTGTGGGGACAATCTTCTGAAGATTTCTCATCGTTTTCCTCAACATCGTTTTCCTCAACATCGTTTTCCTCAACTTCGTCACAATTCACATCCCATTGAAACATTTCTTCCTCTTCATCGATGTCTATATTGAGCGACTCAGAAAGTTGAACATCAATCGGTTCAGATAAGTTTTCTTCACTTGAAGAAGATACTTCTCTTGATCCTATTGTAGTAAAAGAGAGTATAGCAAATAGTTATGCAATTTTAACATACTTTTTGTTGGTAAAGATGGTAGAAATCTTCGATATGACCGTCCCATGACTGAAATCGTAGTCTTTATCAAAACTTGAACGAAAATTGGGAAATTTTTGTATTTATTTAAATGACCTAATGACCCATTTACAATCTGAAAAAACAATTTCAAAGGAACACTATTCATTTTTCAACTACAATGGAATAAAACAGTAACTTTTCCAAATAATGATACGGTATTGGAACCGTTAAACAAGTCGAGTAAACCTCAAACTTGGGTAATTAAACCTTCATTATTGAACGAAAACGAACAAAATGTTAACAAAGCGATACAAACTAATAACAAACTTGATGATACTAAATATGGTGGATGGTGGGCTTGGGGAAACAACTTAATAAACTGAAATAATACGACTAAAAGCATAAGTAATTGACTAAATCGGTGTTTACGATTGGGGACTTGCATTTAAATAAAGGTGAACTTCGGCCGCGGCCCTCTTTTTGCTGGACATTGCCCGATGGCATGATGGCGTGCGTCTCTTCATTTCGCACTCTCTCTCTCGCCCACCGCCTCATCGTCTCGCCCACTCTCCCATTTCCACATTATCTCTACATTACAAAACAACGAATATAAATATGGAGCGGAACAGTTAGAACGCATAACGGTGAATCGACAGCAGCGAACTTAGACACATCGATCTTAGGAAAGGAAGTCTCGAGCCGTGCTATGGTTACCGCATCGGTATCGGGCAACCTGCAACAAGAAAATTTAATTATCAGCCATCGGTCGCCACAGCTTCCAGTGAAGCCGTTATATTAAATATTAATTAACTTTTGTGTCGTAACGTTTCAGCCAGGAAGTGTCGATCAGTAAATAGTCCTTTGTTTGTCGGTGACATTTTCACTCGAAAAAAATTGTCACGTAATTGGTCCGTTTTTTGTCTGTGATGCCTTTCAAAGAAATATTTCGTCCGTACTTAATCCGTTTTTTAGCCGTGGCGTTTCATACTGAAAATCAAGATCCGTAATTAACACGTTTTAAAAACGTGGCCAATAAATCTCCGGACTTTGTCCGTTTTTTGTCCGTGATGCCTTTCAAAGAAATTTTTGGTCCGTACTTGGCCCGTTTTTTAGCCGTGGCGTTTTATCCTGAAAATCAAGATCCGTAATTAACACGTTTTAAAAACGTGGCCTATAAATCTCCGGACTTTGTCCGTTTTTTTACCGCGGCGTTTTTCAAAGAAATTTTTGGTCCGTACTTGGCCCGTTTTTTAGCCGTGACGTTCAAATATCCGGACTTCGCCCGGACTTCATCCGTCGCGTTTTGCCTGTGCAGTTGGTAGAGCGGAGGACTGTAGATTTGTGGGCATCCTTAGGTCGCTGGTTCGAATCCGGCTCGACGGAATCGCTTTTTGCTGTCGACCAAAGAATAGTGGCCCCACAGCTGATTTTGCCCTTTTCACTCGCCCCTCTACTCCGATTCCCCGCCCTTTTGCACTTTTAGACACGCACAGAAAAAGAGTACTCGCCTTTTGCCCGTCGTCTGCATCGCCTTCATCGTTTCCAACAACCCTCCGTCTGGACCGCTCGAATTTGCTGTATAGTACTACAATTTTTTTGGAGGGACGGCCGGACGGAAAGTATGCCATTCTATATTCAGACGCCACCGCTGACGCCGGCCACGATTGTACCAGCGTCAGCTCACTCGAATCTACTCAGCGGCTCACAGCGTGACAACCATCTCGTCTCCGACGCCGAAGAGGAGATCGTTGTCGACGATCTTCCGCCGCTTCGGCCGTTCCGCCCACTTGCTGAAATTCAGAAGACGTACAGCGATTCGAATCTTCGCAAGTCGAGCATTCGCACACCGCAGCCGATTCGACCGAGCTCGACACTCTTCAATCCCAATCTCACCGTTCAGGCGTTTCTTCAGTTGCATCGTAATCCGACGACGACGACGACGATGATGGTGTCGCCATCAGTGCCAAGTTGCCTATCCAAACTTTTAATAGAGGTTAGTTCTTTTTTTATTTGAAAATGTTTCAACCTGTAATCCAAAGACGGGATTCAATGCTCTAATAGCTTCCAAAATAAGAATCTTATTAAAAAATTATTTTTTTGAAAATTGCTTTCCTATTAAAAATCCACCAGTGTTTTTATTTTCCTTTTTCATAATTTTCTGAGCTCTTCCTGCTTAGTTCGATTCGATTTCATCGTCCGCAGCTGTAAGCTTATAACATGATTACATTCTTCGAATTTTATAGCTCTAATATATATTTGATGTTTACTGAAAACTCACGTTTCTCTAATTAATTCCACTTTAAGCCTATTCAATCTCTCATCTTCATTTTAAATAATCTTATTGATCTTTTATTTTTGTTTTTATTTTTTCGCATATTTCTCTTCTTCGTCATCATCGGTGCCCCTCGTTTCTGAAAGAATATCCGTATCCTACTGTACACAAACCGGTGGAATAAATAAACAGACGTCGGATTTCTTGCGACGAAATTGTATGCACATCACACGCAAAAGTTCATTCGGGCATGGAAAAATATTCCAATTTGGTGCATTGACTCGAATTTCATTCTGAAATTTGTTTTGGAATTCGGAATTGAGAAGGGCTGAACAAATGATTGTAAACCTGAAAATTATTTAGCCTAGAAATTGAAATTTTAGAATCGTATCGGGACCATCATTATATGCTTGTCAAAGCGTCCCATGCGCCAATAAGCTTGCGGGGTTTAACATAAGCTTGTTCTGATTATTTCAAAGTGTATTCAATATCATCATTTTCGGATATAATTTCAATTCGTCGAACAACACCCAACAAAAATGTTTGAAAAATAAAAAAAGCCGAAGTGTGACATAGGTCTCTCTCTCTCTCTCTCTCAACGACAAAATACTGAAAGCCGATTGTTTCATTAATCAACTACCCGTTGCTTCAATGAAGGCTTCCGAGAATGGTGTCAAATGAAATTACAGTTTACTTGGCAATATTTTTCAGACAATTCAAACCTACCGTATTCCTCAATTTCATATATTCCCGACGACATCACATTCAAATACTTTTATTAAGAACAAAAATTTTAAAAATTTTCGTTATCTTTCTCCTCGTTTAAAGCATTTCTAACACTAAAAACGCATTGGTTTCCCAATTGAATAACTCCAAATTAGGATAACACCTCAACTAAACATTGTGTATTTTGTGAGCTCATCAAAAATCGGACCCGTTCGTTTTTTTTTTCTACAAATGCTTAAAATCATACGCTCGCGCACATATTTGCGCATTTTGTTGCTTGTTTTCCCATTCTTTTTTTGTTTTATTTTTATTTTTTGTTTTCTTCGTCACTCTCGATAGCTGCGTCTCGCGCAAAATATTGACAAATTTTGGGAGGCGCAGAGCACCGAATGGGAGGGGGAGGGGAGGGAAGGGGAGGGGAAAAGGGGGGGGGACGCCAAAGGGGTGGGCTTGGTTTTCAGCCAAAAACACCGTTCGAAAACAACAACAACATAGCATCATAACAGACAACACAAGACAACAAAAATTGGAGAGAAACAGAACGGCTGGAGACCGCCGGCTACTCACGAGTTACTTTTTTCTGTGTTGAAATCGAACAACAACATCAACATTCATTTTTTTTTCATTTCGAGTCACCCATTTAGAGCAATTATTGATCGATTTTCAGTTCGACCAAAATTTTGCGCAATTCTCATACCAAATAGAATGGTGAGTTCACGCCGGAATCGAACATTCAAATTTCACCGTTTTCGAATAAAACTTATTCTGAAATTATCAGAACTAAACATATTTTTATGAAAATGTTTCATAGTCTATTGAATTGAAAAAAATAAAGATTAAACTGACCATCGTTTTACGTCGTATATTGTGGAAAAGAAAAATATTTTTTTCTATCAAAAACTGCAATCGCGCTCCATTGAGCATTTCGATTTCAATGAATGTTAGAAATGAAAAAACGAATAAATTGAAGACCTAGACAACCTCAACTGCTCCATGATTTTGTTCTTCAAAACAATGTACAGAAATACATTTTTCATAGTCAAATATTGTACATAAATCTCATGCTGTGTCGAGAAGCTTATAGCGACATAGCATGTTATGTACTCCAGCTTCATCCTATCCAGACAATAGACATTGTTCATTGTCTTGTCCTACCCAAAAAAAAAGGAGCAAGTTTATTCCAATCATGTTTCGCTCTCCGGGGACCTCATTAAGCAGCAACTGATAATTTTCAAGCTCCGCCAATTTTGTGTTGTTCGAGCATTCGCTGTTCAACTTTCCATTTAACATATGTATTCATTGCCTTGATTGTCAATTGCAAAATTTTTGCGAATAGTACAATCGTTTCACGAAATTGTATGTTGGCTTGACGGGGAACTGATTTACCGCCGTGATAGTCGAAAGTTGATGAGCCGTCGAAATAGAAAAGTGCGTGCAAACAAAAGAAATGGTAGATAAGAGAGATGACGAGATGGCGGCTACGGTATGCGCAATTTTAAAGGCGCGTGTCAATTGTACACATATTGCAATATTATCGATAGACATCTAATCAAGTGTCTATCAAGCTTTCACAAAATAAACAATTCGATGGACGGCGCTCGCTGAAACAAACCGATAACCGGGGGCCCGTCTTTATTCGACAAATTCGTCTGTCTGGACTCGATAAAGTGCACCATACAAGGGCGTCCGTTTTTAGTGTAGTCGACGATTTTGAGGTTTTCCATTTTTTTGTTGAGTTTGTCCTTATCATTCATATCAATCATAATGTTTGGTCTGCTATTTACTCTGACCTTGGTTCAACAAAAATTGTTTTTTTGATTTATATTTATGAGCGAATTCTTCAAGAATCTGAAGTCCGCGGCGTTTTTCGCTTGAAAATGAAAACGGTAAGAGTCAGAGTAACAATGCAAGTTTAAGCAAACTCTACATGTTTCCTTGTAATTTTTATTTTATTTTCGTTTTGTTCGACGTTATAAATGCCACGTGATGAGCATCTTGTGAGCTAGAATATGTTTATTCTTTTGATTATCAACTGAATCTTCTTTTTTTTTTAGATTTTCTTTTTTTAGAGAGAAAATACAGTATTTTATTAAAATAACGTAAATGAAGTCAAAAATTTCTCAAAATACTTTGAGATAATTTTTCAAATCATTTTCGCAAAGAGTGGAAATCAGATAATAATTCTGAGAAATTTTGCAAAGTCTGAAACCACTGTAGTTTATTTTTAGTCTCAAATGAGTAATCCCCGTAATGAAACCCTGTTTCAGACTCGCAAATCCACTCACTTGTTGTTCATTTGTTTTAAATAAATTATACAAGGCCGGCTTAAAATTTTCTCATTCTTATATTACTGTAAGAGCAGAAAATTGTTTAATAGCGGTGTCAAAAAAAAATGATCTGAATAATAAAAGAAGGTATTGTATGGATACTTCGATTCGCTTATTTTTTTCGAGTTTCTTTGCATTTCGAAATGCCTTACCTCAATTCCACCGATTTATCCGATTTCATCATCACCACCAAACTTAGTTCGTCGTCTTTTCCAAACATTCGACGGGATTCGCCAACAATTCTCAAGGTCTTTTCACATTCTCTTGTTGAAATTCCTACTGTAATCCAATCGGAGTGAACCCGACAAATCAATGTAGACATTGGCTGTGTGGGGGCATCAGCTGTTCTCTCGCGTCTACGATTCAGCGAACATTTCGCTTTCGAATTGTTTCGAAAATTTCGCGATTCGAATCGTTGCCGCCTCTTCAGCGTGTCTGCGCATCTTCGTCTCCAACACTTTTCAGTGTCCGGCTTTCTGGGTCATGATACGAAATACACGAGAATGACAATATGTTGTGGCTTAAGCCAATTCGCTTTTCCTCCGCCAAAAATCTTTCGTCGATGTTGTTGTTTGATTTGTCTTGAAATTGATCATCTCCATCATTTTTTCGCATCCAGATATTCTCGTCTGACCTATTAAAATCCGCGACCGCCCGCTTGGAAAAACATTCATCTTCTAGTTCTTTTTTTTTCTTATTTTGTCATGTTCCGATTGTTCACATGAGACAACAACAAACACAACAAATAACTGCTGTTTGAAAGATTCCACAAATTGATTCTAAACATGTGATTTCTTTTGAGGTGATGATTCTCTTTGACGGGTCTCGCCGCGAAATTTCTATTATTCCTCATGAAATACGTGAAACGGCTTAATTTTTAAAACGATGTGTTGTTCGGCAAAGTGCAATTTCGGAAGATTAAAAATGTTTTTTTTTCAATCCCGTCTCCGTGTTTTCTTTTCTTATTTGCATCCTTGTTCGGGATACGGTATCTCCAACAAACATCCGTCTCCTCTCATCATTATCATTATCCTTTTTTGATTCTTAAAAAAGTGATAACGCCTACAGTAACGGATTCCAATCGTCGTCGTCATCAGCAAGGTTTTTGCGTTGAATCGTACCCGGCGATTGCAACTTGATTCCTTGTTGATTTTACGACGTCAGTCACCCAGCAATTTTTTTATTCGTCTTGTGTGTTTCCTTACAAGTCAGATCCTCCGGTACACAAATTTTGTAGTCAAATCTCCCTCAAATGCAATTCGACGTCGAAATTTCGATTTTGAGACCCCCCGAAGAAATTCCAAACTTCCTGATTAGTCTTTCATTTTACGTGAATGGCGTGATCCGAAAGAGAAAGTCATGTTGATAATCATAACTGAGAAATTTAACTGTCATTACTATGTATAGGCAAGGTCATGTGAATATCATTGTTTCAAACTGATAAGCTCGAATATCACATATTTGCCAAAATATAAACACATCTTCTTCATTTGTGTACGTTTCACTGATTATTTATTATAAATGACAATTAATTGTCACAATTAGCTTCATTATTTCCCATACGAAAAACCATTTAGGAAATCAGAGCCCATATTCATTATTGTGGTCAAATATGTATTTCTCTTTTTGTTTTAACATCATAACGTTTGAAAGAAAAGCCAAAATGTATTACTGTAGACTAAAGGCGCATCAAAATCATGAATTTTGGAAAGCAAAAATATTTGTAGGTTGGAGTAATCTGGCGGATCATTAATCTATGATTCATTCAGCCAAAAAAAAATTAGATTCTAATCGGAATTTCGATTGTTGAGACGGTTCGAAAAAATTCGGAAAATCCGCAAAGCTGATGAATTCAATACCGATTAGATTTGATCGCACGTTTTTTTCACACATTTCTTAATTATGTGATTATAAGAAGTGATCATTTGATCTTCGTCCAGACGAAACTTGTAAATAAACACAAGTTTTGAAACTGAATGCAAACCGTCGATGACAGGTGATCGCGCACAAGGACAGTCGAGAAACACGCTCCCCGATTTACCGTGTCTGTGTGTGAGTGTTGTTGTTGTTGTTGTTTTTTTTTGCCTTCTTATTGGTGGCACCCAGCACAGCGCAGCCATCTCGTGTGCTACCTGCGAACTACCGACCGCCTGGTGCACTTTCGAGGCGCCCGTTTTCACAGACGCTTTTTTTGTCGTCGTCGTCGTTTTTGTTTTTGTTGTTGTTGACCGATTCGAAAATACCTCAAACGCACTGCGTGTTTGCACTTTTCGACAATTTTGGGCGCGAAAAAACGACGGAATTTGATGCTCGAGAAAAAATATAAGCAAGCACACCTCACATGCTTCTTCTTCTTCTTCTTCTTCTTCAATGGCGACGACGATGATATCAGATAGACAACATTTTCAGATGATCTAACAAGTAATTTTAGCGGATGATTTCGTTAAATCCCGCACTATAATTATGAGTGGCAATTTTCGTGAAATTCCACGTGAATTCGGCCTCCCCATTTCAAAATTTTTTCGACAAAATCATATCAACTAAATTAGATTGTCTTTGAATAATTCATGCGTCTTTTTTCAAGTGACTACTCTACATAATGTGACTTCAATACGTATAATCATTGTTTCGATGCAAAAAAAAAATTCAAAATAATATGATATAATAAAAGAAACCACCTGCTGTCTACTGCATTAACAATAAAATATAAATTTCTAAAGAACAAGAGATTAAAAAATTCACCAGACATATGGCTCTCGCAAGGTCAAACTCGTCTCGAAAAAATTTTTGACGACACATGTTTGCACCTTATGTCAGTTTGCGTAATTAGGAGATAATTACCGAACTTTTCTTATATTTTCGGTCTGTTTTAGGAATTTCTGTGAAATTGAGGTGCCCATGTGATCCTCTGATATTGATAACGTGATTGGTCCGATCAGGCAGCTTTCGATTTCGATAAGTGTAATGGGGGGCCGCGTGATTTAAAATGGTCGAAATCGCGAGAAAATTAGCCTCGAGCCAAATTGTGGCTCATGCTCCCTCAAACTTGATCTTGTATTTGAGCTCGAACGCGAATCGTCCGATTGATTTATTGGTGTTATTGTTAGCAGAATCGCATCCTCTGCAACATCTCGGCGACCTTTCCTCGATTGTTTGTGTTTGTCTCTCCGCCCTTCCCATCTCTATCAGAGGGGTCCCCCCCCCCAAACACACCGAAAAAAATAAATCGAGAGAATAGCAATGAGAATGGAGAGAGCACGCGACGTGTGCTCCGTTGTTGGGTAATCGGGAGCGGTGAGAGATCGACGAGATCCGAGAGACATCCGAACAGAATGTTTGTCTACGACCCCGAGAGACCTCGGGTACCTGTTGACAAACAAAACGCAACAATCATTGAGACCCCCCCCTTCACCCCGTCCCCTTATTCTCCATCTAGCACTGACTCAGAATCTCATGACATTTTTTTTTCTTTTTCGAGAATATTTCCTCCAGTTTACTGTACCTACAGTAACCCTCTTATCATAAGCAATCACTTGATTCTTTCACAAATTTTCATATTCTCCCATGTTTCTTGCAAAGATCTCCATCATCTAATTCGATTCTCTTTCATATTAAAAAAAAACCTGGAAATTTTAATCTGTCGGCTCAATTCTGTAAAATTCGGTTTTTTTTAATTTTCCCAATTTTCTAAAAAAAATATGCACTTGTAGAACCGAGAAAAAAAATGTATTGAGCGGTTCACAACCGTTCAATCATTACAAAAAAGTAGGAAGTGGTGTTTCCCATGTAAACCAAAAGAGAACAAAGGGAATTCGGAAAATAGGTAAGCAGACAAAACGCGTCGACCTCAAAACTCGCGTTTAAAAAGTGCAAACTTGCGTCTCTTTTCACATGCAACTATGTGAATGTGCGTGTTTTTTTTGCTGCTGCGTGTTTGCCTCCTCCCACTCACAACTCGTCTGTCCGAAACCGCACCGGCCATATTTCAAAGTTCGACGGGCAAAAATCCAACCTTGTCTGGGGTCCGATGACGATGGCGCGACCGCCCGTCTGCTCGTGTCCTTTCGCGCCACCGCATCACAATAGGGCATTTTTTTTTGAGAGCTTGACCCTATCTCAATGTATATTTATTTGTTCAAATTTCTCTATAACCCCCCCCCCCAATTCCCCCAGACACCAATATCTATATATGCACACACATACATATATAAATATAAATATATACACAATTATTTATTTATTTATTTTGTCTCTGTCGCGAGACGCGCGGCACAGCAGCGCCGCCGATGTCTACTACACCAAAATGAGGGGCGAGAGTCTCGAATTTTGGGGTGTCTCTCATTCGTAATTACATACGTGTACTTTGAAATTGGGTGGGCGGAGCGTCGAGCGATATTTCGCCAATAAAGATTGTTGTAATTCGCATTAAGTAGTCATTTTCGTGGAGCCCATTAATCCGCCCTTGTGATTTTTTGTTGCTCTTCGTTTATCCACCCGAGTTTGTCTCATCGCTTTTCCGTTTCAAACGTTTATTATTATGTTTATGTGGGGTTTCACTCTGACTAATCTTTTTTACGTGCTGATGATGTTAGATTGTAAGAAGAAGGTGGGATCGGATTAGCATATTTGTTCTTTTTGATTTGTTTCATTGTGCTTCCGCAACTCTTTAGGATTTCAACCGTATTTGCGCCGAAATCAGCGGATGATAAATAGAAATTCTGTCTACAGTAACCGGGTACGCAAGCAAACTCACGCAATAATGCACCATCCACTTTATTTTATTTTTTTTTGCAAGTGGGCCTATTTTTCAAAATTTCGCGGAAACGTGACTCTTTTAAATCAAAATTATTTATTAGCGTGTTAATATCAACTTATATATCGTTTGTTGTAAGAAAATCAATTTCGGAATCCTAAATCGCTATTTTCCATCGATTTGAATTTGTCAAACATTGTCATCTATTCCCAACGTGCAATGTCATGAGTGAATTATATTTTCTGAAAACATTGATGGAACAATATGTTATTTTATGTTATGTTTTGTTTCAAATCTCCGGAATTATGCCTTTTTTCGTGTTTCCGAGGACGACTCATTCTTTCCGCACAATTTAATTGATTAGTAATCATCCTTTCCCGAAATAGGCCTGTTTTCTTCAATCTTTTAATATTTCCGAAGCATTATATGTTTTGTTTTGCTGCACATTTCCCATGTTTCAAACATTTTTGCCATGCCAGACACTATAATTAAAACTGGTAAAATATAAGGTGTGACAATTAGAGTTTTAAACTCGATTTATTAAATAATCCAAATTTGTCGCAACTTTTATGATTAATCTCATTTGTTTCATTACAGGAAGACGGCGGAACCGCGCAATCACCCGCGTCAACCGCAATACCGCATACAGAAGCAGTAACATTGCCGATGCTCTCTTCCGAATCGCATCCACGCCCGACAGCAGCGCCATCATCGAGCACAGTCGACAATTCGCTCGTTTCTTCAACTTCTACGAATCCAAATGCCCATTTCAACGACAACATCCTGATGCTCGCTCTACAGGAGAGAATCTGCAACCAGGTAAGTAAAGTGAACCAGCTAACCCTTAGCTGTCAACAAAAAAAAAACAACAAATCAACACCAACAACAACAGACTTGTAAACAACAAATGCGTAAACAAATTCTCTCAATTCTTCTCAATATTTGTTGTGTTTACGCGTATTCTTCTCATCCTTCTATTCTGATCGTCGTGATCATCCACAATAGTATTGGCTTGTAAGTAAAAGGACGAAAAACCGTGATACGGCACTATGTAATTAATATATTTTAAAACGACTAAGCTATTGAAATTCTCTTTGATTAAAAATGAAAAATATTTTCTTGAAGAGACTTTACAATTATCTTTGACCTGCATTTCACAAAAAAAGAAATACGAAAAAGAATAACGAACGAGAAGCGAAAACAACAACAACAACGACAACAACAACAGCGTAAACAAAATGTCTCTAGAATATTTAGTCTATTTCGTTGTTGTTTACGCGCTGTTTTCTTCGTTTCTTCTTTTTCTTCTTCGTCGTCTTCTTCTTCCTTCTTTCACCGAAATGCATTCAGACGCATTGCCAAATTCCTGTTAGTCTGACTTGACGTGTCGCTTATTAATTTTTTTTCTGTCTGCGGGTAATCAGTTTATACATATCCAATTGTCGGTTCGACAATTTACTGAAAACCACAAATCAGAATTTTGGAGATCAAATTGAGAAATATTGCAGATGCGGCCTCAGCAACAGGCGGCGCTCACTCAATCAGCAACTACGCCTTCGTTGACACAACTCGCAGCTTCTTCTCCCGTTGGAAATACCGACACCACTCGTCTGATTCAGCAGATGTTCCTGAGTCAGATGCTTATACCACAGTTACCTGCAGCTCTTGATCTCGCATCCACTATCAATTCGGTCTCGTCGATATCGATGCCGTTGACGACCAACGTGTCGACATCCTATAGTAACTCACAACATGCGTTGTGGCATCACAACATGTGTAGCTGGCCGAACTGCGGACATCCGTGCGATTCAATATCCGCCCTTCTTGTGCATTTACAACAGGATCATCCGTTCAATGAAAAGTTTTTCGATATTCCAAAGTTAATGTGGAATCCTGTTTTTTCAGAAGCAATGATGATCTGAAGGCTCAAATTGAAAAAGTTGATAATTTGGATCATCGGTTAACGATTGAACGGAACAGACTTCAAGCAATGATGCATCATCTACGCTTGAAACCGTCTCCTGATACGACAACGCCGAATGTCGTCAAACTGGAAACGAGCTCGCCGTTGTGTTCGCCGAATATTGATACGCTCGGAGTTCAGCAACAAGTTGCCACCCAGAATTCGCCAGTCTTGCAGACACAGGTAAAACAAAAATTAATTATTTGTTTTGAATACCGTATATTTATCAAAACATATTTGTTAGGATAAGCTGAATTAAAGGATTAAATTGACGAAAATATCGTTATGAATTCCGTGAAAATCCCCCGTTTTTATTTTATTCGCTTGCTTTTTTGGGCTTTGGGTTTTTAAAAATTTCCGAATTATCCGAAAATTTAGTGGGCCACAGTATTGCACTTTTGTTTGTGTGTGTGTGTATGTTTGTTGATGAGCATCATCATTCGTTCGGTTGCGTTATTTGGCGGAGGCGGCCGCCGTGGTCGGCCACCCGTCGATTGTTTGTTTTCGAAAACGATTTGTTTACATGCCGAGGTAGAGGACGTCTCTTTTCCCTCTTTGCATCCAATCGATAGTGCAGATAAACACAAACGCACTAGCGTATACAAACAAAAACGCAAAAAGGACGGGCGACTCCACCTCTTCCATTCGTCAACATTTTGCTTACTCCCATTTTCGAAATTAGAAACGAAAAGCCACGAGTGGTGTCTGATTTCGAAATTCGGTATGAGGGAGACTGAGCTGAAATATGGGGGGAATAGAACGAGTTTTGAAAACGTTGTGACAATCTGCACATTTCCTCGATAAATTATTTTTTGCTCTCGAGGAGGGGGTTTAATTAAATATTCAGAAGCCGTCACTGTTTTTGTTTTTGTTGTTATTGTTGTCATCTTTTTTTTGGTTTAATTTCTTCGAGCAGAACACGAAAACAGAAAATAAGAAAACTTCCGTTTTTTTTCGCGGTTGTTGTTATTTTGAAGCTGTTTGTTAATATGAGAACACTATAAGAATGATTATCCATGATTTTGTCAACTCAAGAAAACATTTTCGATAGAAGAAAAAACTAGACAGAATTGTTCCGATGAAGTATCAAAAGCTCAACGCAATGAAGCACTTATGTGAAACGCGGGGTTTTTCGTTTCCAAAATTAGATTTTACAATATTCATATTATAATTTAAAAAAAAACAGAATTCTTTTAGTTGAATCGGTTTCAGACGAGTGTGCCCGCATCAATGGATAGTGCGTCCTCACTTCTTGGAATGGCTGTTGCTTCTGCGGCGGCATCGTCATCAGCAAGCACTCCTCCACAGTTGCCGTCATCAAGCAACGTGATTTCAACCTCATTCGGCTCCCACAGCGTGCAAGGTAATTAGTGAACGGAAATACCAAAATCGACGAGAATTGCCACCTGCGTTTATGTCTAGTCATTTTTTTCTAACTTTTCAGGTCCAAGCAGTACAGCTGGTTTAAGCATGAAAAGATCAGGATCTTCGGAAACTTCGCCGAATCCCGATTCGAAACCATCAGCCCCGCGGCGAAGTCGAATATCGGACAAGACGGTTCAGCCTATTGCCACCGACATTGCAAAGAATCGGTAATAATGAACCAAAAGATAATCGGGGTTTCAAGATATCGTTTCTTACAGCGATTATTACCGTAACAACGATGTTCGGCCACCGTACACCTACGCTTCACTGATACGACAGGCAATCATGGAGTCACCGGAGTGTCAGCTGACACTCAACGAGATCTACAATTGGTTCACGGACACGTTTGCGTATTTTCGCCGAAACGCAGCCACGTGGAAGGTGGGAATTCTCTTCATTTCGTCGAAGAAAAATTGCAAGAAACCAGCCAAAAATTGAGAGGAGAGACGCCAATGTCTGTTGGTGTCGAGAAGAACGGCAATTCGGCGTCCGTCATATGACAAAAAGTGCAACAAAACATGCCGAGTGAGCGCACCACAGACAGACATGGCATCAGCTGAGGCAAAAAATGCTTTTTTTTTTCAGCGTTGGCCATCGGCGTCACTCTAGGCGAAAGTGCACTGCGCGATCGTCTCTTTTGACATTTTCTTCTAGTTTTCTTGGTGTTTTTTTTTCGCGGAGAGGGAATTTTTGAAGAGTCATGAGCCGGAAATGCTGACGCATTTAAATTAATGAGAGCCTACTTTGAAGATGTGTGGGGAATTCTGACTAATCAATCGAGCAAATAAGGAATCACATTTGGAACAATGAATTATTTTCAGAACGCGGTTCGACACAATCTCTCACTCCATAAATGCTTCCAACGTGTCGAACAGAATGTGAAGGGTGCTGTTTGGACTGTGGATGATTCAGAATTCTACAGAAGACGTCCGAATCGCTCTTCAGCGACGAGAAGCCAACCACAGACGCCGTTACCTGACGATGTGAGTGAATTGTTGTGATTTGTGATTGGTGTTCGCTTCGCTTGTAGTTTCATATTAGGCTACTTGAGACTGCGAACCCTGAATCTCATCAACATACATGCTGAGGATCAATTTTTGAGTTTGGTCGTGATTCAGGCTTCGCAGTATATGCTTGACCCGAACGCATTGAGTCAATTATTGGAACTGCAGAACTTTGATCCGTCGTCGATTAGTGGTGATCAATTGGCGTTGAACGGCGGCCTTGATAGTGTCCTCTCCTTGTTAGGTATTAATCGAAAAAGCGAGAAGTTGCTCATTAATATTGGGTTTTCAGCTAATTCGGAGGGTCAAAATCCATTATCCCTGCTGTCTGCAGCTGCAGCAGCCAGTGAACAACATCAGCAACATCAGCAACAACAAAACTTTGCAAGTTTAAAAGATGATTCGTCAGTTAAAGAAGAGATGATGGAAATAACTACAAATGCTCTAAACGGCGTTTCGAAAGGTGAGCATTAAAGAAACAGTACGTTTGTTCGCATTTTTATTCTAGTTGGCCTTTATATTGCTACATTTTAATATTGATTCATTGTCGTTAATTGATTCGCCGATTTATAGATGTCGCCCAACCTTCGACAGCGCATCCATCTACCGAAAACACAATTTCTTCCTCGGCTGTATCTTCGTGCTGATTCTCGTTACGGATGATTGCCTTATAGTAAATTATATAGCATTGTGCATCAGAATCTCATACTTTGGCCAGTTTTTAGGGTATTTATTCATACAATCAAATTCGTATATTATCATCATCTAAGCATGACGGATTCTTTCACTAGGATATTCAATGATGTTCTCATTTGCTTGGGAGTTGTGCATTTTTCTTCCTGTCTCAGTTTGCTCTACTATCGATTCGATCTGAATTCCACAATATCTTTTTCGTCTTGTTCTCCAGAAACCAGGGTTCTACATATATTTTTTTCCCAAAATATTCGCATCGCCAGAGTTTATCACATTTGATTGTTGTTGTTGTCGTCGTTTTCCGCTCGTTTTACCTCAGCAACTCCACTATTTTTTTCATATTCTCCATTAATTTTTTTTACTCATTGTTCACCCATTTGTAATTTTGTGATACAAACTCAGAATTTTCTTTTTTCATTTTGCTTTGTTTTCTTCATCCTAATGATTTAAGTAGAAAACTCTGAGTACTCATGTTGTACCCTCTTCGTGATTTCTCCTAGAGATTTGGTTTTTACTCAGTTTTGCAGATTTTTTTTGGTTGATAAGAATAAAATTTTGACTAAGTAATTGAAAGATTTATTATACGTACACATTATATTAAACTTTATCCGATGGATGAAGTGAGTAGAACCCTGCAAAACAAATTATTAATAATAATTTTAGCGAAAAAGGCCAATGAATTGGGAGTGGGATTTTTGAGAAAAAAAAAGTGAATTTGTCATCAGATGTTCTGTGAGGCCAATTTTCGTGCGAACGAAAACAAACAACAAGTATTCCAATAAAAAGGGATTATCACTAACACACACCTCATCATATGAGCATAAACGTCAAATGAATCACATTTTCATCACATCATCGAAATTTTAAAAAAAAGGGACCAGATTCTAACGGTTATTCTTTTTTAATTTTGCGAGTTCCCTAAAATTGAATTTCAAGTTTAACCATCATTGGATGTTTGAGAAATTGAAACTTTTGGTTTTGACTCATCATGATCCGCTAAACAATTTTCTTGTTTTCGCTCTGTGTATTGTTCAATGATTGATTAATTTCGGTGTTCAATGAGCACCTTCTTACCGTGCTCGCGTCGACTCAAACTAGCCACAGCGGGAGTGACGACCGGAATGAGACGTTCACGTTTTTCTCGCCTGTCTCGACAACTGATGCGCTCGACTGCACGTTTTTCGAATTTTTTCTGTAGTTTAATAAAAAATAATAATAAGCAAAAACTAAACTAATTACGGAATAGAATGGATGTGTCCATCGGATACTCGAATCGGCACTGAGACCACATCGCGAACAACTTTTCCATTCGCATCAATAAAATTCGTTGTGAGAACTGGACGAACTTTCAAGTTGACCCTTTCATTGCTCGCACTGGTGAACTTCTAAATCCGATGGGTTTGGATGAGTGTATGATTATCAAATGAAATGTCGACGCCTGCGCAAAATTGGCCAAATGCCAAAATACAATGAGTGGTCTCAACGCAAAACTAAAAGTGTAGATTTACGGGCCTAAGTATAGAGATTTTCTAAAAGCGCACAATGCAGATCTCTTCTTTAATTTTTGGCATTCAGCCCATTTTCCTTAGTCGTCCGACGCCGACAATATGCGAATCGTACTTGTCTAACTTCTTCTGGACTTAATTTGCTTGGTTGATTTCTGATGTTTTCAATGGGTTCGGACTCGGATGCTGGAGACGGCGACGAAGAAGCTTCAACGGGTTTCGCGGTCTAAATTTGAGCAAAATTTAGCATCAAAAACAGAGATCATCGAAAACCTTGAATGCTTTTTTGTTGGATTTCTTCAATATCAACGGCTGTGCAAAGCTAAATGCTTTTGAATTTGACGCATTCTGAATATTGGATTCATAAGGAAGAGTGGAGAGAAGAATGAGTAAAAATTACATTGGAATTCATCGCAGCCATCATTCGTGATCGCAATTGAAGATTTGGTGGAGGTTCAATTTTTTCGGTTGGCTAAAATTTTAATAATTGTCATTATTGAATTATTTATTTAAATCATTTAAATTTTCCTTTTTTTCTTCTTCATTTGCCTTTTTTGTCGCAATTTACCTCAACTTGATCAGTGCTGATTTGCTTCGCCGGTTTCAGGTTCAATCCATTTGGCGGTGGCATACAAAAAATGGTCGGAAAAACGAAAAGCGCGATGAGAATAAGCATGTCGAGAAATGATAACAATTCGAGAATGACGGATGAAAGGAATCGGCAGGACGAAACTGGATGCGGATCACTAAGGGGCTGGATCGGATCGTTAACCCTGTTGTTTGCAGGACAGCGGCCAATTCGAGAATTCTCCAAAACATGACTAGTTTAAATGGTTTTGACGAGAACTGACTCGTATTCTCATAAAAGCGAATGATTTTGCAGAATTACTAATTCACTCATAATAAGATCCCCTATATGTCGTTTATATTCTGATTCTCGTAGTCAAACAAGTAGTATAGGAAGGAGGGATTATAATACCATTTTCGACATTTCAGTCATTTCAACACATTTTCACTCTCTGAGAGCAGAGAATCACCTCATTTACCCCACTTTTTTTTTTGAAAAAAGTATGAAATGAGTCAATTTTTGAAGCACTAAAAAGTGCTTATTTTCAATTTTTAATTTTTATGCATTTTCGACCAATTTTTGGTTTGGATGTCGATTTCAATTCTCATTTTTCATTTTCATGCTTAAATACTCCAAAATGTGTCATTTTCATGCTTTTTAAAAAATTGATGGATGTCGATTTTAGAAAGGAAGTGGTATTATCTCTGAAGATAAAAAATCAGTCTATTAAATGGTGATGCTAGAAAGAAATCTGAAACCTTTAACAAATCTTGATCTCTTAGAATTAGTAGAATTACTAAAAATCAAAAATTTCCGTGGAGTTTTCATGCGACACACTTTGCCGGGTATAATAAAAGATATTTGAATAATAATCTCAACGATGCCTTCTCCCTTGTTGAATATTTGTCAAGCAGTCAAAATGAAACCATTTATTACTGTAAATCATTTAATTCTTATGAGATAACAGAACGGTGAAAACAAAAAATCATACAATTCCTATGAGATCACGAAACGAAGAGAACAACGAATCATTCAGCGGTACCAACCAATTGGTGTATTTCTTATGAGATAAAAAACGATGAGAACAATTAGGCATCGCATTTTCGCTTTTTCTCGGGTGACCCGAACTGAAACATAACAATTAACACAATTCTCTAACTGAATCAACTTACGCCAGGACCTGATACGCCAGGAATGATCTTAGAAATGCCCAAGATCAAGTCCGCGCGGATAATTTTTGTGTCTGGATGGTGGTCCGCCACCTCAGAAAGAGACAAATTGGCGTAGTCGTTGAAGCAGAAGTCTTTCTCTCCCACAGACGTGCCGAGGAAAAATCCCGACATTGAAAAAACTCCACTACCGGAATCTCCTTTCTTTCCATGGGAACTCCCAATGTAATATCCAACTAAAATAAATAATTAACAATGAACTTAAGAAATTAGACAACCGTATTTATCGGAAATGACACCATCATTCCACGTGGGCGTGTTACCCCTTCCGATGCCAAGCTGCATATACTGTTGTCCTCGATACATGGTATCAAATCCTCGGGGAACGCTCGGAAACACATCACTCTCCAGAACAAAGACAATCGATGTAATGAGGATCCGCGAGAGCTAGAACACGACACTGAAAAGCAGCTTGAAACTAGTTAAAATAATTGGAAAAACAAACCTTGAAAGATGTTCTTTGATCGATGACGTTGTATATCGTTATCGCGTCATTCTCCTGTAGTTTAGAATGAGGGCCGTGGCGGAAAGTTACTGCGTGTTTGAGATCGATAGCAACAACGCAAGAGAACAGAGCTTCGTCAGATTTTGAGGTAGTGTAAAGGCACTTTTCCAAAATAAGCACTTTTTAGTGCTTCAAAAATTGACTCATTTCATACTTTTTTCAAAAAAAAAGTGGGGTAAATGAGGTGATTCTCTGCTCTCAGAGAGTGAAAATGTGTTGAAATGACTGAAATGTCGAAAATGGTATTATAATCCATCCTTCCTATACTACTCAAACAAATTTGATAATAAACATCAGGTTTATCTCCCTTTCTCTCTCATTTTCTGATTCATGGCTAATTCGTTTTACAAAATTTGACAGCAATGATTAGATTCAACCCAGAAGTTTATATTAACAAAGAAAAAGGATTTTGAACAATTAGACATTTTTCTTTTCCAAATTCGCCTTGTCGATGAGAGTTTGATGAGTGACCCATGTTCCGTCAAGTTGCTTCCATGGCTAAAAACAAACTGAGTGAGATTGCGGGTTTGGAGGATCAAGACCAAATCATAGCAAGCATATTCTGCAGCGGACATTGCCGAAAACTCGGAGTCGTCAATGAAAATGATGACAATGATGAGGGCGATAAAGAGAACTCCAGCACCGCTCACACACAATTCCTGCACAGTGATCGTTTCCTAAACAAAATGAAACGAGTGCGACGAATTTTAAGAAAAAAAGAAAACGAGTTACGAGATTATAAAATGATGTGGTCGCCAAATGTGCAAAAACATCGGTGCACATTGTTGCCGGGAAAATATAAGAGCGGTAAATTGCAGGAATATGTTCGAACGTGACCTGTGGGGGCAAAAACGAAATCATCAGCGGCGGAATTTTCGAATTCAAACCAAAATCAATGAAATTTCGGTTATTGTGCGCGACATGGTCCACATCGAATACAGAAACGTGGCGGTTATCGAACCCTCATCGCTCGGTCTTTCTGAATTCCAGCAAGTCGAGAAGTACATCAAAGGAATCGTTTTGAGAAACACGAATGTGCAAAACGATGCGAGAAGCGAAAGTATGATTGTAACTCTGCGACCTAATCTGAAATTCAGTCATTTCCGACCCAGAAATGAAAACTGAAAACAAAAACGAACGAATTGATCATTATAATAAAAATAACAGCGGCTATCGAGCTGCAAAATAATTCGATGAAATGCATTTCGACGACACCAGGACTACAAACTCCTCGTCGCCATCCTTCTTTGAAATGCTTCGTCACATTATTCAGAAATCTACAATTCATAGAAAAAAAAACGTTTTTTAAACATAAACAGCTAGAATATTGAATGACACTTACTTAGATTGTCAGTAATTGACTAAATAAGCAAGTGATATGGATATTATTATACGGGAAATAGACGAAATGTCAAAAATTATAGAACAGGTCTTACCGCGATGTGCTCAGGCGAACACCTTTAACCAATCGTTTTATTTCGGCCCGTAAACCTACACATTTAGTATTTCAAACCGCTGTGTTTCTTTCTTTTTTTTTGGAATTTCGCCGATTTTCCGCAATTGCTCGACATTGGCAATATCAAATTATTGAGACAACTACTATAATAACTTACAAGGCGCTGACCAATGTGAACAATTTGATCATAAATGGAGTAATTTGAATCAAATGCGACACGGCTGAACGGTTGATTTCGAATATGTTCACGTGTTCTTTCGGAATATCTCACTCACCATCAACAAAACCAACAGGAAAGTAGCCGAGGTATAAAATGTCATCGACAACAGCGTCGGCATCGAGAAATTCTAAATTTTCGAAATTAATTGTCTCTAAAAACCAATCCTAACTTGTTTTTGATTCGATTCCATATTTTTTGATGACCTCCGAAATTGCATCAATATCCCTCGAAACGACAGATCTTATAAATTGGAAAGGCGCACCCCTGAAAAAATTCGATTTTTAAATTTTAGACAAAAAAAAAACGCTGTTTTGTACTTTGAATATGCTGCCAGGACGAAGACAATCAGCAGCATTATGGCTGCATAAATCTTTTCCTCGGATCTTCTCGTCACAAAGATTATCAGTTGTGTGATATCCAAACAATACGCCATCAGGTAGACGATGGTGATTGACATTACTCGGTATTGTGGAGGAGCCGCTTCAAGAGCTAATTGGAGTGCCATTATCGAGATGGCCTGGAAAACGAGACCTGAAATTGTAGTTGATGCCGAGGAGACGAACATTTGCGAGAATATGAAGCAACATGAACGACGCTCGATCGGTGAAAACGATGAACGAAGCACGCGAGAAGACGAAGACGAGCACTAGCAGCATTCCAAGGGTCAGCAACACCTTGCTCGCTTTGAATCGCGAACAGAACAGGAGAAGGAATATTGCGAAGAAATCAGACATCGCTTTGAGAAGGTCTGTACTTTCCATCGACATTTTTCCATTTCGCAGAATCTGTAATTGGGCAAAGAAGAGCTAATAAAAAAGACAAAAAATTCGTTTAAATCGGTTTTTTTCTGCATACAAGTTTTTTTTGTTTTCTGTATAGTCGACGTCCGGCGACTGCTGTACGCGGGTAGATTTACGCGCATGCGCCTTGAAAAGGTCTCGCCACGCGTGAATGCTTATTTTGCTGTTTTCACGTTAACTGCTTCATTTTTCTTGATGAGTTTCGCATTTTCTTGAATTTCCAACAATATTGGATTAAAAAATTATCGAACCGGTCCATAAAATTTGAAAAAATCTGTTAATCCTTGCGAGACCATTTCGAAAGACGCATTCCCGTAAATCTACCCGCAGTCGCCACTATACAATTAAAAAAAATATATATAGCCTAGTGTTATCCAAAATATTTCTAAGTCACAATCGGAGTATTTAGAACACAATCATATCGTTCTAATTTACTGGTATCATTTTTTTTGAGTTTAAACTTACCACTTGTCCATCGTGAGAAATTGCAGTTGTAAATTCAAACTTCTCCACTTTTCCATCACAATGCACATAACTGTAGCGGTTTTTTTTTGAATAATCTGCTAAATGATTATTACGTAAACTCGGCAGGATTGTATCTCATCAATCGATGCGTCGAAGCAAATTGTGAGAAAATGGCAAAAACGATTGCATTCAGAAAAATGTTCAAACCAAAGTAAATGTTGGTTTTGCCTAAAATATCATTCATTTTTGAAATTTCGTTGAAAAAAAAATGAAACACACCGAAAACTGCCCATAGATCATCGATTTCTCTTGGTTTCTCTTTCAGTCTTTTGCGTACAATTTCAGCCTTTAAAAATAAAAATTAAAAAGAGAAAATTAAACATTTAAAAGAATGGAGAAAAGGTGCCGACTTACAACAATAACAGTTGGGACTTCTTTTCGAATAATTCCGATTTCATCATCAATATTATCTGATTTCGATTTCGCTCCTTTAATCTTCATTTTTTAATGGAAATGGTTCAAAAATCATGACAATTGTTACCCAATAAGTGCACGCAAAAATATTGAGCGAATTTAATTATTTATTTTATGGACGAATTAGAAAAATAAAGAATCGCCTTCGACTGCGAGCAATCTTGAGATCCAAATTCGAAAATTATTTTTTCAGTTTAAGAAATCCATACTTGAACACATTTATTTTATTCTGAAGTATCTTCCGATCAACCCTTTCTTATTTGATTAAAATCCTAAATGATTTCGAATTTTGTAGCAAAAAATCGGACAAATTCAAACAACCAATTTTTCGACAAAATCTATGTGTCGTTTTCGATCATCTCGTCACCGATTTGCTTCTTTTCTTCTTCTTCTTCTTCTTTTTTTGCAAATTTTTCATTCAGGAGGTTATTATTACAGATAACGTCGCTCATCGCGGCGACGTCGTCCAGTTTTTCTCGTACAATTCTTTTCTTTTCTGTTTGCGTTTTTATTCGTCTCTCAATGCTTTCAGCCCCACCAATTCACAGTTTATTTGCACGTTATTCTTAGTGGTAAATAAATGTCGGAACAATTGTATGTCTATTTCGGCAGAGCAACATCAATTGGGCACCTTGACTTGAAAAAAGCTCCCATTATTCGTCGTCGTCGTCGTCATCTTCTTCTTTTTTTCTTCTTCTTCTTTTTTTTCCAAAATAAAACGCTCGTTTTTATTTTTGGGCTCACACTTGCCCGAAAAAAAAGGATAGAGAAAAGGAGAAAAACGAAATTCGCGCACGACTACTTTCGGCTCTTCTTTCGCATTTTTTCTGCTTTTGCATACCCTTTTTTTTTATTTTAGCCGTCTATTTTTTTTTGGGATTTCCTTTATTGCATATGCCTTTTTTCAATATTGACGTAAATAAAATCGATTTTGTCTAATCAAGTATTCGCGTTTTTTAAATTAGTCATTCGTATGCGATATTTTGATGAACTACATAGGTGCCAAATCGACTCGAGATTAATAGACCTATTCATCATCAAATGAAACTCTTATATGTGCATTTTTTATCGTATTGGAAAAATTATGCATTTTTTGCATTTTTTTAAAGTGCATGAATAAGTCCATAATTATTTTTCACAAATTTTTGAGATCTCAAAATTGCATTTGTGATTCTTTTCATTGATATTTTATTTAAAGTAGATATCTTCTGCCTTGACAACTTCTTTTACAATAGTTCTCAAGAAACTCTTAAGTTCACAAACCGTAATCCAGTATTTTGCCCTGGTAGATCATTTTCATCTCATGAATTCAATTCGCCAACTCTTTCTGTTTCGAATCGAACGTGCATATTTCACAAGTCAAAATTCTCAATTCTTGACATCATCTAAATAAATATTTTTGTTCGAAATGTTTGTAGAGTTTCACACAATATTAATCGGATTATTACATTCTTGTCGACAAAAAAATGTTTTTGTTAACTCATTTTTTGTGTTCTATTTGGAGAAAAACAATCAATCGTTTACCAATCATTGATCTACTATTGATGGCTGATAGAAGCCAATGATTGTGTACCGGTTGTCGAGTTTCTGCTATTTCATATTTATATGTTTGGCTTGGCCTTCGGAATTGCAAACGTCTGCAATCTTTTGACGTTTCGGCCAATCTACATTAAACTATTGGAACAATGTCGCCCTTCACCTCATCATCGAAATTCTCATTTTCTGAAAAACCGGATTCAGAATCCTGAAGTTTCCTGAACATCTTTTGAACAATTTTTATTGGAAATGTCATGCGCAGCTGCACAATGTTGAAAATTGTTTTCTTGCTGAATAACCAATTAATCTCAATTATTCAACACTTCGTTTTCATACCCAAAATGGTTTTGAATAATTTTTTTGAAATAAGGCATAGGTGCCCGTCATCGAAATGGAACAATGCCCCAACACGGCATAACAAAAGAAAAAAGCAGAAAAAAAATCGAAGAAGTAAGATTCTCTCTTCTAGGCCTCAAATTCCTTCGTCGAAGGCACGCATAAATATCTTCCGCTTCTCTGTCTTTCATTTTCCATTCCATTTTCCTCTTTTCTTTTTTCCTTTATTTTTTTGCATTTGCGCATATGTACACAAGTATATCGTTAAAAATTCGTTCGTCTGAGAACCTCTTTGAAAACCGGTTGATTTACTTTTATCGTTCAACTTTGCCGGGTGAAAAAAAGAAAACATTTGTAATCCACTTATATATGTGCGATGGGTTAATCTCGATTTGTAATGGCTGCCAGTGTAAATTTGGGGAAATGACGGCATTTTCATATTTCATGTTAGGCAAGATGAACCCGATATTGGTTTTCGACAAAAACCACACTTTTTTTTTACAATGGATTGTTATTTTTATAGGTAAATAATTGAATTTTGGATATTTTTTTCAGTTACTGTATATGCTGTACTGTGTATACACGAGACGTAAACACGCAACCTTTTTTTTGCAATAAAAAATGTTTACAATTATTATTTTATTTATTACGTCTTTGATTGCAATATGAACCCTCGATAGCCTAATTTTTTGAGAATTTTGAAAATCTACGAGTGTTTTCATCAATTAGTTTTTTTATATTTTCGTAACAATTTTTTCCCACAAAATTTGCACAATTCTTGTTCATTCTTATAAAAACTTTATTAAAATATGGTTATTCCTGATTTGTATTCGGTTATTCGTAGAGAAAAATCGCAAATAATAAAATGGAGAAAAACGCGGCAAATCCACGCACATTTATTCAATTATGCTCGTTTGCAAATTTGATTATCTAGAATTCAAATACCAATTTTTTATTTATTTCTCTCCATTTTCTTTTCGCAAAGCGAGAAAATGAAGACGAGAAACTCAATCTTTTAGTGCCTGCTTAAATCCTTCGATGAGTAATTTAATTAGCATAAAAAACGGAAATTCATTTTCGTATTTGCATTATTTGTTCATATATAAAACAAAAGCAGAAACCCAAGCATACAAATCTCTTTTTTTCTGAAAGACAAAACTGGCCTCTAGATTTTTTGTCAAATTCAGCATCATATCCCAATATTGTTTCATCGTAAAGTTGAGTGATGCATCAATGGACACTTCTGTAGATTTGTTCTCTGCTACAATAATATACCTGCGCTCATATATCGGATTAAATGTTATTTATGTATTTTTCATGTAATTATTGTGAAATCTATACATGCGTCAAACAAACTGGAACAACGGACGCCTATTATTTTGCAGCCACAACAAAAAATACGACACTGTGTGCTTGCTTCGATATATATATATATATATATAAGTGAATCATCACCTTTTTTATATCTATTTCTTTTTTTTTTCATTTTTACTTGATAGCACTTTGATTATTTGTAAAAATATCCACGGTTAGCCCAATTCGGGATTTTTTTGCAACATCAAAAAAGTTATTTTTTCAATTTCAGTGTTCACGATTCTTTCTTTTAAAACATTCCATAAAATATGTTTTCTTTTGTAACGGAATTTCGTAAACAAACGCCAACGAAAAATAATTCATCGTGGTTCAAAATGTTGCAATTTGAACAATTTCTTTGTTTTATTTTTTTTTGACTTCATTCTGAAATGTTCTTATCATTTTTTTGTTTCAAAAATTACGGTGACTAATCGACGAACAATTTTCTACATTGAAAGATCTGCCACGAAATAGAAAATTTTCCCTTAAAAAAATGGAATACAACAAATTGATCTTCAACTATTATTGTTTCGGGGAAACACAGAGATTGTTTTATTTTGTCACCTCAAAACTCGTTATATCCGCTGTCGGTCTAGCATAGTTAGCGGCGAATCGTTGGCCGACCGATGAGGTTGAATAATCGCGCGCAATGGGGCAAATTGTTGCACAATTATTGTGGCCTTTTTTCGTGTTTAATGTATATATTTATATCATATAATATTTCACAATTCGCGTGTTTATTTCGCGGCTCACAAAGCGTTCCGAATGGTCAACGGCTCGCGCTTCTTGAGCACTTTCGATTCTTGTTTGCTCATTCCAATTTTTGTGTTTGTTTTCCCTTTTTCGTCGTCGTTCCTCGTCACCTGATTTTTGTCATGTTTTTCTCAATGATTCATTCAATTCAGCTTCTAACTTTCATGTATACTTCCACTAGAAAACCCGATGCGTTCTTTTCCATTCAACCATATATTTTTCCTGCCAATGTTTATATTACCATTCAATTTTCGCCCATTTAATTCACACAATAATCGTTAAAAACCGCGCCGCCATTATTTTAATCGATTTCACAAAAAAAATCCCAAACTTTTTTTGTAGGCATATTAATAGTGCAACATATAGTTCAGGTAGGTCAAAAAAATCTAGAGCTACTGTGATACTGGTTAATCAGAAATCAAACATTGTCCGCCGTCTAAAAATTTTGCTATCAAAATTTGCTATCTTTTGAGCAAATATTGCCAGCACAAGTGGTGTATTTCCTCATTCTCAAGTTTGGATTAATTCTAAATCGAGATTTTGCAGCCGAATACCATTTAAACATACTCTAGTTGAGGTAAAATGCATTTAAAATCATCTCGTTTAGCTGATAAAAAGTGTAGGCTGCAACCAAATTACTGATAATTTTTTTGAGATTATCACTGAGTTAGAATTGATTTAATTTTTAATCGCTTCCGAGGGTTTCGTCAAATATTGCCTTCCGTCATTTTATTGTAATAGCTTATACTCTTCCCCTGTTGGAAAATTCCTAATAATTCTGTTAGCGATTTCGGTACGTAATTCATTTTGCACTGAGAGAATTACCGTAATCCGCTCAGCGTTTTTAGTTTTCGAATTTTCAGGTCTTGGAAAAAAACCTAAGTGTAGATTTACGGGATAAACATGAGTATAGGTTGAAGGCGCATTCCGCGCACCCATACTCATATTTAATTTTTTTGGTATTTAGCCCATTTTGCGGGTGGCTTAGAAAAATTAGGCAACACTTTCCAAAGCCAAAAATGCAAGTGCAGCACACCACTACAGACAAA